GCACGGAGCTTGTTGGTGGGGACGTAGACAAGGTTGTCGTACAGCAGAACCCCATTTTCCTCGGAGAATCGCTTTATCCGTTCTTGATCTTCTTGAGATTGCTGGGCAATGGGGGCCCTAAGCTGTCGCCGGATGGTTTGCGCAAACACATCGGATGCCAGGGCAGCTTTGATTTGGTCAAGGAGCGAGGAGTCCAGTGGGGTCAGATAAGTGGCGGCCAGGCGGAGATGGTCAGGGGTGAGGATCGTGGTTTCCTGGGAGCGGAATGCTTCTTCCCCCTCCCTTAGCTCGTATTCAGAGCGACGAGAGAGGGCGTCAGCTTGGTGTTGCTGGGTACCAGGGCGGTATGTGATGACAAAGTCGAAATCAGCAAAGAAGATTGACCAGCGGGATTGGCGGCGGTTGAGGGTACGGGTAGTCATGAAGTACTGGAGGTTCTTGTGGTCACAGTAAACGATGACCTTGTGGCGGGCACCAATGAGGTGGTGTCGCAAAGGAGTCTTGGATAGCCAGGAGTTCCTTGTCGTAGATCTCATAGTTGATTTCCTCAGGAGTAAATGTGCGGGAGTGAAAGGCCACGGGGTGGAGTTGATCTGTGTCATCGGGTTGAAGGAGGACGGCGCCAAGGGCAAAGTCGGAGGCATCGGATTCGACAATGAAGGGCTTGTCAGGGTCGGGGTGAGTCAGGATAGGTGCAGAGGTGAAGGCTTTCTTGAGGGTTTCAAAAGCTAGGTGTGCAGCGTGGGTCCATTTGAAGGGCAAGTCTTTGCGAGTGAGCGTGGTCAGGGGTGCAACGATCGCAGAGTACCCTTTGATGAATCGCCGGTAGAAGTTGGCGAAACCAAGGAAGCGCTGGATGCCTTTGACATTCGTTGGGGGTTCCCATTCGGTAATGGCAGCCGTCTTCTTTGGGTCCATGGAAATGCCTTGCTGGAGATGATAAACCCCAGGAACTCAACAGAGTCACGGTTGAATTCGCATTTTTCCGGTTTCGCATACAGCCCGTGCTGGCGGAGTCGTGAGAGCACCTCTCGGACGTGGTTGGGGTGGTCTTCTGGGTTTTTTGAGAAGATCAGAATGTCGTCAAGGTAGACCACAACAAAAACGTCGAGAATGTCACGGAATATGTCGTTCATGAGGTGTTGGAATACTCCAGGGGCATTGGTGAGCCCAAACGGCATGACATTATACTCGAATAGGCCGTAGCGACATCGGAACGCTGTCTTCCATTCATCCCCTGGCCGGATCCGAAGAAGGTTGTAGGCTCCCCGGAGGTCAATCTTGGTGAGCCGGCGTGCCCCTCGAAGACGATCCATGATGCTGTTAATCAAGGGCAAGGGATAGCGATTCTTGATGGTGATATTGTTGAGTCCACGATAGTCGACGCACAGACGGAGGGAACCGTCCTTTTTCTTGACAAAGAGGACTGGGGCACCGGCGGGAGACTTGGAGTGCTTGATGAACCCCTTAGCTAGGTTCTCTTCAAGGTAGTCACAGAGTGCCTGCATTTCAGGCTCGCTGAGACTATAGATCGGGCCGAACGGTGGCTGTTTGCCCTCTTCTAAGTCGATGGGACAGTCGTAGGGTCGGTGCTCTGGGAGGGTATCCGCGTTCTTCTTGGCGAAGACGTCCGCAAAATCTTGGTATTCTTCAGGAATGATGGCCTTCGGATCTTTTGGAGGAAAGGTCGCCAGGGCTTGGGAATCTGACTTGGTCGGATTGGCGTAGGCAATGAATGCCTGGTCATGCCTTGCCGCCACACGGAAAGCTGGGGCACTGATAAACGATACGTGGGTCGGTGTGGGTGCTGGGTCCAGTGTGTTGGGTGTCTGGGCTAGGGAGACTGAAATCTCGTCTTGATGGATACGGATCAGAGGTTCAGGGGTTTTTGAGGGCTTCGGGCTAGGTTCTGTTGGCAGGGCATCCCAGGAGGCGTATTGTCCAAAACCGCAATGGCAGCGGACGCAAAGAGTGCGAGTCTTCCAGTGTAGCTCCACATCATGGAGCTCAAACCAGGGAAGCCCAGGATGATTGGCGCATGCGGGGAACATGTCACATGGAATACCACCTCCTCAAAATGGTCGTTGACCCACATGCCCAAAGGTTGGGTGTGATGGGTAATGGAGCCCGCATGGCTGGGACGTCCGTCAACCAGTTCAAGCGCAATGGGGTCCTCCTTCTTGACAAGTGGGATGCGGTGCTTGCGGGCATAACTTTCGTCGATGAAGCACGACATCGCACCGGTGTCGAGTAGTGCTGAAAGCTGAACTGGAGCTCGCTGGGCCGATATCTGCAGGGTAACAGGGTACTCGAATGGTGAGGATGGGCCCAAAGTCCGCATGGGTGAGGGTATCTCAGATAGGAGATTGACATTGTTGGTGGTCAGGAGAAGGGTGTTGCTGGAGATGCCAGGATCGGAGCAAGGTTTTGTGGCTTCTCCCTTGGCAGTACTTGCGTGGTGAGAAGGCCCAGGACAGGTGTTGCCCAGCTGCTCGGCCTTTACTGCAGCTGGACTTGGGCAAAATCCTGGATGGGTGCAGGTTCCTTAACCGCGACATTTGCCGTGCGTATCTTGTTCGGGCAGAGTTTGGCTATGTGGCCGGGTTTACCACAGTAGAGGCAAAGTTTGTTTGTGATGCGGTGTTGGCGCTCTAGCGGTGTGAGGGGTCCTCGCGGACGAGCAGCGTCAATGATCATAGGGTCGTCTGGGCGGTTGTCGGGGCTCATGAGGGTGGGGCTAGTGGTAACTGGCACATATGGCTGTTGGTTCCTGCTTCGCTCTAGACGGCGCTCAAACAATCGGTTGTCACATTGGATGGCCTGTTCCATCACGGTGTCAATTGAGGCGGTAGGGGGCATCGTGAGCATTAAGTCCTTGACGTCTTCTTTGAGGCCGCGACGGAAGGTGGCAATCATGCCTGGTCATTCCACGACACATCGCATTGCAGCTGTCGGAATTCAGCTACATACTCTGTTGCTGCATGGGTTTGTCGAAGGTTCTGGAGCTTGTTTTCAGACGTGCGGATCCTGTCGCTGTCTCCAAAGACTGCTTGCATTTGCTGGATGAAATCATCCAGGTTCGTAAGGGAATGATGGTCTTGTTCGACAAGGGGCGCCAGCCAGGCCTGGGCGGTGCCAGTGAGGTAGGTGCCAATAGTTCGTATCTTGGTCTGATCGTTTGGGTAGCGCCTGGGTTGGAGGGCGAACATGAGCCGGATCTGGTTGAGGAACCCACGGAACTTGCTTCGGGTGCCATCAAATTTGTCTGGGAGACTGATTTTGGGTTCGGGGGCGTGAGTGGCAGGGGCAGTGGTCTGGGTTTGCGCTTTTTCGGCTTGTAGGGTGGTATTCTGCGCTCGAAGTTCGTCAATCGCATTGCACATGGTTTGCCAGGCTTCGGCCGTGAGGGGAAGGGCGTCGGACATGGTGATTTGGCGTGGAGGCACAGCGGCTGGGGGTTGTTGAGCAGATCAAACTGTTATGAATGGGCGGAGCCGGTGGAAATAGAGGCGACTTGTGGTGCAGGTTGTTGACAGGTAATGGTATTCAGACCGAAACAAGAACTAGAACAAGACTAGGAAGAACTGGTGTTGATCTGCTTGGGGATCAGGAAGTGGGGAGCTCAGGGGAGGCGGCTATTTATGTTTTTCTGGGAAGGCTGGGGAAGCGTGGGGAAGCAGAAGGGTACGGAATGAGAGGGAAGCCAAGAGAAGCGCCAAGGGTGGGGAAGCATAGAAACAGAAGACTGGGGATGGGGTGGCTACGCTGAGGCTGTGGGCGGGTACGTGGGGAAGTATGGAGAAGGGTTTGTAAGCGCCGAGTGTTGGGAGGTGTGGCTACGTGCGGCTGCGTGGAGAAATGAAGGCAGTGGCAGGTGTGGGGTAGCGCGGCTGCGTGCGGCTGCGAGGTTTGGCAGATGTCAGGTTTTGACAGGGAATTGACATTGACTGACTGTTGGGATGCTGTCATGAGGTAAGCGCATGGTATGGACGCGTCGTCCATAACAGGCTCCAGAGCAGGGTTGGTGGCTTGGGGACGGGTGTACGTATCGGCTTGAACCTGGGCGGCGATGCTCTGGGCAGCTTGTGCGTCGGCTTGGGCTTGCGCTAGGTTGGCCTGCAAGTTGGCGTTTTGGCTTTGCAAGGCGGCGATGGCTTGGCACATATCGTTCCATTGCTTGGCGGTGAAAGGTACGGATTCGGGTTGGGACATGGCGAAAAAGGTTTGTCGGATGCAGGGCTGGACGGGTTCTGAACTTCGCAGTGTTGGAGCAGATCAAACTGTTATGACCTCGACGACGGAGGCGGAAGCGAAGTAGAGAAGACAGGGCGAGAGTGATAGGCGACAAGAGATTTTATTGGCGAAACAAGAAACAAGGACTAGAACAGGAGATGAGAAGAACTGGTGTTGATCTGCTGGGGAGGAAGGGAACGGACGAAGAGAGGCCGGCTATTTATAGATAGGCAACCCAGCAGATCAGAGAACAACAACAACAAGAGGGGACTGGGGGGGCGTCAGCTATGCTCCTAGAGCGTGCGTGGCGAGCGTAGAGAGCATTGCTACAGCTGCTGGCTATGGGGAAGTAGTGGGGGGTGTGGAGAAGCCGAGGGGGGATTGGCGAAATGAGAGGAGAGAGGAGGAGTGGCGATATTGCAAGAGGATTGGCGAAATGAGAGGAGAGAGGGGGAGTGGCATTGACATTGACATTGACACTGACATTGACATTGACATTGACACTGACATTGACACTGACATTGACATTGACATTGGCGTTTGACATTTGGCGGTTGACATTGGCGGCTGTCAGTAGGTAAGCTTATGGTATGGGCGCGTCGTCCATAACAGTTGGAGGTCGATGAGGCGTCGAGGAGGTTGGTCAAGGCAAGGGGGTGGAAGACATGGGGCCAGGGTGGGAAACAAGGGGGTGGCGAGTGAGGAATAGAGGTGGATTGAATGACAAAGCGATGTAGTCAATGGTACGAGTGGGAAACGCGGTATCTCGCGCCAAGTATATCGTCTTTACCATCATATCCTCTCTTCAAATTCACGTTCACCATGGGCAAACCATGATTCACAACGAACACATATACGATACGATACGATACGAACAGTTCGTATATTCAAGTATCAGTTTCCAAACGTATGCAAAAAAAAAAGTGAGTGCACCTATTGAAAAGATGGAAAAAAGCTACCTAGGCTACGCCGAATCTTTCCACCAACCGTCCGACAGTGTCCCTAGCACACCTTCCCGGAATCTTTCTCCGCTTTATTCTCCACGACATGCTTCGGCAGCTTCTTGAACAGCGAGTGCCACTGGCCCCGACTGTCACGGTGATTCTGGATCCACTGCTTGTCCTGCTTGTCGAGGTACTCGACGGTGGCTTTGAGGTCGGCGACGAGGAGGTCGCAGCGGTTGCGGGAGAAGTCTTCGCGGAGGACGACGCGGAGGAGGGAAATCTTCTGGGCGTCGGGCTAAAATTCAAAGGGGGATGTAAAGTTAATATCTTCCGATCATCTCATCGGGATAAGCTGACCAAACAAGGTACACTCACAGCCATGGTGTAAGCAGGAATAATCCACCCCCTCTGCCTCAAGACATGACTGATATCCGTCTCATTGAAATGATGCCCCCCATTCTTCTTCAACGAAAACGCCACCAGCGGCAACCCTTTCTTCGGATCCCTCGCGCTCAAAATCTTAAACCGTCCCGTAGCCTCCAATTCGTCGGCGAGGTAGTTGGTGTTGATGTAGAGGTTCTCCATGATGGCGCGGAACCCGGCTTTTCCTTGCCGGATTAGCACGTAGTATTGTGAGATCACCGGGGAGGCGCCTTTGGAGAAGTTGAGGGTGAAGGAGGCTTGGTCGGCGCCCAAGTAGTTGATGTGGAAGACCAGGTCGTCGGGGAGGCTGTACAATATATTCGTAAGTACCAGTAGCGAGACGATGGGTGCATTCTGGCGAATTTGTGCCACTTACTATTCGGGAGACCTCCACAGCGCCCATCCGATACCGGCGTAGCAGAGTCCGTACTTGTGGCCGGATACGTTGATGGACACGACGGTCTCGAGTCTGAAGTCCCATTTCAGATCCTCGGCGACGAAGGGGGCGACAAAGCCTCCACTGGCTGCGTCGATGTGCATGGGGACGTCGAGGCCCTTTTCTTTCTTCAACTTCAGAAGCAGCTCTGTATGTGTGGGAAAATTAGTCGCTTCGCTCAAGGAGACAAGGGTGGCGAGCACTCATCCGCTGTTCAGACGCACCATTCATCTTTTCGGCGTCCTCATAGTGACCGGTGTACGTTGAGCCGAGGATGGCGCAGACACCGATCGTGTTCTCGTCGACGAGTCCGATTGCTTTCTCTGGGTTGAGGAAGAGATGCTCCTCGTCGCAGTTCACGTAGCGGGCCTCGATCTCCATATACCGCACAGCCTACATCATAATGAGACACAGGTCGGAAAAGGCAATAGACCAGTGATCGCCGATGCCTCACCTTCTCCCAGCAAACTTGCACATTAGCCCCCATAACCAAGTTCGGCTTATCAGTCGACTTTCCCTCCGCCTTGCGTCTCTGCTGCCACCTCCTCTTCATGGCGAGCGTGGACAACATGATGGCCTCGCTGGACCCGATGGTCGAGACACCGAGGGCGTTTGCGCCTTTGCCGACGGGCGCGTTGAATAAGCGCGCGATCATGTTCACGCACCGGTTTTGCAGTTCGGCGGACATGGGGTATTCCTCCGCGTCAATGAAGTTCTGTAGATCAAATCAGAAAGGAATGGTCAACCATTAACCCATCAACCATCAACCATTATCAACAAACTCCAATTATTAGGGGAGTTTTGCGGCTTTGGCGCAATGTGGCTCGTCCCGCTCGCCCCGCTCGCCCCTCGCTCTGATCGACCTCGCTACGCTGCGGTCGCTCACTCGGTTTCGCGTACCTTCGAAATATTCTCAGCAATCAATTTATCAGCCTCGGGCTCCATATAAGTGGTCACAAACGTCGCCAAGTTCAAGATGGGGTTCCCGTCGAGCGCCAATTCATCCTTAATGAACTGGTAAGCGGTAGAAGGGGGCATTTCGTCCTCGGGCATCGAGTATCTCGGAATGGGGTTCCTGCTGTAGTTTGAGCCATAGACAGCACGGTTGGGATAGATGTCCGGCTTGATGTGAGCGTTCTCCTTGATGGTGGGCTCGCCGGTGGATTGAAGGAAGACCATGGTTGCGTTGTTGTGGGAGTGCGAGTGTGAGATATGTGAAGGCCGAGGACTGCTTGTGGTTGTGAAGCTGGATGGCAAGGGCGAGGCAGGGGTGATCTAGGGTATATATACTGTAACGAGAGATGCTCTTGAAAGACCTCTCGATTCCCACAGTCGTCATGACGTAGTCCATCAAGAAGTGGAAGCCAGCAGCAGAGAAGCCTCCCGTCAGAAGCGCAGTCGGTGGCCGCATGGAATGATCGATTTGGCCTCCCTCGCGCCTCACAGAACTATCTGGCTAGGACATCTAGCCAGCCAATCACACGCCCCTATGTGAAACATGTAACCCTAACTGCAAGTTAATTCGCGCGCAAGCCTGTGATTGGCTGTTGCTCGCCCATGTAACCCTAACTGGAAGGCTTTCCGAAAGCGCGGGCGCAATGTCCATGGGGTTGCAGACCAAGTTGCAGACGATGGAGATGGAGTAAACGGTGAGGGCGAGCACAGGAGAGTAGCAAACGACAGAAAACAACATCATCGCCCTCAACTGTCCTCGCACTGCCCGCAGCCTACACTTCAACGGCACCACGACAAAAGGAATGAGCACAACGCCCCGCCTCGTCCGGCTGCCGCGGGACCCAGCCGACGACGATGTGGACGGGATGAGCGCTGGCGATTTGATCGTCGGGATGGACGGGCCGGTGGAGGGTGTTGCGTGTCCTATCTGTGGTGAGTATGGCTGGTGTGGCAAAGTACAAAGTGATTTTTCCGACCAACTGAAAAGTGCGTGGTGGGTGGGTATGTCTCACCACCCATGTCACATCCACACAGGCGAAACAATGCTCCACCTATCCCAACTCAACCGGCACCTCGACGACGAGCACATCCAACCCACCTCCTCCGACGACGACGGCACAAAAGACGCCGTGTTATCCTGGTTCAAAGCCGCTCAGCGGCGGGTCGCGCCGTCTTTGACGAGGGCCGCTACGGGGACGCTGAGTATCACACAACAGTCAATTAAGGGCGTGGAGGGGATTGTTGGGGGGGTTGTTGGGGCAACGACAGGGGGTGTAGGCGGGACTTTTGAGTTGAATGGGGAGGAAGGGGGTGTGGGGTCGCCCGGTGGGAGTGGGGTGGGGACACCGACGGCGAAGGAGTTGGAGGCGAGGGTGAGCAGGGCGCATTGGCAGAAGGATGGCCCCAATGATCGGTGTGCGGCGGATGGGTGTGGGAAGGTGTTGAGTTTAAGGACAGGGAGACACCATTGCCGGAAGTACGTACATCTCGTGAGGGGGTCAGATTCTACTCCTCGGTTGCTCGCTGCAAAGTTATTCCTGACACCCCCTGACCAGATGCGGCCGCCTCCACTGTGACACTCACTCCTCCTACCAAATGAAGCTCTCCCCCTCCGCCCTCCCGGACCCAACCTCAGGCACATGGTGTCGCGTCTGCGAACGATGCTTTACATCACGGGCAGGCTATAAGGACTCTGTCGGGGTGTCGCGTAGCAGAACGAAGCTGTATCTACGGTTACGGAAGGCGAGAATTGATACGATGCAGATGGATGTGAATAAGTTGGAGAAGCGGTTGGAGAAGGTGTGTTTCGGTTCGGGAATGTTTGTGGCTTTCGGCAGACAGGGGTTGAGAGTTGGATAGTGTACTCATTGGGTGTAGGAGACCAGCTCAACACGATCTACGCCGAGGAGAACCCACTGGTTCCGACCACGAACGGACAACGGCCGTCGCTGTCGACAAAGACATTGGCTAGGATACGCATCCGTAAGTTGTTCTCATCCCTCCACCATCACCCCTTTCAAACCCACTGATGCACCTCCGCGTAGGCGAACAAGCAATTGTAGCCTGGGAAAATGACAGTAGCGTAACCGAATGCCCGTTCTGCCACTCGCAGTTTGGAAGCTTTGTGAATCGACGGCATCATTGTCGACTGTGCGGGAGGGTCATCTGTGGGCTGGAGACGTGTTCCAAAGAGTTGTCGCTCACTGGTGGTATGTGTCAAGTCGCATCAGACAGAGATTCACCGATTCTACGTCACCTGACCTGTTTTTTTTTGGATTTAGGACCACCAACACCAGACGCCCCAACAATCCGCGCCTGCCCTGACTGCTACCGCACCATCTCCCGTCGACGAAATAACATACACTCGCCCACTGCAACCGCCATAGCAGCACTGTACCGTGCCATGACGCGGTATAAAGCTTCTGTGACTGAAGTGTTGCCGAAGTTTAATAACCTGTTAATGAATATGGCGTATGTGATATGAATAGTTTTGGAGGGTGGTTTGGGGGGGTGGGTTCTTACTTTTCGGATTTAGGAATCGCGTGGTGACGGAGTATGATGACCCGGAGTACAAGCTGGCGTCAAAGTACCGCAAAGATCTGATGGAATGGTTCTCAGAGCTCGACAAATTGGGGTATGTCTCGTACCCATCAAAACACATATGCATGATTTATTTCACATCCTCACCCATCTCCCCCCTTCTTTCTTCCTCCCACCCACCCACTCTATCCCTCATCCCCGCCCCCTAGAAAACGCATAAAATCCCACCCCACGCCCACGCCCACCACAACCCGCCTCCTAACCGCCCTCCACCTCTCCATAATCACCTTCCTTCAAACCCACATGTTTACGCTGCAACTCATGCCCAAAATCACCACCCCCAACAAAGCCCTTCCCGCCGTCCCTTCATCCTCATCGCAGAATGATGACGAGATCCGGGTGTTGGAGGAACAGCGACGGTTGGTGGAGGGGTTTTTGGGGGATGCGTTGAGGAGGAGGAAGTTTGAGGATGCGGCGAGTTTGAGGGTTGGTTTGGAGGAGTTGGAGGGGGAGATTTCGAGGAGGAGGGGTGGGTGATGCGGGGATGGGGGGATGCTGTTGGTCTTTCATGAGATGCGTTGGCGTTGATGTTTCAGCGTATGGAGGAAGGGCACAGGTTGGGGAGCATTTGGATTGACAGTAGCCTGTGAGAGCTGTAGGTAGACAGAAGCTGTAAATAGGTGGGAGGGATGTGGGAGGATTACATACCGCAACTCAACTCCAAGGGTACTTCGAAGAAGCGGGTTAGTGTTATAGTGGGAAGGTAATAGAAGTTTGTCAAAGCCCTCGTCGTCGGTGTCAGTGTCGGCGGCGGTTAGGGTTAGGGTTAGGGTACCGGTTAGGGTTGTGGACAAGGTGGAAGTGGGTCTGCTGCTGCTGTGCACCCAGCGAGATAGCAAGATAGCACGCAGCGATGGGACTATGTCTAGAGGTGGGGAAAAAGTCGCCGTTGTTGTCCTCACCCGGGTGAGCGAAAGAGCTACGGACTTGGGCAGCCCACGCGTTTGAACAACTGTGAGTCTGTGAACCATGTGAAAGTTTTGAACCCCATTTGAACTCCGTTTACAGTTGCGAAGAGCTTTCTCTACCGTCACTTCGAACAATACAGTATGACGGAAAAGCTCCATCCGGAAGAACAACTCACCGCCGCCACGGCGAAGCAGACCTCTGCGCCCGAACCTGTGCTCGTAGATTCGGAGAAGGGCACGGTAAGGGCTTCCCCCCGAAGTTCTCCCAAGCTCAGAAGCCTAACCTTTTGCATGTTAGCCACAGCCCGACATCCCTGACGATCCCTCTTCTGGGGAGGCGTTGCTAGACGTTAAAGGTATTATACGATCTCTCTGTGAATCCCTAGACCCATCTGTGTAAGGCGTTGGTCCGGTTGTTGTCCATCGCGTTAACTGAGCCTTTGGACGATCCGTGTAGATGACGGCGCAGGCCCTGCTAAGCGGAAACGTGAACACGTCGAAGGTGAAGAACACGAGACGACAGAGAAAGGGAGCTTCGTCAAACGAGCAAGGACGCCCGACTCAGGTCGTAGTGATAAAGACGAGGTACGCAGTGGCTGGTAGTGTATGTGACATTCATTCCCTGACACGCACTTTCCGCACATCAGATCGTTGAGGCAGCAGCGATAGGTATATCAACTCCCATAGAAACACCCGAACGTATTGCAACCCCGACGAAGGACGATGGGGACGATGAGGAAGAGACGCGCATAGAAACCAAGAGCGCCGACGTGACGCCTCCATCAAAGGTATGTACGGCGTCGTAGCATACGAGTCGACTGGAACAACGCTAATTCAACCCTCCTCAGAACGCAATCTCTGAATCAACTTCGACTAGCTTTCAAAAACCTTCAAACCCATTTATGAAAAAATCTGGAGGAAGCACTACCACGTGGGACGATCTTCTGGAAGACGAACCAGCAACGCTAACGACGGCCACATTAACGCCTACGAAGCTGGGGGCGACTGCCACCCTCATTAGCCCATTCAAGGGAATGGGTGTGCACTCTGTGCCGATGGGTGTGCAACCTTCATCTTTGGGTAATCTTGGTTCCAGCTGGTCGCAAGCAGGAAAGACGAACGATGATAAGCCGTCTTCCATCGCCTTAGGAGGAATCTCCAGCTTGGAAGGAAGCAGAAACAGCTTGGTAATACATTGAACATTGCGACATTCCCACATCATGTTACAATTCTCACAAGATTTAATTGGGCAGGGTTCTGCCCTCGGTGGGCCATCCAAGATGTCCTTCGGATCAAGCGGCTACGTTTTCGGAGGTGGTTTCAAGGGCTCCGGTTTTGGTTCCACCACCATTACGCCCACGAAGCCCTTTGGGAGCATGGCTCAAACCTCATCCACTAGCTTCGCATCGCTCGCCACAGCTTCGGGACAAGACAACAGCGATACCCCTAAGCGGGAGCCGTCTTCGTCATTCAGTACGCTATTGGCGACGCCACAAAGGCACAAAACGGATGATTTCACTTCAAATGATAATGGAACTGCTTTGATCACTCCGCGAAGCAAAAATGAGTCGGGAGCTCGGATAGGTAACTAATCAGTGCCCTCACTCGGGACAAGTACTGTAACCCATGATTTACCGAACTGTCTGTGCAGATGCATCCGGCGAAGAGGACGAAGAGCGTCTTAGCCAGGTAATACAAACCGTCTCTTCCGAGTGCAATGGAGGTATACGTCTAACAGTGTTGAAACAACTGTATGTTCCCCAGAAACGAGCCAAACTATTCGAATTCGGCAAATCCGGCGAGAAAACGCAATGGCGAGAGCGTGGAAAGGGTCAAATAACCGTCAATGTGAAGTTGGAGGATTCAAGTGTAGGGCGGTTGGGTACGTTTCTTACACACTTTTTGGGCCGACATTTTGATTCCCCGAGATTAGTCTAATCTTCCGACTTCAGTAATGCGCCAGGATTACACGGGCAAATTGCTGCTCAATGCCAAAATACAACCGGCTATGGGTGTTGGACGACGTGATCCTAAGCATGTTCACTTTTTGGGCCCTTCAAGTGAAGATCCTACGCAGATGGGTCAATTCATGCTCCTGGTAACTACCGGCGCTCGCTCTGATTTGGCCGATGAAAGCTTTTTCGTTGTCCCATATATCTGATTCACAATTTCCGTTGTGGGCAGCTGCAAAACTCGGACCATGCGAACGAATTCGAGTCGGCCATCAAGGCTGTGCTGGCTAACGCAGTGGAGGATTGGAAACGCGAGCGACGGTCACTATGAGGCGGATACAGTGCCCTAGTAGCCAAAGCGACACTGCACGGACGAAAGTTTTTTTGGCGACCGCGGCGGAGGCGTATACCCCACAAGAAGGCTCACGTAGTGCACCTAGTCGAGGAACATACCGCGCGGGTTCGAGACTAGTCTAATCATATAACGTATCAGCTTACATCCGTCTTGAGAGTGCCTGTTGTACATTCGTATCTAACGGAATAACTTCCGCTGTCGCGCCAAAGTCGACCAAACCACAACGCATCACAGCAAGTACTCGCTTGAACATCTATTTCCGACTCATTGATGCATGTTATCATGCCACATAAAGACATAAAGTGATGCCCGCTTTCCGGGTTGATTCCCAGCGTTTTGATGCGCGTCTGGCCAATAGGGACCATGAGCCCCACATCCCACATTCCATCCCGCTTCCACTTCCTCAACCCCTCGATCCGCGACCCCCCTTCCTCTCCAACTAGTTCCCAAACCCAAACCCAAACCCACTCCCTTCCTCCCTCTCTCCCTCCTCATCCTCACTACAACTCTCCGACCTGCGATGCCCATAATACCCCCCCGGCAGTGGCGGTGGAGGCGGGAGTGGCAGGGGACTCATATTCTGCTGCTGATGGTGGTTGTGATAGCCCAGATGATGGTGGTGCTGACTGTGGTAATTCTGCCCGTTGAGCTGATCCTGCCGTAAGTGCTGCTGCAGTTGTTGGATGGAGGGGAGGCCTAGCGGGTTGGGGTCAGGTGTTGATGAGTGGCGGTTGTGGTGGGATTCCTGTTGGTTGTTGTTCCACCAGGGTGATGACGTGTGCCGCGTTGAGGATGGGTAGGGGGAGGAGGGGGCTGGGGCTGCGTAGTCTTGGGGGTAGTAATGGGACTTCCGCGCAGGAGGTTCGTGTGCGTGTGCGCTGCTGCTGCCGCCGGAAGGAGCGGGCGGTAATGCGACTGCGTCGGTTGAGGTCCCACTCCCGCTAGATGGGAACAACTGCTGGGGTGCCGGTAATGGACGACCGTGCGGGTCGAGGACGTATCGATGCCCACCGGGGGAGTCGTACACGTTGGCGGCGGGTACGTATTCATTCCGCTGCTGCTGCTGTTGTTGATTGTTGTGCTGCGATTCCCGGTCGCGATACTGCTCCGAATGCAGTTGTTGATTACGGTTGTTGCTATGCGGCGAGGAAACCAAAGGCGGCAACCTGAATCCGCCGTTCGCTCCATAATTCTCTTCCGAACCCGGCGACGACCTGTACGTGTGATTATGGTAATACGCTGGATTGGCGAGCGCGCTTGGCGGGGGTAAGATCGATGAAGGCGGTGGAAGCGGGTTGCTGAGCAATTGGTGGATGCTGCTGCTCCCATTATGCGGGGCAGGGTACTGGTTAGTACTGTTTCCCTGCTGCCCATACGCATTGATGAACGACGAAGCGGACGGCAACGGAGCCTGGGGCCGCTGTGCATGGAACTGCGTCACCGGTTGCTCAATCTGTTGTTCCTGTGGAGGCGGTTGTGCGATCTGCTGTACGATCTCCGGATCGGGGACGGGTACCGCCGCCGATGCCGGGGGGTGCAGGACTTTCGAGGGGCGTTTCTTGCGCGGTGGTTTCACACCGGCCGCGCCTTCCAAGTCGCTGTTGACCTTGCTCTTCCGTTTCTTGGCGGGTGGTTTCACAGTCGTTCCCTCGGCAGGCGGCAAGACCGACTGTGGAGCGCTGGGATCCTCCAGTTTCCGCTTGTGTTTCCTAACGACCGGTTCCTTTTCTCCGCCCTCCTTAACAATCCCACTAACCGGCACGTCACCAGTCAGACTCCCCACTTTACTCTTCCTCTTCTTCACAACCGGTGCGCTCCCATTCTGCTCCGCCCCGTCAGGGCCTGCGCTATCAATCTCCTTCCTCTTCTTCTTCGCTTTCTTCAGCCCCTCTTCCGCAGACGGCGGCGGGGCAGGCGACATAGGCACGGGCGACGCGCTGCTGGGCCCAGCTGAACCCGGTCGTGCGATCTTGAGCATGATTTTTACTTTATCCGTTTCCGGTTGTGGACTGGAATGGTGGTGGTGCTCTTTCTTCACATCCTGCTGGTGTTTCTTGCCGTTGCCATGGGTGGTGGTGATACTGGCAGCTTTGGCGGCTTCGCGCCGCCTACACGGCGGACAGACATACTCATCGATCTTCTCCGCCTCCTCAGCCGTCAACCCGACACACCCGAAATGGAACCACCCGCTGCACTGGTCGCAGCCGATCATGGGTCCCAGTTCGTCGCGGTGGGGTTCGCGGCACACGCAGAAGACTTCGGATGCGGTGGTGGCCGGTTTCACGTCCGTCGTTTCGCCAGACATCTGGATCGGATCCGCGACGACATTGCCCTCCGTTGCGTCAACAGGACTCGGCGAGTCTCCGCCGCCATTAGCCTCCTGAATCCGCGGCGGGGCAACAGCAGCCAACCGCTCCCTCAACATCCCGATCTCATCGTCTACACATATCAGCATCCCCTCCGCACACCTCAAACACGCCCTCAGCGCCGCAACATCCGCCGTCGGGTCCTCCAACACGCTCTTCGCACGCACTTTCCACCGCTCGCTTAAATCAGCAACCCGTTTCATCCCGACGACTTCGTCCATCTCCCACCGCTCGATCGCCTCGGCTTCGGCGACCAGCTGGCGGATCTGCTCGGCAGTCGGGCGACGTGCGGAGGCGGAGACGGGGCGGAGGGCGTGGACGTCGCAGACGGGGCAGGTGTACGCGCCTTGCTGTTTGGCCGCCTTCTTGGATAGTTTGACGCAGGCGGCGTGGTACCATTCATGGCAAGTCTCGCACTCGACCATAAGCCCTTCGTCGTGGTTGGTTCTGCAGACGCAGTACACTTCGCCTTGTTGATCAACCGGTTTAGCGCACGCGGATAAGTTGGCGTCGAGCTCAGCCACAATCTCGGCGCAGGACTTGACGCTGCCCGGTCGCAGGGTTTTGCGAGCGCGCGCGGTCCAGTCGCTGACTTTTTTGGCGTCTTCGCGGAGCATGTGCAGCTCGTCTAGACGGACCGGCACACCCTCCATTTCGTATATAAGCGAGAACAGGAGGGATATAGGGTGTCGCGTATTGTTCTCCTCGGCCGATTGTGTGACGCCACGCACCTGTTTCAGCCACCCTTTGCACTTCTCGTCCAGAGCGTGTACTTGGTCCCACAGTTCTTTGACGACCGGCACGTCCTGCGCGCGTTTGACGACGTCTTCGAGTTCCGCGAGATCCATCCGGCGCTGCTTCATCAACCCGGCAGCAAGCACTCTCCACTCGTCACCGCCATGTTTAGCCTGTCTCAATCGTTGAATAAGAGGATGATCGCTCTTGACCCCGAACGCACGACCGGCGTCAATCATGTCGATGATCTCCTCATACATGACGGAGGAGAGCCCGGCGTCCAGAACGGATTCGGCGCGCGCTAGCCATTGCAACTCCGAAATCTTTTGCTCCAATTGGTAGATCTCGGGTATACCAGCAATATCCAGCGCCTGCCCGCGCTCCAGCACCTCTTGCAATTGCTGCTGCGTCAAATTCGAGGCCGCCAGTGTCGTCCTGGCAACCTGCTGGAATTCCCGCACAGAAGCGACAAGTGTTTCCAAGAGCTTGATCTCAGGCGTATCGAACGCCATCGCCTCAATCTGCGCAACCAGCGCCTCCACATCTTGCAGACTCCTCTGCGCACATCCACCTCCACCTCCACCTCCACCGGCAGCCTCCTCATCCTCAGCCGTCATCGCCGCCACAGCGGTACTAAAACTCTTCCTTCTCCCCGCATTGCTCCGTTTCCGCTTTTGCACAACCTTGTTGGTCTTGTCGACCCATTCCTGCGCTTTGGCGATGAATTCGCGGAGGTCTTTAGCTTCATCCATGTCGATGGGGATCTTTTCGCTGGCGCTGAGGAGCATTTGGAGGTCTTTTAGGGCGGGTCGGCGTTGAGAGGCGAGAAGGGCTCTGTAGGCGTCTTTCCATTCGTTGGGTTTGTTGCTGATTTGGGTGACGCGTTGGACGAAGTCTGAGAGTTGCTCGTCGGAAAAGCGGAGGACGAGGGCAAGGTGGGGGGCTTCGCATTGACATAGCTATTGTATCCGATAAAAGATTAATATCATCATTGTCAGAAGTGAAACAGCAGAATGTTCCAACTCACCTCAGCCTCATGAGCAAAACACACCAATTTCCCATTATTACAGCTCTCACACCGCAGCGCACTGACATAGCAATACTGGTGGCAGAACGCACACTGATCTTCCTCCTCACGGTTAATCTGCACATTTTCGACGACTTCCTTGATACCCGGATGTCGTGCCCGGGCTGCGGCGCGCTCTTTGAGTTCGCGGTCGCGGATTTTCTCGAGGGCTGGTTTGAGCCTGGCAATGAGGGAAAGAAGTTGATTAGCGAAGCTGGGACTTTCGGGGAATAGAACCCTGTTTTGTTTTCGGATGCGTGAGAACTTTTGGGGACTTACCAAAGGGCGACTTTAACGTCAATGTCCCGCATCGATGTAGCAATCACCAGCTCGTCGTGGGAAAATACTGGTTGTTTCTTGTAGTTATGGTAGCGATCTACGCAATCCAATCCGTACGGTAGCCAGTTCGGGAGAGCAAAGTTGACCGCTTCCGCAAAATTGAACTGATAAAGGGTCCAAGTGTGAAGTTCACGATTTGTTAGGCATTTTCCTACCTTCCATGAGGATTAATGCGTCGGTATGACTCACCCCCTGATTGAACCCCGCATGATACGCCCTCGGGAACGTAATCACAAACTCCCCCGCCCTCTGATCCGCCGCCACCACATCCACGCCTTCCTCCACCAAGACGCCCGGACTCAACATCGTCGTCAAATGAAACAGCAAATCCGGGTTCCCATCAAACAATTCCGGCACCTTTTTCCTCATGGTCGCCTCAAACCCATCCGCATGGGCCGCGGGGATGCCGTACCACGTCTTTGTCTCGCCCCAGTGGAGGTAGTTGATGGAGTAGGTGTAGTGGTCTTCAGTATGCCAGCAGAAGGTGGAGAAGGCCATGCCGACGTAGAGCCAGGGGATCATCATGCCGGAGATGTCGTTGCGGATGTTGCAGAAGAGGGAGTCGGAGAGAAGGGGCATGTTGTTGAGGTTCCAGCCGCAGGTGGAGTACGGGTTGTTCGGCTGCTTTTCGGGGACGGGGAAGCCGCTATAGGAGGGGGGAACGATTAGAAAAATATTCTTTACTTCCACGGAACTTCATTTGAAACTACTCCTGTAAACTCACCTCCCATGCTGCGTCGAATGCAAATCCGCGCCATACTCAACCTCAACATCATCATACGGACTCTCAACCAGCCTCCAAAACTCGCGCTCAACATCATCCTCCGTAACAACCACCCGCTCCTCGGGATCAAGCCCCAACCGTTGCTGGAAATGCTTCTTCTTGAAGTCGTTGGCAACCTGCTGGAAATGATACAGACTGCGCAGCTCGCCCTCTTCGAACCCGTAGTCGTGACCGGACCCGCGCAGGCAGTCTGGGCAGAACCAGTCGGTTTGAGGGATCGCGGCCATGGGTGGGTCGAAACAGTAGAGGTGGTAGCCGCGGTTGCAGCCGTCACAGAGAAGCATTTGTTCGTCGTTTTCGCCGCCGCCGCACATCTCACAGAGCTGCATGGAAATGGAGATCTGGTCAAATTTCCAGGATTGCGATTAAGACATCCTCATGGCGCTGATCTCAGATACTCACCTCCAATCCAGGCTTTGGCAGGTAGTCCTGCGGTAAGGTAACTTTCTTCGGTGAAGGGGACGTCGAGCCAGGAGGGGGTGTCGCGACAACTGGCGCTGTGATTCGAAAAGAGGGTTTAGGAAACACCCATTCAGCCAACGGATAAACAAATCACTGAACGAACCTTTTCTCACAGGCTGCTCCTTAGCCTTCTTCCTAGTCCCCATCCTCGTCGCAGGTCCCTTCCCCTCACCGTCCCCTCTTGGAGATCCCGGCCGTGTAGGCGCGGGCGACCGGTGCTTAAGTAGGAACTCCTCGTAGGGATGTATCCATTTCAAATATGCTGATTTCACGCTGTGCGAGAGCGATGTGCAGGTCTTGCCGCCTAATCCGATCGCTCGGCCTACTTGGGCCCATTGCTTGTTTGCAATAACCTGCTCGTAACCTCCACGTTTCGCAACCTCCTTCTTCAGCTCCGAGAGATTGATCGGCTTCTTGTCAAGCATAGGCACGCGAGTGAACTGCGTCCCTTGTTGCGTGTGAAACTTTTGCAGTTGGTCCAGGTAATTGAGGATGGCGCGGGAACTGCCTTCCATCGAGTTGAGCCGCATGATTCGGGGCCGGAACCAGAAAGACTGCGTATCCAGCGCAAAATCCGGCTTCCACCCTACGGGCGGCACAACCTTACAAATACCACTCCCCTCCGCCAATGGTCTAATCTTATCCACATACGCCATCGGGTCCTTAAACTCCTCCGCGGTCGGTCTGAACACCGGTGCCGGACGTAAGCCAAAGATCCTATTACCCCTCTCGGGTAATGGTGATGTCGTCGGGTGCGGAGCGAATGGCGCTTTGGGAATTTTTGAGATGTCGAGGAGGGGTGCTTTGGGGACTGTGGTTGGGTGTAGCGGGGTGGTGGCTGCGGCGGATTTGGGGGAGGAGGGGGTGGAGCCCTTTGGGGGCACTGCTTTCATCATTTCGGCAGTGGGGGTGGCGGGCCGGCTGAGCGGCGAGTTGGGTGAAGTGTGCGTTTCTTTTTTGGTGGGCGACAAGTGGGTGTGTTCGTTCTGTGTTTGTGGGAGTGCTGGGCAGCGATAGAGTGAGTAGATGAAGGCTCGCCTCCTTCTTGCGTGCTGTTTGTTGTTGGGAACGGCGGAGGGAAAAGCTGTGGAGTCTATGCGCCAATAACGTCGGATGTCTGCCTGCCTGCCTGATGGATTTCCAATTGTCGCCCTCCTCCTCGCTGTTGATCCAGCCATCTCATCCCACAAATACTCTACTCTCTCGGGGGATATCCCATGCCTCCCATACACACAGATAATCCCACATACAGTACGCTCAACCTCTCATCCCATGGTATATCTGTAATGGCATCCCGCGCCCACCGCCCCGCACTCACCGCCGACGCACACCGCCGCACATCCGAGAAGCGCGAGTACTACGGCTTCGTCGTCTATCTCGGCTCTTTCGTCGCTTTCGGTAAGGAAATAATAAACCGAGTCCCCTAACCCCCCCCCCTGCCTCTTCCTGGGAGGGGGAGGAACAAAAGCACGTTCCCCACTCCCAATTTGGGACCGAAATGTCGCATAATGTCTCACTCTCGCGCAATGGAATTCACACCCCCATTTTTCGCACACCCCCCATCCATCCCACACCAGCTTCATACCTCCTCTGGGCCCTCTGTTCAGACGACCTCCTACACGCATTCGGTGTCTCCTACTACCCCACCCGGTAAAACCTCCCTCTCCCTTCCCAGTTCACCACGTTTCCCCCTCTGCCCCACCGTGCCCTGTTTATCCTAACATAGTGCGTGATTGCATTCCGCAGATGGTGGGCCCTCGCCCTCCCAGTCCACTTCCTAGGCTGGATCCCCTTCATCCTGCTCATGTTCACGGGCATCAATATGTGGCGCACGCCCGCTTTGGGCTCGTTGGATACCGTTTCTGGTATGTCCCGCAAAATTTGTCCCGCCATGGTCCCGTTCTCCAGAGCGAAAAAACGCGTGAATCCTAAGCTCTCCATCCCATTTCTTGAACATGCAAACAGACACTCACGCAAACCACTTCTCGGTCCCCCTCGACCCCGCCAAAATCGCAAAGCTATGTGGGCAGGACTCGATCCCCGAGATCGAGGATATGCCCATCTCGTTTGTCAATCGATTGCTCTATGGATGATGAGTGTCATCATTCCGCTCCGTTGTATATACTGTGTAGTACCATTTTTGGGATCATAAACAGCCCAGTTCCCCATGGTCGCCGATACATGGGGACCCTCTTCCTTCCATTATAAGCAAGCCAAATGTACAATCTATCCCACAGAACATGCGGGGGCACTTACTCAATGGACAGGGAGAAAAAAGCTCTATGGGAAACTCAATACCAAAACTCCTTACATTCCCCTCACAGTGGAACAGGATTGAAAGAAGACATACTACGGAAAGGAAAAGGGGTACGCCTGGGTGAGGAAGGGTATTTCACTTCGCTTTTTAGACCCCCAGTTTCGTTTTTCGCGCGGTTATGGTATGTTTGCTTCATGGTGCTTAACCGGCTGTTATGGGAAAGGGCCGGATGAGAACCACGCCCGCAAGAAGTAAACGCAGTAACGGAATCGGAGAAGGTTGACACTCACACTTAGGGGCCTCCTTGTAAGACAAGGCGTGCTCCTCACCCATAGCCGCAACAACAGTAACAATCAGCTCCTTGCCCTCGTGGAACTCCTCCGTGAGCTTCTTGCCGAGCTCGTTGTCAGGGACCTTAACGTCGTCCTTGGTGGAACCGTCGTCCTTCATGAGGGACAGGAAACCGTCGTCGATGTCGAGGAGGGGGAACTCGATGCGGACAACGTTAGGCACGTCCATGTTGTGGGTGGAGGGGGAGAGATCCTCGAGCTTCTTGCCAGTGAAGATGTCGATGGCGACCAGGTTGACCTTGGCGTGTCCGTGCTTGCCTATGGATGGGAAGTAAAGTCGTTCTTTAGGCTTGATTTGTGCATGCTAAATCGATTCAAAGAATAGACTTACCGGTCTTGGAGGTGGACATGTCGACGATCTTGCAAGGACGACCCTTGATCACAACGTGACCGTTCTTACGCAGAGCAGAGCACTATTCGTAATATAAAAGGGAGTCTTCAGTCCTCCGTATTGTATTTCGACAGGAGATGATGCTCCGGCCAAAAGCCCTTCCGTCACTCGTCCCCAATTCGCACCTGCATAGGGTAGGTCAACGAGGCACCGGCTAAACAAGGGAGGAGAAGGACGGGTGAGTTTGAAAGTGCCCACGGCACGCCCCGGTTGAGATGCAAGACTCACCCCCGACGGTCTCGAACTCTTCGTGTTGCTCTTCGTCAGCCATTGTGATCTGCCAACAGAAAAGGAAGCGTTAATTGACGAAATGTATTGACGGAAGGCAAGGGAGGGTCGTTTGCTTAGGGTGAAATGCCACCTGGGTTGGAGTGAGCGTCCGTCCTCCCACGGTCGGTTCCACAGATCGCAAACTCTCCTGCGGGTCACAAATCCACCGAATCACAGCCTATGTGTGTCCCAGAGAGCTGGGAGTCTGGGAGCCAAGACATAAGCATACTTACGGGTGGGTGGTGAAGGGGTAAGTTGAGGAGGAAGAGGCCGTTGGGACAGTGTTCAGCAATAGTTGCTATGCAAGCAGGTCGAAGCCGGAGGAGGAGAAAAGAAAGGGCTGTGGGTGTGCGTTGGGGCCCTTTGGGTCGCCCCTGGGGCTGCACAGCCACCCGCCCGCCCGGCCAAGACCCGCTGCTGGATGTCACTTCTGGCCATCACGATTTCAACACGACCACGGCGACGAGGACGACAACGACGACGATGCACAGAACTGTGTTATTATAGCAGCCTCTCTAATACAGCATAAGCGGTCTTCACTGACCCACAGAAGACGGCGGTGGCTTTCTCAATCCTAATATACCCTCTACACATACTGTACGTCGACGCTTTTCGCCCATTTAGGGCTTCGAGACGTACCTCGTGGTTGAAACGGCAGATATGAGCGACCCATTTACGACATCAGCGGCGGGCAGCTTTGCTCAGCAGCAGCAGCAGCAGCAGCAGGGGCAGGGCCAGATCCCATCCTTGCCAGTACAGCAGCAACACCCGTTCATGCACGGTGCCGGGGGATCGCCATCATCACATCCCATCTCGCAGCAGCACTCGCACTTCAACACACATATACCAGCACCGATGCCAATAGAGAGCCGGTCGGGGAACTCGAGTCCCGCCGGAGGAGGTCACCATCCACGCGCAATGTCGCTTTCCCTTTCTCCGACTAACCCATTCCTGTTGGGTGCCGCAAAGGAGGCATCCGCTCTCTCCCACGCGGAGCTGTGGGGAACTGTGGGAGCGGGCTCCCTCCAACCGCAGCAGCAGCACGAAGGGACGGCAGTAGGGAGTGCATACCGATCGTCAGCAGGGCAGCCATGGTACGCTGCTGCCTCGAACGCGGCGACCTCTCCGGTCTCGCCAGTGTCGCCTTCCGCTGCGAGCCCATTTTATTCTTACGCGGAGCCGACCCAATCATCGTCATTCTCCAACTCGCCCATGATGTCTCCTCCAATACATGCGCAGGAGTTTGATCCTTTCGCAGACCCCCAGAACGCCGTACCAGCTGTTAGCGCGTCTCGACCTCAACCCCCTATACAACACGCCGCAACCGAGAAGCGTCGGCCGTCTCCTTTACCACCATCACGACTGCGAGATTCGCCGATCGGCGGGGAGATCCCCCTAAACGCACAGAGACGGGCGACCGTGGCGGAGTTGGGGCTCATGCAGCGGCCAGGATCTGGCGTTTCCTCGCGAGCGAGCAGTCCGACCGTTCATAGTCATAGTGTAGCTGAAATCTTAGACGGGCCGCATGGAATCGATGGGACTTCCGAGGCCCCTGCCTTGCCCGGGGTGAAGCAACTCACACGTGCGTTTAATGAGCTGAATCCGGCGAATGGTGTCATGGGAGGAGGGGGCAATGCAAACACCACACCCACGGTTCCGTCACCAAAGCCATTGGTGTCGGGGAACTCGTTTCCGGGGTGGGTCACTTTTGCGCAGGACACCGGAGGCTATTCACCAGGAAGCATAGGGACACCCATTGCCTCCCTTCCAACCCATCCGCCGCTAAGACAAGAGTACTCGGCGGGAAACGTAGTCATCTCCCCGCCCTCTCCTGCTATTCCATCCGTCGACACTTTACGCGGCGGGACAACCCGCCACATGTCCGCGCTTGAGATGGGCACCACCGGACTGGGGGAGCAGGCTCCCAATGGTGGACTGCTCCCTTCACATTCATCAAGGCCGGGCGCTGCTGCACCGCCGCTGGGATACTCCATGTCGGCAGGTGCGTTGCTGCCGCAGCCGGCATTGCCACCTCGTCTGTCGCCTCGGAGGTCGCCACTTTCTGGAACTCCGCTCGGTCGGCGGTCCGCTACTGCTTCGCTTAGCTCCCTAGATCTGTCAGGGTCGGCGGCGGCGTTGGGAACGTCTGCAATTAGGTTATCGGAGTCTGCGCTGAATCGCCGGGATGAGGACGGACGGGCTGCGGCAGAGGATGATGAAAGCAAGCGAATCAGTACCGCCTCTGATCCGTTCGGCGATGAGCACGATCTAGGGTATTCGGCACCAAACAGCGACGACGAGACCTACGCGGCGGACAAAATAGGGATTCCAAGAAAGTCTAAAACAGTGCAGGAACATCCGAAGCCGCGTTCACAGTTGCCAGGTGGCTCCATGAGCGCGGGCAAAGCAAGGTCCGTCCAGTCCCTCGCTCAAGGTTTTGCCTCGCAAAGCAACCTAGGCCAATCCGGGCTCGACGTTCTTGGCCCACCTGCACAACCACGAACCCCGAAACTCGTGAAACCGGCCTTCCCGCCACCGCCAATACCAACATCGCCGAGCGCTGCGTCGTTTGCCCAGCTGCCCATAGGTGGGGCGTTGGCTCTGAAACCGCATACTGACCCGGCAGCGGCGTCTTCCCGATCGTCGCATACGGACCTGCATCGGTCATCTCCGGCCAGCAGCCCGCTACGGCCGCCATTACCGCCTCGCCCTATCTCGCCCTCTCTCCGACCACAACCCGTCCTGTCCTCGCCACAAACAGGCGTCCTCCTAGAAGACTTTGCACCGGCCGTGCCCGCCCGCCCCGTCGCCCGCGCAGTCGAGGAAGCATTACAAGAATACGCCGCATTGTCCGGAGGCCAGTCCATGGCAACCATCCCCGACACAGGCCTACCCACCAGCGCTGGCCCAGGCGGGCTCGAAGACCGCTTCGCCGGCCTCCGCCGCGAGAAGCTCTACTCCCCCGACTCAGTCGGCACGAACCGCCGCCTCCCCGTCGCAGAAGGCCTCCCGAACGCCGACGTCTACCTCAAACACAACGTGCGCTGTTTCGCCGTCTCCGGATTCTACGCGTGCACCGGCGGCGACAAGAACGTACGCGTGTGGTATATCCCCACCGGCGACAACGTCCGCGCCGTGCTGGTTGGCGAGAACGCGAAGATATCGGCTATGGCGTATGTCCCCACCCGCTATGTCGAGGACGAGGGGCGGTTCCTGTGGGTGTCCCTCGAGAAGGGGGATATGATTGAGATCGACGTGTCTTCGGGTGAGATTGTTGATCGCAAGACGCCGCATTCGTCGGTTGTTACGCATATCTTGCGATACAGGGGGCAGATGTGGACGTTGGATGAGAATGGCGGGTTGAAGATGTGGGCGGAGGATCCGGGGAAGCAGCGTGTGGCGTTCTCGTCACGGCCGAGGAGCGTAAGGGTTGCTGCTAAACAGACACTCGCGTTTCCGGTTAACAACCATCTATGGACGGCGGCGGGGAAGCTTATTGAGGTGTACCTCCCCGGCGCGGACGTGGCCACCGCAGGAATCCCCGCCGGGGCCACCTCATCCTACTTCAAGCAACGCTTCGATCTGTCCGTCACAGTCGGGATCGGCAACATCAACTGTTTCGCCACAACCCGCGCCGAAACCACCGTCTTCTCCGGCCACGATGACGGCAAAGTCCTCGTCTGGGACGCTGTAACACTCACCAAGAAACGCATCGTCAACGTCGGCATGTACCCCGTCACCGCCCTCCTCGGCATCGGCGACAAGTACCTCTGGGCCGGCCACTCCACGGGCAAGATCCACGTCTACGACATCGAGAAGGTCGACGGTGACTGGACCGCCATCAAGGAGTTCCAGGCGTACCACTCCGCGGCCGTCGACGCCTTAGTCATGGACGAACGCTCCGTCTTCCTCGCGTCAAGATTACAAGTTGCCAGTTTCTCCCACCACGGCCAGATCCGCATGTGGGACGGGTTCCTCTCCCGCGACTGGCTCGAGAACCAGTTGCGCCTCCGTGAATCCGAATGGTGCACTTACCGTGATCTCAAACTCCTCGTGTGCAGCTGGAACCTCGACGCGTCGAAACCTTCGGAATTGGACGAAAGCAGGAACGCGGAGGACAATACCTTCCTCGTCCGCTGGCTTGGCTCCACCGAAAACCCCGATATCATCGTCGTCGGGTTCCAGGAACTCGTTGACCTTGAAAGTAAAAAAGTCACAGCGAAACAGTTACTGAAAGGCACGAAGAAGTCCCAGCAGAGTCATATGGACCACCGGTTTAAGATGTGGCGGGAGGCGCTGATTAAGGGGGTTCGGGATGCGCATCCGAAGGCGGGGTATAGGTTGTTAGAGTGTAGGCAGCTGGTGGGGCTGTTTCAGTGTGTGTTTATTAGGGAGAGTGAGGGGGCCAAGTTGAAGGATGTGGCGGTCGATATGGTGAAGACGGGGTTGAAGGGGTATCATGGGAATAAGGTATGCCCATTCTCGCCGTCTGGACATTCGCTTCTTTTTCTCCTAGTTGCTAATCCCCGTTTTCTTTGAATTACAGGGCGGCATAACAACCCGCTTCGTCCTCGACGACAGCTCCTTCTGCTTCGTCAACACCCACCTCGCCGCGCACCAAAACCAAGTCTCCGCCCGCAACAACGATGTCGCCACCATCCTCAAAGACGCGCATTTCCCGCCCCGTCCAGCCTACGAAGGCATCTTCATCGGCGGTGGCGACGGGTCCATGGTCCTCGACCACGAGAACGTGTTCTGGAGCGGGGACCTCAACTACCGCATTGACTTGGCCCGCGAGCGCGTGATTGAGCTGGTTGCGCAAGGTGATTGGATTACCCTGCAGGATCAGGACCAGTTGTTGAATCAGATGAAGATCAATCCGGCGTTTGGGCTGAGGGGCTTTTTTGAGGGGCCCTTGGACTTTGCGCCGACGTTTAAGTATGATGTGGGGACGGATCGGTATGATACGTCGGAGAAGAGGAGGGTGCCGAGTTGGTGCGATCGGGTATGTTGCCAATTGTGGATTCTTCTTTCATTTGTCGCAAACTGATTTCATTTGTCCGCATCATTTTCCGAAAAAACAGGTCCTCTACTCCAGCCCACACGCACGTCTCCTCCACTACACACGCCACGAGGCCCAACTCTCCGACCACCGCCCCATTTCCGCCTCCTTCACCGTCCGCGTCAAATCCGTGAACCCGCACGCCTTCCGACCCGTCAAAACCGACATGGAGACCCGGATGACCACCTACCTCCAACACGAGATCGACACCGAGAAGGTGCGCTGGCTGGCCAACGTATCCGGTGTCGCCGCGGAAGAGGCCCGCCGCGTGCTGGATGTGACTGCTGGGGATTTGAGGAGCGCGAGGGACTGGCTGGCGGCGAATCCGGGCCAGGTGCAACAGTGCGTGCCGCCTATGCATCCGCCGCCGCGGTTGCCGCATGCCCAGTCGGCGCTCATGTCCCCCGGTGCTTATGATGTCGGATCGCCGTCTGCCCAACAGCAGTATCAGCGCTGACCCTGTCGGCACAAACGACCAACCAATTTTGTTAACCCCCCTTATATACCAATGGGTCCCACTGACACATAAACACTATTGCGGATGCTCGTTTGTGTCGTAATTGTATATAAACGTATAGTAGCACCTTACCACCACCACCCCGATATTCCGGTATCCCCTGTACATAATACCTACATGGCCTTTGTCACCTCATATCAGTTCCTCTTGACGAGGGTGCGTGATAAAATCCCGTATCATTCGGTTCCAATATCCTGCCAATTATCGATTGCCCTCGCATCCACGACGCGTACCGTCTCTGTGCGATGGCGACTTTGCCCTACGATGTCCCCTACATCCCTGCATCCTCAAAATCGTCCTGCCAGGCCGAGCACGCACATATATCCATACATACAGACTACTAGCACGTCTCGCAGCACGATCCACTCTTGAGCTCAGCGACGAATCCTGCATTGTGCGAAGGAAGATTCGAACGGCCCTGTCTTGCATAACAATCCAGCGCCATGCCGGACCGCGACATCGTGAATACGTACGATCGGTCAACGGTGGCTCCTTACCACTTCCTCTTTCTTCCAGCATTTGAAGGCCCCCGTCTGATTTTTACGACAAATCCTTCAACGAGTGGATAAGCGTGCTTGGCAGAGGGATTGAAATTACACCACCAACCACAACACGCAGTAAGGTATGTCCATCTGCTGCTTCTGCATACCCTCTCCTGGTGAGAGGATTCGGCTGTTCCGTTCGGCTGCCGGGACTGCCGGGGTTGCCGGCGATGGAGATGAAGGCTGCGGGGGATGAGGATGATTATGATGAGGAATGAATTTGGGGGCGGGAGGGGGATGGTTGTGTGAGAGGTGGGGAGGGAGTATGGTGGGCGGTGCGGGTGACGAGATGTCCCGACTTCCTTCACACTTTGGGGGATGAACGAAAGCGGCCGATTTCCGCTTGTATAGAGTGGTATGCCTATGTACATATAATCTACTGGCGCACATACTGTACACACATGCACATCTTTTGATTCGGTGGTTGCTTTGTTCCCGACCTCCCTTCTGAGCGTGTAATGATGGGAAGTCAGTTCGTGGGATGTGCGTGTGACGGCGGGGAAGCTGGCGGAGAAGCGAGAGAAGCTCCGCAGCCGTTCAACACACTTTCAACATTGGAACAAGACGCTGTTGCTGAGCCTGTTGCGCTCACTGTCCCCCCTTCCCCCCCCCCCCCCTCCCCCCCCCCCTGCCAGCATCCACCAACCCACCCACCCGCACTCCACATCTCCCAACATGCCGCCCAAACAAGCAGCCCCCTCCGAAGGCTCAGAAGTAAGCCACCTCCACGTCCCGTCCTTTCCCACTATGTCACGCTCACCCCCCGCCTTTAGGAAAAATGGAAACAAATGACCTACAGGATAACACTCGCCGCCGACGCCCTCGACTCAGCCGTGGGAGAGCTGGTCGGGAAGAAGCCGAGAGCGTTCCAGAAGGAGCGGGAGGCTATATTGGTGGAATTTTGATTGAGGTGTGACAACCCTCGACTTTGTAAACCGCAGTGGCAAAAGTAGCAGGAAAGCTGGTATCTCCATTTTCCATATAGGAAACAACTCCTTACCCCTGACACTGTGCATGTAGCCACCCCGGAAGCCATCTCGGAACCTGAAGAAGAAGAAGCGACCCAGGAATTCGAAGAGGAAGAAGAAGCCGCACACGCGCCAGCAGAATCCCAATATCCGATGGCCATGACTGAGGAAGAGGCGCTTGATTTTGGGGAGGATGATGAGGAGGAAGTTTTACAGCATGATGTGAACAATGTGGTTGGGGAGGATGAGGATGAGGATGAAGATGCGCATGCGGAGTTTGATGAGGATGATGTGGAGAATTTGGTTTTGTATTTGTAGAGACTGGGAGGTTGACGAGGATTGGCCGGATGGTGGCGGCGACTGGGAAGGAGCTTCCACTGCAGGGATCGGCTGTGAAAACTTGGTCCTATGCGGAAGGGACTTGCGGGATAACAATCGCATACCACCGAGTTGCATCGACACATCACCAACGCCCCCGACATCAACACCCCCATCAGCTCTTCTCATACAACAAAGTACAAAGTGAGGCAGAAAAGCAACCACCCACTCCCAGCCCACAACCCACAAGAGTCTTTCAGACTCCACCCAGGACATATTGCACACATGACCGCATCTTTCCCGTAAATATATATAGATGCACCGCTTTTTACAATCCAGGACTATTCCGTAATTTATGTATATGATTTTTCTTTTGAACACAATGATTTGTAATGATAACAGGAGAATGCAGCTGGCGATGCAGGTTTCGTTTGGCGGTATTCTGGTGCTTTGGCATCCATCGAAGCGAGGCTCTGGCTTGCGGGTGCCGGAACACGTCGCCGCGTTGGGGAAGTCCTTGTCGTTCATGTTCGGTCGCAAAAGATATGTGGGCCGCATTGTCCACATCATTGAAACAACAACGACAAGGGCCTCCATGTCATGTAGCGGTCCTGATCGGTCGGGGAACTTGTCCGGCCATCTCGACTCTCACCCCTGTTCATGGGTTCACTGCACAAGAAGGCACATGTTCAATAAACGTGTCCTGTCCGAGTCAAAGTGAAACCGAGAGGTCAAAAACGAACTGACATCGGGCACGCCAGAGGGCGGGACCATCGGGCAGGACTGGGCAGGACGTTTGGGTGATATTTGCAGTGTGCCATCGCGCCTTGTCCGAACGCGAGGTGTTCCCAAAACGCGTGCATCACGTCCGAGAGAAGAACCCCCAAGGGACTGCGTGTGCTCATCAGCCCTCATACTTCAACCCTCCAGGGCCCCGCCATCAACAATGCTGTCCACCGCCAACGACGACGACGAGGAGGACACAGCCCTCCTAGGTCATTTCTCAGAATCCGCCACCGTCACCGTCAAAGGCCGCCCATGCCGCCTCTCTGTCTCGGGCAACATCCTCACTCCGAGCAGCAACAATGGAGGCGGTGGGGGAGGGGACTTGACTGTGCGGCTGGACTGTGTGGAGAGTGGGGAGGCTTGGGGGGCGGGGTTCTCGCCTGCAGGTGGGTTCCGGGAGGGGCGGGTTCAGTGGGTTGTAGCGAGGGAACCGATAGCGGGCGTTCGGAGTTTCTGGCGAGCAAAACGAGCCTCAGTCCTCGTCCGGCAGCATTGCCGCGAGCGGAGCGAGCAGGAGCTCTTTTTGTATATCGTCTTGTCCGTATCGTCTCATCGATCTTTGCTCCAGCGCTCGAGGACATAACAAAGAAAACAGGCAACTTCAAGCGCTACTCAGTCTTCTTAGAAATGCTGGTCTCCTCTCTGAAGAAGGTGCGGTGTCTTTGATCACGTCTTGTCTCATCATCGATGGACATATGTCTAACCGCCCAAGTACCTCCCCCAAGCCCAGCCAAATAGTCCAACTCGATTTCCTCACCACATCCGACCTGGAAGCGCTGAAAAAGACACAGCGCGGCGGGGCCGATCCGCTGCCAGGTGAACCCTCAGCGTGGAAACCGAGCGACGCGCCAGACGATAAGGCGTGGAAGAAAGTGTATCTGATCTTGACGTATGCTGTTGCTTTTGATCGGTATGTAGTATGTGCCCGTGAGCTCAGGGTGCCGTCTTGAAGTGGGAATGAGATGAGACGGTCTGACATTTGAGATTATTGTTGCAGGGTGCACTATCCGCTACCCCTCCCATTGATATCCACGCCAAAAACCAAGCGAAAACCACCAGACGCGCGAATTGTGGCGCTGGAGAGAGAGAATGCTGAGTTGACGGCGGAGAGGGCTAGGCAGATGAAGGAGATTTCTAGCGTGAGTTGGCTTGTCCTCGCGGGGTGTTGGGATATAGCGGTCTGGGAAAAACCACTCAGCAACCCAGCCATCGCTCACCTCCAATATCGACTATCAGCTCCTCCGCGAGAACGATAAACTCAAATACAAACTCAAACACGTCCCGCGAGACCGTCCATCAGCCAGGTACGGTGTAAACAAACCGCAGTCTCCTCACACCCACCCACTCCCCTCACACCCCTCACCCCCATATAACCCCCCTAGCACAACCGCCCGCCACGACTGGACACAAGAACTGCACGCCCTCCGCGTCGGCACGCAGCGGTACCTCAAAGACCTCGAACGCGAGTTGCTCCATTTTCGGAAAAAGCATCCGGGGTTGCAGAATGTAGGTTCGTGTTTGGGGGTTTTTCATGTCGAATATGGGTTTTCAGGAGGCGCTTGGACTGATGGCAATTCTTGTTTGGGTAGTCGCCCCAGGTGTTGAGGATAGGAGACTACCTGGCTCGCCTGCAATCGCTTATTTGGCTGTTTTTGGTATTTGCCCTTCTCTCTCGGGCTTCTCTCTCTCGTCCCTCCCACACACTAACCTCGTTGTGGATCAAAGGACGACACCCAACCACTACCACCCTCCACCACCCACACATCAAAACGCAAAGCTGATATTCCCGCCACGCGTATCGCCGATAAAAGTGGTCCCCGATCGAGGGACAGAAGTACGGCGAGTGAGCGATATAAAATGGTGCAGAGGGCGACGAGACGGGACTCGCTTTCGTCGATTGATAGTGGGGGGAGGTATGCGCAGCGACGGGGGGAGAGGGACAAGGATGTGTCGCCGGGGGTGGTGCGGAGGTGAGCAATGCGAGTTTTACCTGCGGGGTCTTTGTGATGGGAAAGATCTGGGTGCTTACCGAATTCCATCTAGTGAATACAAACCCGTCAAATCCCGGCCCCTCCGCCCTCCGCCTTCCCCAAGCCACTCGCACGCCTCGTCGTCACACCACAACGCGAAACCTGCGCGTACGGCAAGTAAAAGTAAAAGCAAACCAACATCCCAATCACCAGCGCGGCAACACTCTTTTCGACGGTTTGATCCAACAGAATATATCCGCGCGCGGACGAGTCAGTTGGATGAACGCCGCGCGCGGAGCCGGGAGCGGATCGAGGGGGGCATGTTTGGCCGTCAGGCGTCTGCGGACTCGGTCGGATCCACGCGGTCTGGTGCTGGATCGCGTGATAGGGCGAGACGGGAACCAGCGGGTCTGGGAATTGGGGCGGGAAAGAGTGGAAGACGATCGGCGTCAGCGACTAGTCTGGATAACGAAGTGCTGAGACGGGTGTTGGATGGACGGTATGGGTATGATGAGACGAGGAAATCGAGTGGGACGAGAAGGGTGAGGGATAGGGAGAGTAGCGCTGGCGCGCGGAGAGGGTATGAGGGTTCACCACACCCCCCGCCGCCGCTGGGAAGGACGGGTAAAGCGGCGCGGAAACCGTCGTCGCCTTCAACGCGGGCGTACCCACCACCAGTACATGACTCGACCGCTTATCCCAGTCGACACCGCGATGGTGATCAACACCGCCATACCCGTCCCACGCAACGCCGCCGTGAATACAACAGCGCCGACGATGATGATGATGTTGGCGATGGAGGATTCACAGACGCAAACACAGACGCGAGCGACCCCGCGATCGAGAGCATTGATCGGCGGTTGGAGGTTTTGTATGATGCGATTTTGAAGGTGCAGGGTGTGGCTGGTCCGGGTGGGGCTGCGCGGAGGAGGGGGTGAAGGCGGGTTTGGATGGCAAGATCATGTAGGATTATGGCGTATCCCGCCTAAGCAGTCGGATCGGATATGAACACGCCATTGTTTGCTATACTAAGGAACGTAAACTCCGACACGCGTGCAGAGGCACGTGACCCGGCGTTGCGAGTTTAATGCGCTGGGGACGTCATCACCCTCTCCTCTTGCCCCTCCAAAGCTGGCCCAGCGGTCGGAGCTACATGCATACAGTACATACATACATATGTTACATACGTACGTAGGTCGACTGCAGGGAAAGGGCATTCGCTACTAGGATGGCCGCCGCAGCAATGGCCGCCAACTCGCTGCGAGGCTACCTGACTCCGACAGACCTCAACTCATATCATACAAACTTGTGCAAGAAGTTCCTATGGCTTGCCGACGAGAAACGTGGAGGGACAAAGGGAGATTCAAGGAACCCTTTACATAAGAAGGCTCCACCACCACCGCAGGCGCTGACTGAGGCCAGATTTGGGAAGGGCAACCAGGTGTGTACGCCAATTGACGCGACAGCGGGGTCGAGCGACGCGAGGAGGTTGCGAGGCGAAAGCGAGGCCAACTGGGCCAAAGGCACAGGGATGCTTGAGGTATGCGAGCGGAGCCAAAGGCGCAATGCCTCCCCTAACCACGATTCTTAGCGAGCGTCTGCGAGCGTCAGATCTATTAGCGAGCGAAGCGAGCTACGCTCCGCCCACCGCAACCAAAACATCCTCGTCGCGAGCGGAACGAGCAGGATATTGTTTGTTGATAGATGGTCGATGGCTGATGGGTTGATGGATTGATGGGTTGATTGATGATGTTTGCTGAATCGTTGATTTGTTCAGTGGGAAAGGCGACTACGAGAGCGACTGAAAAAAGAACATCTCATCCTCGCTGGTCCCGGAAGCCCGCCAATCAGTATCGAAGAACTCGTCAACCTGATCAAACGTGACCATCGCCCGCATTTCTACATTGTCGACCTAACATTCCAGTCACCGGATTTCGATGACCAACTAAAAAGCCGGAACTCGCCTCCAAAATCAGTCCGTTTCGGAACATTCAAACCAGACTTCCTAGAAATCTGGCTGAACCGTGATGACGCGGGCGCGCTGGTTGAGATCAAATTCAGGGTGATTGATGCCAAAGCGTCGCGGAAGGTCAAAGTTTCGCATCAGGTGCAAGTGGGGTTTTACTGGCTGGCTCTGACGGAGCTCTTCAAAGATTGGCGTGAAAAGTCCGATTCGTCACGCGTGGAGATCGTTCCAGACGAGATAGGCGAGATCTGGATACCCGCGAAAGGAACAGCTCTGGATATCTGCGATGTTCCTTCGCCAAAAGGATCATTCCCATTACTGATGCTCCAGCCCCTTCTGGAAACGTTCTTATTCGAAGAGCTATCCCGACTCCTTTCGACCGATCTCACCAACGTCCCATGGCATCTCAACCCCCTCTGTCAGGGCTGCGAGTTCTTACCACGTTGTCGAGCGGAAACCGTGCGCGAGAAGAGGTTGGGGAAGATACCTCATCTCTCCGGGGCCGATGCAGTCTTTTTGAAGGAGGTGATACAGACTTATGGGAGCGGGAAGAGGAGCGAGCTGGAGGATTTGGAGTCTATTGTCCGGGTATCAGCCCTGCGTGATGATTTTCCTGCGTATAAGCGGTTGGAGCGGATGCTGGCCATCTCGAACGTGTCGTTTCAACCCGCTGGACGGGTCGTTGACGCTGCTTCTAGAGCTGTTTCGGACGAAATTCTCGGGCCTGCCACTGACGAACTCGCTCGCGTTGAAAAATCTACGGACTGGGCAAACCAACCGGGCCCCACATTCGGTGCGGGTCATGACACCGCACCGAAAAGCTCAGTCCTGACAGCCGCGCTGCAGGACAAAGTCGCTCCACTCTTGCGAAGCTGCCTAATATTCCCACGGGAGGAGGACATCAGCGTATACCTGACTCTAGGCGTCGACCCAGAAACAGACCGACTATACGCCTTCTCCATCCTGGCGTCGGACAGCACATCGGACGCCAAAACAATCCACGAGACCTCCGCCATCGCCAACCCAAACCCACTCGCAGTGTTTCAAACCACGTTCATCGAAAGCCTTGCAACGCTGATCAAAATGTTATTGGACCGAAAGGAATCGCAGGCACCTGAACCGGTGCGGGTCCAATTCTACGTCTTCACCCGCGCCGACTCGGACACCCTCGCCCAAATCCTCGTCGACGAAGCCATACGTTCCCCCGAATGCACCGAGGCGGCCAAACTCTGCATCGGGGCGCTGTTAACCCAGTCCTCGGTCCTGCTCACCAGCGTGCAGCCGGAGCTGCTGGCGAGTGGTCTACTGCTCAAAGTCCGCAAAACAGACCGTGTGGATGAGATAAGACGGTACCTGCGTATTTTTGGTGGGAGTGGGATCGATGTCACGGGGGCGAAGGAAGTGATGTTGGCGAGGTTGTCGGCACTTTTGGAACGAGGAGGGAATCCGGCGGGGAGGGAGTCGGGGCTGCAGAGAATGTTACCGAAAGTCGCGGTTCTGCATGAGTGTGTTAGGGCGTTGGTCGCGCTTCCCATACCCGGGTTCTACGGGATTGATGGGGCATATAAATATCTGCTGGGTGACGACGCCACGGGAGAGGATACGGATATCGGGGATACCATCTACTCCACCTACAAAGCCACCCCCACAATCCCCATCTTGCACACCCACCTGAAGCGGCACGGATCCAAAATGCTTGCCATCGCCACCGCTTTACGCCATCTCATCTCCACCTCCACCCTCTCTTCCATCCGCAGCATACACGACATCCTCCCCAACACCGCCCGGGATTTCTCCGTAACCTACATCGACGTCTGCCACCACCCCACCCTCCGCAAACTCCTCTTCATGGCCCAATACGAAGTCACCGTGGAGCTCCAATCCCTCATCCACGACCGGCTATCCAACACTCACACCACCCGCCTCGTTTACCACGGCGATTCAAATTTCACGTGTACGAGTGGAAGCGAGTACGTGGACGTATCCACAACGACCGAGTGGCGGAAATATGGGTACATCATCACGAAGAATCACGGCACCGAGGTGGATGTTGCTGCGGTGGGGTTTGATGATTTGGCGTTTGCGGGAGCGTATGGGCCGCTGATTAGGGGTGGGGAGACGTGGGGGGTTGCGGAGGTGGTTGAGATGGATTCAAGTAGCAGGGTGAAGATTGCTGTCCGGGCGGGGAGGGATTTCTTGCAGGAGGGTGAAGGGTATATATTGCGGAAGCGGATGGTTAATTTCAACACGGCGAAAGTGATCAAGAGCTTGTTGGCTATCGACCAGGCGTCCCTGGGTCACGCGACAATGCCGTTTTTCACACGGTTGCTGGATGAGGATGCCGAGATGGATCCCCCGCCGAACGTCGCCGAGGACGCAAAACTCGAAGCGAGGTTGCAAACAACGTACAGGGAGTACTACACCCTAAAAGGCGGCGATCGGCCGTTACTCCTCGCCACAAGCCAACGCAAGGCGTTCAAGGAGATATTAGAGCGGCCGATCGCGGTTATATGGGGCCCGCCAGGACACGGCAAGACGCATACGTTGGCGCTCGCGGCGTTACGGTTGATGGAAATCACTGGCCGCCGCTCGAATGCACGGGACCCGTTCCGCGTGCTTGTGACGAGCGCGACGAATAGCGGGGTGGACACGTTATTGCGCAAATTTGAGTTTCTGTTATCGAACGTCAGACAGGTGGAAGGGCTGGAATCACCCTGGCGCGACCTGGTCCAAGTCTCCGTGCTCCCCAAAGACGCCACCAAGATGCCCAAACCCGCCGACTTGCCCACATACGCGGTCGTGGGCGGTACGGTGTGGGGCATCTACAAATGGCGCGAGCGGCTCAAACACATCGGCGACGCGTTCCAGTGCCTGATCATCGACGAAGGGAGCCAGATGACCGTCTCGGAAGCCGCGATCGCTATCGATACCGTGATGCAGAACGGGACCGGCAAACGTTTGATCGTCGCGGGGGACCACCTCCAGCTCCCGCCCGTTCTCAAAGGCGGGTACCCCGACGAGACCCGCTTGTTCGGCTCAGTCCTGGAATGGCTGGTCGAGGTCGATGCGGACAGTGAGGAGAAACGGGACAGGCGGATGACGATGTTGCAGGAGAATTTCCGGATGGTGAGGGACCTTTGTAGGTTTAGTAATGAGTTGTATAAACGCGGTGGGGTGTTTTTGCCGATGCGTGCTGGGGAGGAGGGCGCGGACTTTGCGGCGGAGGTGCTGGGGGGTGGGGATATGGCGTTGGTGTCGTCGCCGATTGTCCAGTCTCCTACCGCCGCGCTCCCGTCGTGCCCGCGGACGACGATCCTGCTCCCTGAACCGCATGCCCGACTGGAGGATCAATTGCAGTATGAGGCCAACATCGTAGCGCAACTCGTGCGCTCGTTGCAGCTGTCGGACGTGGATGGGACGAACATCAAAGTGATCACGCCGCATCGGGTGCAGCGGAGTCTGGTCACGAGAGTGTTGAGGGACGCTGGGTTGGAAGTCGAAGTCGTGGATACTGTCGAGAGGGTGCAGGGAACGGAAGCGGATGTGGTTATCGTGTGCTATGGGTTCGCGGGGTGTCGGTCCTAGTAAGTCTTCTCTCCCTATCCAATGCCTTCCCCCCCGCCCCTACCTGGATTTGCTAACCAACCCACACCCACTTTCCTTCCTCCAGCCACGAATCAACTCTAACATTCACCTACCACCTCCGCCGTCTCAACGTCGCCCTCTCACGCGCGCGCGACCGGTGCATCCTCATCGGCACACGGGAACTTCTCTACCCACCCCTATCCGTCGTCGGGACCGGCGAGATGCGGGATGCGCTGGCACGGGTGTGGGGGTTTTTGAAGGCGGGGCTGATACGGACGTGGGGTGGGAGACGCGGGTCGTTGATGAGTGAACTGAGTGTGGATGGGGAGGCGGCGTTGGGATATGGGAGTTTTGATGAGGAGGCGCTGAGTAGGATGATGACTGGGTTGGGTGTTTGATGGGGTGGGTGGTAATAGCTTGGAGGCAGGTGTGCAAAAGCGGCGTGGGTAGTAGGTAGTGTTTGTTAGCCTAAGAAGTTTACCTAGTTTTTGGCATTCAGTTCATAGTTATTCGGCGCCCAGCGCTTTGAGTGAGTGATGGCTCTTCAAAATCTCACTCTCCCATCAAGAGTTTCATTCTATCGCCTATATAGTCTAAATCTACATTCACCATGGCCTTCTCATTTATCGGATCGTTTATGGGCGGAAGTACTACGCGGCGGCGGCTTCCCCACGATTTCCATCAACCTGACCATCTCCCCACTGAACTCGCCCTCCCTATCCCTGACACACAAAACCCTCACATTATAATCACCCCTCCACTCCCCCCAAGCCATAACAAACACACTAATCAGCGGTTTCGTCCCACCCCGTTCCTCCCTCCCCCAGCAATCCCACCTCTCCACCACACACATCCCCACACTCTTCGCAGCCGTCTCCGTCCTCAAGATCTCCAGCCCAGTCTGACAGACCACGAACCGCGACTTGGGGCCGGGGGCGAGGTACTTCGCCGCTGCCTGGCAGTATGTTTCGATCCCGCCGCGGAGTTCGAAGGAGCACATGCCGCGGTTAGGGTGGGTGGGGAGGGAGCCGGCTGTAGAGGGAAAGTAGGGGGGTGTGCCAGTTATGAGGGTGAAGCGGCCGTTAGAGGGGAGGGTGGAGGATCCGGAGACGAGATCGCGGAGGTCGAAGTGGTGGATGGTGGCGAGGGTGAAGGCGTTGAAGGCGAGGGTGCGGCGGGCGAGGTGGACGTGGACTGTTTGCGCCTGGGAAGAGTACGGATACCGTTAGATCGTGCGGAAAGACTGACTGGAGCCCGGTATTTTGGGTATGGACGATTACCTCGACCCCGGTCGCTTGTTTGAGCGTATGCTCCCATTGCAGTAATCCCCATCCCACCATTCCCAAAACAGATCCCAGCCCGCATCCGATGTCCATGTAGCGCTCCACATGTATACCGTTGCTTTGCACAAGGTCCAATGCAATCGCTGCTGTCAGAACATCGTCAGTCGTCGACCTGTGCCGTAGGAATGCGAATCTGCGTCAGTTGCGCCGTCTCCGCCGAGACGCCATTTTTCTCCATTCATACCGGTGACCATTGGTCAACTGATAAATCATCCATTTCCCAGAAAGTGCAGTCAACATCTCCCCTTCCCCCGGAGCCCATTCTGCGTTCTCCGCAGACCCTTTCGGTTCTGGACCCCTAGCAACCCAACAAGCTGGCGGTTTGAACGGTCGGATGGTAGGCTTCGTTGGGGCCCCTCCAACTTTCGTGGGATACGAGTGACCAAGTCCTTTGCAGGGCTGGCAAGGGCTGTAAACAACGTTTTTGGGGTTTGGGGGATGGAGGCCATCGTCCCCCGATGGTGGTCCTGTATCGACCCCTGTCTCCACAGCGCCACCCTTATCTCTCCGTTTCTTGTTCTTCTTCACGGTCCTCCCTCTGCCTCCGCACTTCCAGCATACGGTGGCATGTTCCTGCAAAAGCCCTCCATCCTCTCTCGAGGCGACGGCGGAATTTCGCCGCACATAGCGGTGTGCGGACTTTGCGTCTGAAGCGAAGTGTAGTTGGGTATCGTTGGGATGGGTTGGGATAAGGGAGCTTAGTCCAAGAGGCTGCATATTGGAATTCAACGGAAGACACAAAGGTGGAAGACGTCAATTGCAAGCCTCAGAGGCTCAGTGCGGTGGGACAGCAATGGTCTCAATGGTGTTTGCTTCCTCTACAGAGTACATATGTATATAAGACCGCACAAGTGTGAAGGTCCGGCGGCGGGCAATCGATGTTCACTGTCAGGTTCACTGTGCTCGGAAAGGGAATCCCAGCCTTCCATTCCTGCTTCCATTCTCCCCGCAAGGACACGCAAAAGACCCCACAATGGGAAACACACATCCTTTGCCTCTCTCCGCCCCCGCAACCACTGCCTCATCCACGACGGGCCCGTCAGCATCACCGGCCACTATCCCTGTCACTGCCCAGACTCCGCCTTCGTCACCTTAGAAGAGGTCTTGTTCTTGATCACAGCTCAACTACACCCTCGAGACCGTGCCCGGGCCGCGCGACTCCTCACCAAATTCGAGCCCTGTCCCGAACTCGCCGCCCTCCGGAGAGTTCTGGACGACGACCAAAGGGAAAAGGTTATGTTACGGGCTGAACGAGCGAAACCAGCCGCACTGGGATAAACGCATTATGGGGTCTTGCCCGATTCACGCCGAGGAGAAAGCAATTGACGTCGGCGGAAACAAACAACTCAGGATGCAACGATCGAAGCAAAATCATACAATTGTTGCCCACTCAAATGACTTATCTGCGCTCGTCTTCAATCGGGTTACCTTTCGTACTGTACTAATGTATAGCGACCTACGTCATCACCTGTTCGTGTGAGGGCGTCGTTTACATTGAAGGACGTTACGTTTTTTGACGTCCTTTGGCATGGACGCACGCATGACCTGCGCATGAGAAACAATGAGCGAGGGGTTGGACAAACCTGCTGTTTTATAGGCGAGCGGGACGAACCGCGAGCCCCGACTGTCTGCTTGCGAAGGTTGAGCACGGAGAGGGGCGGGAGATAAGTCAGGGCAAGTGTTTAGGGGGATAGGCAAGGAGAAGGACATGAGGCGGCTACGCGTTCTTTCCTGCACCTACAGCACAGTACAGTACTCTGCGCGGCTTGCTGGAAGCCCGGAATAACCCCGTTAGCGTTCCACGACCCGCGACGTTGTGCGAGGTGTGCTATCTTGGCTATAGGGTCGTCGAGGTGTGCTATTTTGGCTATAGGGGCTGGCTTTGTGTCCGCTGAGCATCCATCCGTCACTACCCATGCTCACATGCTGTCAGTCTGTCCTGCACTCTGTCCTTCACTCTGTCCTGCACTCTGGGAGGGCTAGAGGGAGGGAGCGTAAAGTCGTAGGTTTATAATGCTTGTAATGCTTGCTGCGCGAATACTATACGTGCGCGGAACGTTCTTATATATTCATTGACTATGGTTTGACGAGACTGGATGGAAACTATCGACATGGACCTACAGTAGTATCGCGCCCCCCCATAGACTACGTACTCTAGGCTGCAGTCTTTCGTGTCCGATGTCCCTTCGATTTTTCTAAAGCCTCCTTTTTTGCCTTTTTGCCCGCCTTGTCCTTGGGCGTATTATCTCGTTTATTCCACTCGTACCAGTACTTGTCCAACATGTGCTGCTCGGCATCGATCGCAGCTTGCCCGGATCCGACATACACGCAACGATAGAGAACAACCACATTCTTCTCGATTGCATATTGGACCATTGGAGCGATATGCGAGCATTTCTTATCGACCTTCTTGAAGCCGAGATGTTGTTGAAGGCGGTCAGCCATATTGGTGGTCATTCCAACATACATGATGCTCCTTTTGCTGTTGAAAGCGATTTCGTAGACGGCCGCCTTGGCCATGTCGCTTGATAGCGACCCCAAATTTACGTCACGAATGACCTTGAACTCGGCATCCTCCAACTTGCGAGCGTTTCTCCGCGCTCTCTCTGCCCTCTCTTTCTTGAACCGAGCATAACAGAATTCTGAGTTTGATTCTGAATCGGGATCCGTACTGCTGTCCAGTGCACTGTCAGAGTCGTTGTGCCGCCGTGGAGGCTTGGTGGCCTCCTCGACAACAATTACATCATTTACACTCGCTTTACGTTTTGCTGAGCGTTGCTGGGGTAGCTTTGGCTTCGAGCTACTACTACCTTCGGATGATTCCTGTAAAGTGTTGGCTGCCTCCTCGACAACAAGTACATCATCTTCACGCGCTTTCCGTTTTGCTGAGCGTTGTTGAATCGGCTTCGGCTTCGACTTCGAGCTACTACCGTCGGATGATTCTTGTGGAGTGGGACACCTAGAGGCGTCATGCGAGTCTTCCCCCGACTCTTCTGCGGACTCTTCTGCCGACTCTTCTGCCGACCGGCTCAACCGCTTGAGAGCATACACAATGTCAAGTGAGTTGACGGTCCTTCTCTTCCCAAATTGTGCATACGTCAAAGCATCACGAATTATGTTTTCCAGGAAGCACACCAAAAGGTCGAAGGTCATTTTGCAAACACCGTCAGAGGGAATCTCGGCGCCGCCGCGGCGGGCCAGAAGGCGAATGGAACGTTTCCAGCCCTCCGAGAGAGAATCCCCTGCCTCAGCGGAGCCGGAACCCGCTGCCTCGTAAACCTTGGCAGCCGCCTTCAAATCCTTCAGATCCAGATTGACCATAACCTTCTCCATTATTCCCATCGCCCCGTTCTCAGATCCAACTTTCTCGCTTCCACGGGATATGCCTTTATAGTGCTTGTGAAGATACGTGACATATTCTCCGGCTATTTCCTGTAGCGCCCCAACGGCGCTCGACTGGATGGACCCGTCACCAAAGTGACGGAGAATCTCGGAAACAAGGCGTTTAAACTTGGGGATCGCAAAGGCCTTCGCAGGGTCCGTAGGCTCCGCAGGTGCGGCTTGACGACTTGTCTTTGCCGGTGCTTTTTTTGACATTGGGGAGGGAATGCGAGTAGTGGGTGGTATCGGGAGGTGATTGTGTCGGCAAAGCTGTTTTCGTATTTGGTTTGCGAGAGAGAGGGGAAGTGCTCTGCACAATGAATACGTATAGTATAACGACCAGCCGGCGGGGAACAAGCTATCGTATGGAGACACAAAGAGAGATGTAATCAGTTGCAAGTGCACGTTCGTATAGGGATCAACCCAGTTACCCAGCCAGTTACCCAGTAGTACCCAGTGCTCGACCGAAACGCGCCTCCTGGCATGAGTCAACAGGAGTCACATAGGCAATCAGTCTGAGGCGTACAGTCAGTGGACAAAAAGCTGTGTGCACCCCATATGGATTTCAATGACCGTTTCACAAAGCGCACCGCGCGTTTTGGAGCCGCAAGCTTGAGTATTGAAGCCAGCGACGAAGCCGTGATGGCGAAATGCACGCCAACATCTTCACCACCTCAGCTATGGGGAAACCTCTCACACCACAAAAAAGGGCAGCCATAGTTGCCCTCCATATAGCAGGCAAGATGACATCTGAAATTGCAAGGCAGGAGCACGTTCACAGGAATACTGTGAGGAACACTATTAAGAGGTTTGCAAACGAGAGTGCCACTGCACCAACCGCCTATCAATCGAAGAAGCCAACAGGAAGACCAGCTAAGTACCAGCCTTCTGACGATGATTTGGCTGCCTTTCGCAGTATTGTCGTTCCGCCTATTCATACATCGGCTGAAACTCGACAGTTCTTTGATGAACATGGCATTGAGCTTCTTCCCTGGCCAGCGCAGAGTCCAGATCTCAATCCGATTGAGAATCTGTGGGCAATGCTCAAACGGAAGGTATCGAAAGCGAACCCTACCCCTGGAATGTTGGACAACGTTGTGCAAACTATATGGCCCACAATGCAGCCGCATCTTGATGCATTGACACGGTCAAGGCCATCAAGAATGGCAGCCGTAATCGCAGCCAATGGGGGGACAACTAGGTATTAGCGAAATTCAGATCTAGATCCATTCATTTAGGTCAGGTTTTGCAATGCCCCAAGATTAAGGATGATGAGTTGATGTCGCGCAACGCGCGTCAGACACTGACTTAATCTGGCATGCACACAGCTTTATGTCCACTGACTGTACATGTACATACAGTATGATAGCCGAGGATCTTATTCCAGTCAAGACCGGCCCAAGGGCAAATTTGGCCAATAGCCCGAAATGGCAAGGGGTATATCGCACTAATAGCACACTCACTGCGTTCTACATATGTTTCTGCAAATACCATGAGCTCACAGAGGGTTTTGGTGAAGGTTTGTGTTGGAATTGTCTGTTTTTTTACGACGCTTATCAATCATATCTATGGCACAGCAGATGAACCTCTAGTAAATCAATCGCTATGTTTGCGGCACAAGTACAATACAGCAAATATGCTTCCCAGCGCATGAACTCCATGGTAAACCATCATATATGAGCACGGTCTACCCCATCCACTTGCCATTCTGCGGGTCTAACGCAGGCCAGTCGTCTGCATATGGATCCATCCACCGTTGCAGCCCGATTTCAGGGGTCTCTCCCAATAAAAACATATCTCTCCCCATCAAATCATATGCGTACAATCGTGCCGTCCCATCAATAAAGAAGACGAAGGGATTACTGTACGCTAGCCCGAAAACCGGTTTCGGAATCCAATCCAGATCGGGCACGTCTTGATTATCGTGCAGGATGACGGCGTGTTGGTCACCGTGCGCGCGGAGCTTCTCTGACAGGTGTAGTCTGTTCTCCTCCGTCAGGGCTGATGAATGCTTATTCCTACCATCTGCCAACTCAGGAGATCCCGCTCCGCCTCGCACGTGTGGCAAGGCATATGTGGGGTGTTCGCATCGCTCCAGATGGCCAAACTCCATATTGTCCAGCCTCTCGCTGCAGCTTCCGTTCTGAAGACACCCCATGGAATCGTCTCGCCGCAGCGCCCTGGAGGATTTGCTCTTCGTGTGATTCCGTGAACCGTATTTGTTGGGCTGGTCGTCAGCCATTGATAGAAATACTCGGCGTCTCTCGTCGAACGCCTTCTTCGAGTCTCGATCTTGAACGACACCTTTTCCGGTCCGAACCCAAGTTGAGAGTTGAGCACCCAAAGATCGTTGCCCGCCCTTCCCCCACATATGTAAAAACCTTGTACTGTAAATTGAATTCTTTCCCCATGACTCCTAACCCTAACCCTAACCGTAACCCAAATAGACATCCGACGCTTCCCAAAGTCAGGTCTGAGCGGCTGCCATGGAGTGCCAAGGAGATTGAATGCTTGCTGAAGGGCGTTTTGCGCCCAACCTCAATCTTGATTCTACTGTACCAGGATCCAGTAATATGTGCACCGCACATGATTTACGTTTCATTGCGCAGTGGAGGAGCGCTGCTAAAGTTAAGCACAAACTCTATTCCTGCCGAGTGCTCGGGGCGAGTGACTCCATCAGAAAGTTGTACTAACAAGCGACCACATGGGGTGGGCGCCACGGTCGTATCACTTTTCTTGCGGACCGTTACTCCGAGTAGTCCCAGAGGAAACGCCGCGGTACGGTCTCTGCGGCGCTCTGGCCTCGTTTCTCACTGTCCCCAGGACCTACCTGGACTCGCGCTCTTCGGGTAGTCGCCTGACCTTGATCTGCAAGCATGCGGTTCGTGGCTGCTTCGTGCACTAGTTACGCGCCTATGAAGGAGATGATTCTTTTTCTCGCAGCGGGGAAACCCTCTTTCAGCCCGGATGCGGATATATAGAGACGCAGCAATGTGCGATAGAGTCCCTCGTCTCTTCACCAACTGTACCAACTCAGTAACTCAGCCTCAAAGAACCTGCCGGTCAGGACTTTCTAGGACATAGCTGCTCACTTTCCTTCGCACACACAGAAAGTAAGAAAACACCCCGCAAACATGACCGACACACCAAAATCCTTCGCCACCGACGTCAACACCGTCGAGGCGCCCCGGGAAGAAGTGTTTGAGCCCAAGAAGAGCGCTGGGTTCTGGACGAGGAAGCGAAAGATTTGGGCTGGTGGATGCGCCGGTGTGACGATTGTCTTGCTGGTCGTCTTGTTGCCAATTATCTTCTTCGTCATTGTCCCCAAAGTTGCACGTAAGTAATGCGAGCGGGATCCATCCTATTGCAAGATAAGAATCGAACGGTTTCCTCACCTCCCCTTCCCCCCCCCCCCCAATCCTACCAACAGAGAGCTCAATCAACAACTCCAAGCTGACATTCAGCGATGTATCCATCACCAACCCCCAGAACTCCACCTTCAACGTCGCCATGAAGATCGAAGTCACCGACGCCGGCCACACCGACGCAACAGTGACCAACACCTCCCCCCTGACCGTTTACTGGGTCGGCGGCATCGACCCCGCAGACATGACCGAGAAGCCCCTCCTCGAAATGAACATGGGCTCCTACTCCGTGTCTGGCGGCAAAGCCACGATCGAGCAGAACATCGAGAATGCCAAGGTCCTCGACGAGCAGATCTTCACCGCCTTCAACAAGTTCCTCGTCGTGTCGCCAACGTTCAAGTGGAGGATGGTCGGTGACGTGTCGGTCCACGCCGTCGGAAGGACCTACGAAGGGCTGAAGATGGACAAGGTCGTTGAGGTCAAGGGCATGGACCAGCTCAAGGGAGCCTCGATCAAGGAATTCCAGCCCCTCGCCGCACCTAACCCCGCCGCCCCCCTCCCCATCGCGATGAACGCCACCCTCATCAACCCCTCCCCTATCGGAATCGAGTTGACAAATGTGTTGTTCAATGTCACCCTGATCCCCCCCGGCAGCACCACCCCAATTTTCCTCGGTACCGCCCTCAGCACTGGAACCACGCTCCTCAAGGGCTCTGGCGAGACCAAGATGCCGTTGAGGGCCGAGCTGGTGCCCACTGTCGGTCTGCCTCCATTGTTGCAGAGCGCGCTGGGTTTGGTCTTGTCGGGACAGTTGAACACCAAGCTGACCGTCGTGCCCGTCTCGGTCAATGCGGAAAACCCAGTGTCTTGGATCAACAATGCGCTGAGGGGCCTGCCGTTGGAGGCTGAGTTGGGCAAGAAGGAGGCTACGGCTTAAACCTCATCCCCGCGTATTCCACACCACCCATCACAACCCTCCCTCTTCTCCCCTTCTTGTCGTACTCCGCCTGGCGCGGCAGGTCGGCAGTAGTGCCAAATAGTATCTCATTTTGAATAGGGCGTTAGGTTTGTCTCTTAATGTTTACAAATTGCCCGCATTAATAACTGACGCTCACGATACGTTTGCAGCTATTATTTGGTGTATATTAGAGAAACCCACCAACGGCGCGATCATTATTTGCCCGGTCCTGTATGTGGTGGCGGGAGTAGCGACGTTTACCGGGCAGTTGCGTCAGACGCAGAGTATCATGCGGGCGATTGTCGGCGACGGACATTCGCAGATGGCGAGTTTCGAGGTTGCGAACAATTTAATCATGGGGGTTGGGCAAAGAGATTGCGACTGCGCCACTCCCATTCTTCGTTTATGGGCTGCACTACAAACTACCTTTACCTACAAACTCAACCAGGGATTACCGTGGGAATAGGTCTAGCGAATCGCGGGGCATACGCAACCACTTAACCAAAACGTCTAGTTTCATTGACCAGTAGTGACTAAAAGGCAAGGCTCCATGACCTGAGGCGTGGACTTGCAGCCTGCGAAACATCAATGACCTAGGCGGGTGAGCGTGAGGTTAAACGGGAGGAGGCCGGGATGGCGCCGATGATCCTTTTGCCCAGCCTCGCTTTTTCTTTTCGCCTTCTTCCTTTCTTATTTTGTTTAGGAACCACGGCATGTATCTGTCTGCCATATCTTCATCTTGAGGTGGGAGTAGAGACTTTTGTTCCCCGAGCAGATAACGCGTTTTCCACTCTTCCCAGACTTCCGGCAAGGCCTACTGTACCCCGCAGGACCTGTCTCTCGCCCGGCTGGCTCGCATCCCACTGAGTGTCGCCAAGGGAAGAAAACTTCCGAATGGCATATTTTTTCTGCCCCCAGAAGAGATGGGTTGATACTTTTCCTTGCGCTTTGACGCATGGTGACCCAAGGCGTCCGTCCATAAGACATAACATGCGCAAGCACCACACCGCTATTGGGCAGGTCAGGAGTAAGGAGTGCAATCGTTAAAGGACTGTGTTCGTTGAACCCAGAAAGCCCATTCTGAACACTGCGCTGGCACTCAAGACAGCCGCCCAACATCGGCCAACCGGAGAAAGACACTCTCATAGTTTGTATATTGTTGATTTTATAAATGTTCCAAAAAGGTTAAGGTGCTGTATATACACGAACGAAAAAAAGCCTATATATATGGAACCGGCAGGGTCACGTAGAAGTGTTCCCTCCAACGGTACGGGGGTGAATTCGCAAAATGTCATCACCGCAATCTTGTTTACGCAAACGAGTAGAGGTGAACGTCGCCATCCACCGTCGAGTAGAGCCAGAAATGATCTTGGTGGTCTTCTTTGTGGTGGCGGATGATTTGGCGTTTGATTTGGGAAAGATATCTGGTGGATAGGGATATGTGAGCGAGCGGCGGACAATGAGAATTGGGGAGTGGGAAGTGGGGGGGAGGAAACGTACTCTCGTTGGTTGGATGGTAGTGTGTCGAACAGTTTCTTGAAGGATTCTTCCGGGAGTTTCAGATCGATGCCGGTGAGTTTCTTCAATACGTTCTCTGGCAGGTCGATTACGAAAACCATCCCGCGTTTGAGGTTTAGGAATTCGCTGCAAACAGCGTGCGTAGCTGCAATGTCGCAGGAAGTGCAATTATGAGTAATCCCGAGGTCAACCTTGATGCCTGGGAAATTCGACCCCCTACCTTTTTCCATGGACATGAGCTTATCCTTATGCTTGACCTTCCCCTTCTTCCAAGGCGGTTGGACAACCACAACACTGTGCGCATCCAACGACATGACATCGTTTCCCCCACTCGAATCAAAGTCCCGATGATGATGCGGCGCAATCTCCCCCATATTATGCCCCGAGTCCCCCCTTCTCGGTTTCGCATGCGCATGCACAAACGGTTCCGATTTTGTCGTATCCGCCAACTCGCTCTGCACATGCACCAGCAGCTCGTTGCGCGAGACGTCCTCCTCCATCTTGCTCGACAGATTCTTCACTTTAATAAGTCCGTTTTGCACGTCTGGGTTGCGATTCTTGACCATGACGCACAGCTTGTACCCCTGCGCCTTGGCGCGCTTGAAGATGTCTTGTGGGGACTGCACGTCGTAGTAGGTCATGTCGGCGGAGATGCCGGCGTTCCAGAGGTCGGAGATGATGGCCATGCGGTCGTCGGCGGCGGCCCCGCTTTTGCCGACCGAGACGACTAGTACGTCCACGCGGCGGAACTGGGAGCCGGCGGTGTCGTCGCCTCCCGGCTGCGATGAGTAGGAGCGGATGTGCTCAGCTTCTTCTAGAACGATGGCTGATATTGCCTTCGACATGGCGAAATGCACCCCGACTCCGTGTAGCTTCTTGCTGGGGCCAAATGGATATCGGAATTGACCTAGCAGGTGGTCGTACCGCCCGCCGGCCGCTACGACATCTTGATAATTTCAAGACTTTGTTAGGAAAGGGTGTTGGTAGTTTGTTTGACATGACATCCGCCATGGAGCTTACCTAGCTTCTTCTTACTCTGCAGCCCAATCTGAAACATAAGCCCATTCTTGTAATAACTAGCATTATAAACCAACAACGGCGCATAATCAACCCGACTCTTAATCCCAAGATGCTGCAAATGGCTCATCAACAACCGCAGCTGACTCAGCATCTCCCGAAACGCCGGCTTGACGCGTTGATCCATCATGCTTTCCACGCGAGCAGCGACGTTTTCGAAATCGCCTGTGAGATCTTGGAACTTGGTCAGGGCGTTCACGGACTCGACCGAAATGCCGTCTTTGACTAACAGAGGCCGCAGTTGGGTCCAGTTCATGGGTCTGTGGAGCTGTTCTAGTAGGTTGTGCACGCGTGTGCGGACATGGAAGTCTGTCGAAATCTTGCAGGTGTCGAAGATGGCTTCGAGCAGCGAGCAGTGGTTGAGTCTGACGACGAACAACGAGGGATTGCTGTACTTGGCCGCCGAGAGTTCCAGCATCTCATATACGACTTTGATGACTTCCGCGTCCGGGCACATATTCCCGAGGTTGCTCGTAATGATGTCGAAATCGCATTCCAGGATCGTCCGTGGCTGCCCGCCTACCGTGTTGCTACGGTACACGTTGTCGATCACGTAACGTTTCAACGGCAAGGTGAGGTCCTGCGAAACCCGTGCAATCAACCGCGCGAACGGGGCCGTCAGGTCAAACGGCAGCTGAACGATGCATCCTGTCGAGTCCACCAACTCCACAACCTTTTTGACGCCGCCAGCGGCGTGCAGATCGCCTTTGGGGATCAGCAGCGGCGCCCGTATGTTGACGGCCCCATGCCTCGCAAACACATTGAGCGCGTGCGCGTACATCCGACCGGTAACCAGCGACGTCAACTGGTCAAGCGTCAGCGCATTGCTATTGAACTCATACGTGAAATCCTTATGCCGATCAGTGCTTTGCGCAAAAAGGGATGTAACGAGCCGTGAATAGTAGAGCGGATTGTTCTGATTGACGATGGATCGCAGCGCTTCCGAGATGTATTCTTCCTCTAGCGTCGGGGGTAAGAGTGGTGACTGCAGGAGCTCGGCAGCGCTCGGGCGCTCTTTTGGGGCATGATTGAGCAGCGTCAGAATAATTTGGGATTGCGCGTCGTACCGCTTGAACTCGAAATCTTGCGGCATCGTTATGGAAGGCTGCCGTAACTCTCTCAAGACAAGTGCGCGGTGCATCCCTGTCGTGAACGGGTAACACATCTCGAAGAAACAGATCCCGAGGGAGTACAGATCCACCTTTGAGTTGTACTTCCCATGCCCCGAAACGATCTCCGGCGCCACGTACACCGGAGTCCCCACTTCGCCCGTAAACGAGCCCTCAGGATCAAGACTGCCCGTCGATCCATCCATGCCATTCAAAACGACTTTTGGCAGACCTCCCTCATCCTCCCTAGACAACGCCAGACCGAAATCGCCGATCTTCACGTTCCCGCTAGCATCCAAGAAGACGTTGCTAGGCTTTAGATCCCTGTGAATCATCCCCTGAGAATGGATATGCGCCAGCCCTTCAAGGATCTGCCTAAACAATCTCCATCCCTCTTCGTCGTCTATTCCTTCATCAATGACGTCGCGCAAGGTTTTCTTTTCGCAGTATTCCATCTGGATGTACAGCACCCTATTTGATCGGGCCTTGCGCCTGCCTCCCTCATCCGTCGGCGTCGGGCTGGCGCCATCTGTCGAAAACGTCTCTAAGGTATCATTGCCATTGCGCTGGCTTCCGTGGCCGAAGGAGATGGATATGCTAGGGTAGCTCTTCTTCGTTTTGCTGAAGCTCAACCAATCATCCTCGAAGATCGGCTGGTCGAAATCGCTGTCGTGCGACACATCGGAGGACTCGCTGTCCTCGCTGTCCTCCGAATCCTCGTCGTCGGAGTCATCGTGCCAGGTTTCTCCTGTCCCGTCCTCAAACCACGCTTGGTAGTATCGAACGACAAATTGGTGGTGCAGGCGCGATAGGGTCTGCACCTCTCGCAGAATCCGTTTACTGCCATCTCTATCGTTCGCGTCCAGCTTAATCTTTTTGATGGCGTAGAAACGACCGTCGATCCGGTTTCGAGCTTTCACGACTTCCCCAAAGCCACCTTTGCCGAGGAACTCGATTTCTTCGAAATCCAACCGATATCGCGACAGAGTCATCGAGTCAAAGATGCTCGGTCCTACATAATTGGCATTGGGTGACTGTTTCGACGGCGTTACGGGAGGTAACGTTCTGCGGTGGGAATTCATGGGGCTGCTCACTGCAGAAGAGCTTTTCATGATCTCGAATGCAATCGGCATTTCGGAATGTGTGTTGGAAAAGAACGCGTGGTTGAGGATCTCCATTGCGTTTGGCCGATCCTTCGGGTCCGGTGCTAACATAACAGACACGAGTTCAGCAAGCCCGCGCGAGGTCTCTTGCACTCTCAAATCGACGTCATCTGGGCGCGCCGTTTCGAAGATTTCGTATCCGTAAATCATCTCGAGGAAGCATGTCCCCAGCATCCAGATATCGGATTTTCTTCCATACACACTGTGTCGAGTCAAGAGTTCCGGCGGCGTCCATATCTTGGGCAAGCTCGCTTCCTCCGGAAGCAGCGGATTCAGTGGTCTGCTTTTGTGCAGATCCAGGAGCTTTCGCGCGTAGGAAGCATCATTCAGCTTGATCTCCTCATTGCCGTCCGTCCCCCCGAAAAGTACATTTCGCGATTTGACGTCCTTATGAATGTGGTTCTGGGAATGCAAATACGCGATCCCTTTCAAGAGCTCCTTCATGTAATGCTGTGCGACCCCGACTTTCAACCCACCGCTCCTTTTGATGAGTGCCTGGAGTGATCCGCCACGGCAATGCTCTAGCAAAATCTGCACCTGCCACGCATCATCCACTTTCTGAACGCGCGAATCGAAGATTGTGACAAGGTTGGGATGCCGTATTGCAGTAAGCTTCTGAATCTCTCCGCAGGCGTCCATCAGTTTCTTCTTGCCGTCACCGGTACGATAGTGTGGGTTCGATATGATAATCTCTTTCAGCATCGCCGACTCATTGTCCCCCTGCCCGGCAACTCGTACGATATGCAGTGAACTGAGAATTCCTTTCTGCAAGAGCGGTCCTTTCGCGACAAAGTCCAAAGACAGCTGGGAGACAGGCGAAACAGGAGTGACAGGTGTGCTAGGAGCCGTCTGCTCGGTGTTTCCGTTGGTCCCATACAACTTGCTTTTTTCTTCCTGCTGCATCCGTTTCCTCTTATCCCTCTCTTGTTTCACTTTCTCCTGCTTCTTTTGAATCTCCTCCTCAATCTGTGAAGCCAAGGCTTGATTCTGCTCTTTCAGAGCCTCTTCTTCCACTTGACGATTGAGTTCGAGCTCCCTCATCGCACGCTCATTTTGCTCCTTGGTATCCTGCTCCCTTCTGTCCTGCATTTGCTGGAAGAAAGAGACTTGTTTGACTCCACGTGCCACCGCGTTGTGGCGGCAGAGCTCGTCCTGAATGTAGCTTGCGATGTCGAAGATCTGAAAAAGAGGAGGTGAGAAATCGATTGTGATGTTTAATTTCCATTGCCGCTCAAGTACCATCTCGCGCCCCAGTAGCTGCTGGGCAAACAGTTCGACCTTCGCTTGCAACTCTTGCATTTGGGAATCCGATATCCCTTTCACTTTTCGTAGTATAAGGTTCTAGCCTCAGGAAACCTATGTCAGACTACTACTTCTACATCCCTCCTGAATGCATTTGGAACTCACTGGGGCGGTTTCTGGATATCGCTTGGTAAAGCTGCTCGCCGAAAGGAGGTTAGGCTCTGGACGCGCTTCCCCTAACACGAGCAAGGAACAGAAGGGAGCATACCGTATGGCCAAAACGACCCTGCAATGCTCTTTAAGCTCTTCATCGTGAGGAGCGAGCTGTATTATAAACTCGCGGATAGGGGCTACTTTCCAGGCTGGTGGCACAAGACGAGGTGAATGAGAATGCTGTACAACTTTCATTACACCGAAAGTGGCAAGAGTCGAACCTGTTGTTACTTGCACAAGGGCCTCATCAAAATCTTCCATGTAAATTGCTCTTAAAGCTTCCACCTGTAATATCGTGGGTACAATGAGTAATTCTGTGCTGGAGATCACTAACCGAAGCACGGGAGACTCAACCTCCTCCAAAGCAATTTGGGGCAGAGAATCTGCAGGAGGTGCCGACGCCATGGCTGGACGGAACGGTTAGAAAAGCATGTCTTAGAAGCAGGGCAACCTGCCTCGTCCAGTTTAGTGGAGTGTTTTAGTTGATCGTCGAGTTATGTTATTTGCAAACCCCGAAAGCCTCGTTTGCCTGTTGGCCGTCTGTCCACGTCACAGGCAAGTGGCGCGTTGGCCGCTTCAAGCGTTGACGGCGAACTTCCAAAGGCCCCAGTCCGCTGTGAAACCGTATCGACCGTATCGGCGCTGAGCATCCCCGAACGACAAGGCAGCTAGCTTCCAACTTGTTGCAAACTCGCAAGATCTACATAGTGCACCGCCATAGTTTCAAGGCCCCTCAAGCCGTTTACCGAGTCGCAATATGAACTTTTTTGGGAGGTACGTGGCTTTCGGTCTTCAAGTCCCGCAAGGTCTCAGGAGACTGTCGGACTTACCGCAATTCTGACGTCCCCTTAGCAAATTCGGAAAGAGCAAAGGAAAGAAAGACGGGATACAGAAGCCATTATGGCTGAACCATCCTTTCGTGGAGGCAACATTGGTGAACGGGAGCTTGCGGAAAGTGGTTGCATTACCGCGTTACGTGGACGTGAACGAATGGTAGGACCACATTTTCCCACGCCCCGAACGTTTCGATACGGGCACTGACGTACGATATCGTCCATATACAGGCTAGCAGTGAATAGTACGTTTGCCGTATCGCATGGGCTTTTGGGTGGAGGGGACACTTCGGTGGGAACCGCTCCCTGACATCTTGGGCACGTCCCTATCCAGGCTTCGATTTCTTCAACTACACCAATTTATTTTATGGGGCGATCGCAGAGTTCTGCACACCAAAAGACTGTCCAGTGATGTGCGCGGGGCAAAAGTAAGTGGCCTCCAAATGTAGTCAACTTGCGATGCTCCAAGTCACTGACCAGCACTTCTGCTTCAATCAGTTGTGAGTATACATGGACGGACGGCCAGAAACGGACGATAAAAATACCAGCACCACAGTACGTGGACTACGTGATGACGTGGATCCAAAACGTCCTGAACGACGAGAACGTGTTTCCAACAAAGTCGGGTGGGTTGGGCTTCTAGAAGAGCTGCATGCTCTTCCGCCGCCCCGTGCAGGATCATATGGCTAACAGCGAGGGATGTCCCAGGCTACGAGTTCCCCCGCGAGTTCCAAAACGCCGTGCGAACAATCTTCAAACAACTGTTCCGGATATTCGCGCACATATACCACCACCACTACGACAAGATACTGCACGTCTCAGCCGAGGGGCACCTGAATACCCTCTTTGCGCACTTCATAAGCTTTGCGAGGGAGTTTGATCTGATTGACAAGAAGGAGATTGCGCCGATGGCCGATTTCATTGCCGAGCTGGATCAGGCGCAGAGGATCTAGGTCTTTGCTTAAAGCCAGTCCTTCACGCCCCCGAGCCGGATATTCCCGGAAACCGACTTCCACATAATAGTTTTGTGTTTGTGGGATTCCCTCTGCCTCCTTCGATTGTAAATTCAATCCTTTGATTCAACTAAATGTAAAAACATGGCATTTATCCATTTTTGGGTCAGACATCAACCCGCTCTATGTAGTTGCCCGGAACCAGCCCCATATCCACCAATCTGATCTTCAGCTTCCCCTTCCCTTTCTGTTGCGCCGCCTGTTTCGTACTGTCACTCTCTTCCGATTTCGCTGACTCGGCAGCTGCCGGTATATTCCCCCGGCACTTCACACGCAACGCAGTTTCCCAACCCGTTCCGTAGACGCCAGCGTAGTCGAGGAGTTGGTTCAGCTGCATTGCGAATTCCGATATTGGGGGGTCGCTTTGGAGGGTTACTGGTTCCGCGGGTGCCTTTGAGTCGGGTTTCGCCACGCCGTGGACCATCCCCAGCAGATGGTCCGCTACGTTGTCGATGCTCGCCCATCGTTCGCTCGTGCAGGATGTTCGCGCAAGGTTTCCATCCTCCTCTTCCCCTTGATCCTCCGCTTGTGGCTCTTCATCGCGCTCACTTTTGTTCTCGCGCGATCCCTCCGCCTCTTTCACAGTTTCCACCGGTTTATAAGGCTCAACATGCGCCAAATAAACCTCCTCACTCTCTTCTATCGACATCTCCCACTCCGTCGCCTTCTGGAACTGAAACAGTGCCCTCGCGCGCGAGAATCTTAAATCAATATCCCCCATGTATTTCCTTAGCTGTCCCGCGAGCAGCGGGAGCACGACATTCAGCACGTCTTCTGTCCGAACTTTGGGGAGGTGGTGATGCGCCGGGTGGCTCGTTCGCGCTGCTTTTGAGGATGTTTTGTTATTGTCGTCTTCGTCGGATTCGAAGAGACGTTCCGCGGAGGCGTAGGCGCCGTCTTCTTCGTCGGACCGGTTGAAGAAGTCGCTATCATCGCTGCGGCCGCTGGAAATGGAGCCTTCGGTAGCTATGCCGTAGTGGCGGGGGTCGGTTGGTAGATATGCATAGTCCCGCACTTTGACTCCCGCAATTGCTACGGAACAAAACGACTGTGAGCATATAACCACTTCTATGACAGTCCAAACAACAGTCCGCAGGCCTTACCTTCATATTGAGACAGTCGTTGTTGACTCTCTGGCCGTTTCCGCCTCTCTACCACACCTGACAATCGACTCGGCGCGTCATTGCGGTCAGCCGTGATGCTCGCCGGTCTTGTCGTTTCTGGGGACTTCCTGGATTCTACAAGAGTTAAAAATGGTCAGAAAGGCGCTTTCACAGTCAAAAACCGTGCCGTCTCACACCCGTGCGGGTCAGGAATAGGGCCTGTGAGAACGCAAATCTCATGTGTTCTTCCAGGAGAAGCTCAGCGAAAACTCACCAGGAGTAGCGCTCATCCTTTACTCTCAGAGCCACAGACTTCGCAATTCCGTCCGGGTATTAGCGTCGACGCTCTGCCTGGGTGAAGCGTTTCGATGCTCCCTGATTGTTTGTATGAACTTGATGCTTGCGGCTGCAGTTGTGTTGGAATGCAAGATGTCGGTTGTGTGCGTTGTCGTTGGGCACGGGAAGAAGGTGGGAAATGTGAGTGACACATGGCGAAGACCCACATCAAACCGCCTTGGCCGTGTTCTTCAGTCTGAGGTCTGAGGTCTGAGGTCCGGTTTCGTGCTTTACGCGTGGTCACAATCTGTCCCGCCTCACTTCAACCCAAACTTCAACCGCCGTTGGGAGGGAGAATTATGCAAAGACATGTGCTCGAGAAGCTACTGTACATTCTTTTCATGCGGAGAACGCCTACTGGTTCATATAAATTGCGCAGAAAAATCATTCGCACTCCTGATGGTTCCGGACACCTCTATCGATCCGCACCACCCATGCGATCCAAAAGCAAAAAGAATCCGGGAAAGATCACCGAGTATAGGAACTCGGTGACGGGGGCCCAGATTCGATCGTGCGATGAGCAGAGCGTCGGGAATGAAACCATACCACGACGCCATGACCGTTGCACTCGTACGTGGAAATGTTGAAGGGGGTTGATATCCGTGAGACGCGCTTGCGGAAAAGGGGTACTCGCACAAAGGGGTAGGACTTTAATGCAAACATGGAAACTTTTCCGTACTTCCCGGATACGATGTCGCTGCTTGCGGCGCAGGTGATCTTGTCGTCTCCGGGACTACGCTCCTCAACTCGGCAACGAATATTCAAAGTACTCTGCACTCTACCTTGCAAGTCGCCCGCGTTTGTATTCAACTTCACCGCAACATTCAACGGTACTTCCACCTTCATCCGGTGGTGGGATCGGAGTTCAAAATGAGATTGCCGCCCAATGTGAGATTGCCAGTCCCGCTGTTGATGTTTCCCGCGGCCCCGATGCCACCAACGCCCCGGTCTGGTGCCTTACGGCTTCAGTCGTGTCACCCTCAAGGTGCTATGGTGACAACGAGTCCGCTCCGACGTCCTAAAGTTGAACGCGTTGGCACCGTTGTTGTTCGCAGCCGTCGAATCGCCGTTCACCAAAACCTGGAGGCCGGTGGGATCCTTTACTGTTAAATTATGATGTCTGGGTATAAATTGTACTACAAAAAAACAAACAACGTTTACAGAGATGCTAGAGCGTCCATGCTGCCCATAAATGCAACGTCGCCATCCATGAGGCGCTCCGCTTCTGCGTTAGTTCCAGTGACCGACGAAACAACATTGGCTGTCCTTTGTCTTGCGAACCTTGTCCGCTGCCCACTCCCGAGAGGCTTTCTCGCCTTCTCCCGCTTTCGTTCAAGGTACTTTGCCGCGTCATCAGGGCGAAGAAGGCAGGTCTCGGTTAGGCGGTAGGCTATCCAATTTGGCGTCCAGCGGGGGGGCGGTACACCGGTGAACGGTGTGCCTGAAGCCCCCGAAGTTGCATGCGATAAGCTCGATGAATCCGGACCGGAGTCGGCGGCCGGTGAATAAATCGCGGCTGATTGAGCAAATGGTGTTGTTGAGGTAGCTACGATGTGGTCGCCTGTGCATTGTCTCAGGTAATATTTTGAGACCATGTAACCTCGAAATTTCTCACGCACAAATGCAACGGCTGGGTCCAGCGTGAAGAAAATCACTGCCATGATGGCGCCCTATACAAAACCTGCCAGTGAGCAACATGAGCGTAAAAGGACGAAGAAATCCGTATCAGCGACTCACCTGCGCTCCAGCTGTGAAATTCGCGATACAATAAACGACCGACATGGCATCGCCCTTGAGCGGGGCCAGGTCCGAGAGGATAGAAAACATCTGCGACACGAACGGAACAACCGAGTACCATTTGAGGCGGCTGACGACACGACGAATTGCCAGTTGCGTTTCGCCGAAGTTGTTGTGCTTCCCATTTGTGGCAAGACTCGGATTCTCCAGTGTACTGGTATCGCTTTTGAAGGGGCGGCTAACGCTTATGTAGAACAGGACCAGCGTCAGGAAGCAGAAGCCCGAGATCGCTACGACCCATCCATAGAGGGTGACCCATTCCCATATGCGAGCGCCCTCCTCCGTGTAGGTATCGTCGTCAACCGTGTACCAGCAGCACTCTCCACTAATAGTGTAGCCATAATAGCCCCTGGCCATACAAGCCGTCGGGAAGCCGATGGAGATCACAAAAGTCGCCCCATAATAAATGTATTCGTAGTAGCTCCGGTGGGGCTTCTTGAATACAAAAACGATAAGTAGGTTGACGGATATTGCTGCGGTCATCAGCAAAGACGCAAGCTGGAAGATGTTGTAGAGAAAGATCGACCATCCGCATAGTGAAATATCGGGTCCCGTTAAGGAAGGTGCAGTGGCTACTAAGTACCAAACAGCCGCCAATAGGTCCAAGAGCGAGCAGAACACAGCAATGCGCAGTGAGACTCGGTTTGCAACCTTAGGTTCGAACCGATGGATAAGCAGATATGTAATGATGACCAGGACACAAAGTCCTATGGAAAGCCCGCACTGGGTTGTTGTTAGAATCATATGTTCCTATACACCGATGAAGACCACACTTGAAGATCCAAACACTTACCCCTAAATATGATAATATAGTTGGCATGTAAACCGAAAAGTTTGCAGCAGCTTGATCTCCGTCGGCCGATGCATCAGGTAGTGTGGCATTGGCATCTGCCATCTTTGCTCACCCCACCAGCTCGTTCTTTGGCCCGAAGTGTATTTTTTGGCGGAAGGTTGGGCAGTCGACGACACAACGAGCAGCTGAATGGAAGTCGCCATTCCAGCGTAACCACTGGCACTGCTGTTTGGCGCACCGTGTTTATATGAGAAGAAATATTTAGCTTGATTTCCTTTTTTGTCATATTGCGGGATTGTTGCTCCACGAGTATTCGGGACAGAAGACGGAGCTCCAGACATGTCGCCAATCATTGGACTACCGATGTCAGGTTGCATTGTTTGCCGCGAGGTTCGTACCCAGGCATTCATCAAGCGTGGACCCACACCCAACGCCTGTACCGTGCTTTAACGGATGTCCGGCCGCATTGAATGCGGCGTTTTGGGCGCGAAAACCTTCTACTGGATTTTCATGCTTTTTCTGGACTGACGGGGTGCAGAACTTTACGAGCCTTTATACATAGCTTTGCCTCTCTAGTGCCTTACACAGCAGCAAATTTCTCGTTGAAGAATTCTACGAAGTTGGTGTTGTTTGAAAGCACATTTGCGATTCCCTGACGGCTCAATAAAGAGGTGATGTGGACTACCTTCCACACGGGTTGTTTAACTTATGTTCGTATACACTAACTACGAGGTTGTTAGGTATACTAGACGGACTGGGTTGTTCGCCGACGCTGTAGTAGTGCGCCAGAACTTCGCATGAAATCAGCAATATTTCGAACACCATTTCTACGCTTAGAATTATCGACGAACGGTAGATTCAATTTGACACAAAATAGCTCACGACCAGACTATTTACGCTCGAAATCTTATACGCATAACCTTCATACGACACTGTCAATACTGTCAAAATTTTCCACCAGTAAATGACGCACTCGCGTTCCCGACACTCCGACGATTGTACTGTATCTAAAACACCTGCCTTACCGAAACTTCGCTTCACATCGACGTAATGTCTTCGGATACGACTGACATGCGAAAAACGTAGGCAAAGATCTCACACATGAAAGCGCCCCCGACACGATTCTCCACCAACCGAAAGCTCTCATGACACCATGCGCTGTAGTAGTGCGCCTTAATCTGCGCATGAAATCAGCAATATTTCAAACACCATTTCTACGACTAGCACTTCCGGGGACGGATTTGGGGCACGCCACGGAATGACTTCCACAAACGACGTGACAGCGGCAACGAAAACGACGTGGAGGTACGGCTGGATTTAAATATGCTTGCACTAGCATTAGCGGCGGCCGGCGTGCGATCTCAGCAACCATCCTCGTCTTTTCAGCCTCCAAACGCACAACACCCGCGAACTCAAACTCATACGTACATCACCAACTATCGTCGGCTGGGCTGCCGGATCATCACCAGACGTGGCTCACATTGGCAGCGAATACGTCGTCCTCACGCCTTTGGGACAGATCTCGGGCCTGGCCGATCAGCTACGCGACGCAGGAGACTCTAGTCGGGCGCAGAAAACGCCCCTGTTCGTCAGCGAAAAATGGCAAGATGGCGAAAAGTCGGTTTATACCTTGAGCGGTGTTGCGATTGCGCTTTGATCGAGACGCGAACAGGCGAAATTTTGACGTGAAGTTCGGCTATGTATACTTTGGCCACACTATCATTGGGAAAGAGTCGTTCGTCAAGGCGAAAACAGTCCTGGCTACACGCAAGCTCATAGCTGATGGAGAACGACAACGGAAGTACCTCGTCGAATAAGGGGTACTAATACATCCTTTTAGTGCGCTGCCGTCAACGTGGGGGCCCGCCGCGCCTCTTCCCGAGACATCCTTTCAGGTCCACATGATCAACACGTTCTTCCAAGCACCGTTCCGCATCAATCGCGATAAATTGCATCGCTGCTTCCTCGACAACGGCTTTTACAGTCGCCTTGAGCCATACGATAACGCAGGTGTAAACCTGCGCTATCACTACAAAGAGGCGACCCGGGACGATCCGGAGAAACAGGGCAGATGCTCGGTGCAGAACAAACAAGCATGCACTTGCAAGGACATATCCGTATCGTGCTTTAACAGTGGCAAAATGAATGTCGCAGGTCTGGCCAATATGGAACAAGGGAACTTGATATATCGGTTCTTACAGGAGTTCTTCACCGCACATCGATCCGAGATCGAGGCGGCCACACAGGCGGTGGTATCTTCCTACAGATGAGATGGATGGACAGCTGTCGAAAAAAAAAGCCTTCCTGTGTGTTTTCAATATACACTGAACGATATCTGAGAACTTATGACTAACTGCGCGTACGTGTTCAAAACCGGAAAGCGTCAGGGAACCCAATGCGGGAAAGAAGCCGAGATTGGACCCCTCTGTCCGAGACATTTGGCCGCGGCGGTGCGCCCCGTCGCTTCGACAGCTCCACATTTCATTGATTCGATGGATGCACTGCAGTACAAGTTGGTCGCCTTGGAAACTTCCCATGTGTGGAAAGCAAACAGTCTTGGAGCCCGTTGTTACAGCGAGTTTGCGGGGGTTCGGAGGCAGTTCGGAGTGCGTGGGAGTCGCGTGAGCAAGCGCAGCGTAAATAATCACCGACGCCAAACCGCAGGCTCCACAGGGATGAAAAGTCACTTCAGCACAACCACAGGCGGTCTTTCAAATTCACAGCTCCCAACAGGCAACACAGTCGACCTACGGAACCAGGTCTCGCATCCATATATAAGCAACTCGGAGCCGCAGAGCACAACCGCAACTCGGACAGCAATCGCCATACGACAGAAGGCAAAAGAAACTGCGGCATTCCGTCAGTTCTCCCCTCCAAGTTTCGACGCAGGAAACGGTGGATATTCCCACGCCCGGCAGCAATAGGCACCTCATACCCAAAACCCTCACGTTTGAACACTCCACATACACTCCCGGACGGCTTGCGGGGTAGCCCCCAGTGTACGCCCGGTTATGAAGTTTGCTAAACAATACAGCGAGGCCTACCGAGACCTCCCGCCGGAGTGGCCGGCCTTTCAGTACAAGGCGTTGAAGAAGACTATTCGGAGTATCGTTAAAGGTATGGTGGGAGGACTGGAACTCAGGGAGCCTCGAGAACCTTTTGAACTCACTTGAGATCTCTATGCACCATTTTTTCGATGGGCAGAATTGGAGGAAAAGGGTATCTCGGTGGGAGACAATTCAAAAGGGACAGTGATATCGACTCCTTCGGGACCGCGGTTATGCACAGTCGAGTACTTTCTGGAAGGCAGCTCGGGAAACCTCGAGCCGTTCATAATCATCAACATTGCTGGGGACGACGAAGCTCATAATGCCGGTCTGAGTGTAGAAGCCAACCCCGACGCCCCCGTGCTTTCCTTATCGGATCAGAAGAAGGGTGTTCAGATAGAGGTTCAAGAGTCGGGGAAATCGAAAGCTGGGGGATCGAGGTCATTGCGGATCAAGATCCGATCAAAGTCACATATCTCCTTGAAGGGCCTGCTTTCAAAAACTGCAAAGGAGGATAAGGGCAAGCAGGCGGGTCAGTCGTTGTTTTCGCAAGCCGCCACCGCCGCCGCAGGGGCGGTTTCTGCCCCGGCTACCGACGGCGGCAGCAGCAGCAGCATTCCATCCCCAACGGAGGACATCATTCTGGACGTCGACGACATCATCTCCACCCCCCAAACTTCGTCATCAGCAGAAGACGCTGGCAACAACGTCCTCAAACTCTTCCTCGAAGCCGACCAACAATTCTTTTCCGACATCTCTTCCGCCGTCACCGAAATCACCGTCTTTGAAAATACCCAACGCTCAAATTTCAACGAAAACCTCGAAACCCTCTCCCGCTACCTCGCCAGCGCCTCCTCGCCCTACAGCAAAGACATGTACGCCTGGCGCACGCTCCTCTCCGCCTACCTCCAGTCCGAAATTTGGCTCGTCAACGGGGTCAAAGACCGGCCATTACCCTCCAGCAAACAACAGCTGTTAACCTTCGCCAAGATCGTGCAGGAGAACATGCGCCATCAGATGAAAGCCGAAGCGTCCATGAAGGCGCTGCGAGCATTTTTGGCGATCAATCATGAGATTCTTGCGTTGAGGACGTTTGAGGAGATCAATCATATGGCCGTGCGGAAGATTCTGAAGAAGCATGATAAGAGGACGCATTTGACCGCTAGCGAGGAGTTTAGTCGGTTCTCGCAGGGCCAGTCTTTCTTTATGGATAATATTGCACGGGCCCTTATTTTTTCCATTCAGGTATGGCATATCTACAATTATAGCTATGGACCCTCCGAATTTGGTGTGCTGATCAACGTTTCGAAATCGCAGGAACGACTGGTAACAGTGATCCCCCAACCCGACGACTACGCCTGCCCGATCTGCCAAGACGTGGCCTGGAAACCCATCCGTCTCACCTGCGGCCACGTCTTTTGCGTTCGGTGTCTCGTCAAGGCGCAGGTCCGGGAGGTCAAGAACTGCCCGGTGTGTCGGTCACATAACGCGATCGAGGACGCGACGCCCAACCAGCTCGGTGAGTCCTTTTATATTCATACCCCCTTTTTTCTTGACCAGAGGAACTGATTTAGGAAAACCGCGCCCCTCTTTTCCTGTTCCGTTAGACGTGGCAAGAATGAACCTCCTAAAACTCTACTTCCCCAAAGAAGTCAAACAAAAGGCCCTCGAGAACGGACGCGAGCGCGCCACCGAGGAGCTCGCTACCCTGTTTCCGAACGGGATACCACAGGCGCTCATGAGCAGCAGCCCATCCGCACCAACTGCGGCGGCAGCCACATCCAACCCCGTCCGCCCACGCACGGGTCGGCGGGGGTCGCAGCAGTCTGTTGCGTCCGTGTCGAGCGCTTCCGGGAATGGCACAGGGTGTGTCGTTATGTGAAGGGCATGCATGGACTCCTTAACCTTACGATCTCCGCGGCGTCGTATACCCCCCCCCCCCCCCCCCCCCCGGTTTATGCCCCGTTTGGTCCCAATACTTTACTACCCCTTAATGCAAGATAGCTGTATATAACCCTCCCTCCTCCCTCCCGAAAGCCCCCTCTCTCCTGCTCATCAAGAGGGATCCTCGGGAAAGCTGTTGTAAATAAAAATGTAAATATGGCGGCCACGAAATTGTGAGCCGTCGCGCCTCCCCAGTTAACACACACTTGTGCGAATGAACAGCAGGTGATGCCGAAGAACCCAGAACATCATATTTGAAGCGAATTGCCGCAAGAATATGAAATTAACAGGAGCCTTCCCCACTACCGTATGTACAACATGATCAGAACGCTTCTTTTAAACCAAAGCTTCGTAGGGAACGGGGGTGATCGTGGTGGGGGCGTTGTTCTTAGTCGAGACGTGGTGGGCCTTGACGGGTCCGACGGGCTGACGCTTCAGGTTGAAGGAAACTGTGGCAACATAAATGAGCCGATTGAATATACTCACGAACCTGTTCAAACCGGAAGTATATCCACTGTACGTACCACCCTTCTCCTTGGCCTCCTTCTTGGCAGCGGCGTTAGCCTTGACACGACGCAGGAAATCCAGACGGCAGTTCGAGTGCTTGATGTGCTCGACACGGATGTTGACACGCTTCTCGATGTACCTGTTGCCGACCTGCTTGTGGACGATGATGCCGACGGCGGACTTGGTAACGTTGTAGATGATGCCGGTCTTTCTGGAAATCGGCGAGACGGGTTCGATCAGAGAATTGTGTCGGCAGTCATCCCCCCAAGTTGTTCCCAGCAGTCCTCAGCCCCTCTCCCACTCCCTCCTCCATCCTCCAAGAAGCTTCCGAATCCATAGTCTGCTCTACTCAAATCGTCCGTAACTCCTCTAACTTCATCTAAATCTCCCCTTCCCACTCCAACCCCACATCCTCCATCCTCCACGCCCACACTCTGCTGTCCTGCCTAACACATACCCGTGGTAGAACTTGTGGGGCATACCCTTGTGAACGGCACCGTTAGCCTTGATGTCCACAATGTCGCCGACCTTGTAGGACTTCAGGTAGGTGGAAAGGGGGATGGAACCCTTTTCACGGAAGTTGCGAGAGAACAAGTGGCGGGTACGAGCCCGGAGACCTGTAGGAATTTACAAATACGCCGAGATCAGAGTTCGGCTTCAATTTGTGTGGTAGAACTTGACCCGAATTCGTCTCCTCCATAATTTTTCGCATATCTTCCGCAAGTACACTTTCCGGCGCCCTTTTCCTGGCTTTTTCGATTACTTACCGAAGGAGTGGGGCATGGTCGCTGTTCTGTAGATAGATAATCAACAATCAAAGTTAGTCCCAGGAATGCGAATGCCTCGACTGAAAAAGTTTGCCAGTGACGTCTCCGCCCAGGGCAAAATACTCACCTGTTGAGGAAGGACTAGCAACAGTTTAATTCGCAGCCGAGGTGGATCTCAGCTATTGGAATGCGTCGTTGGCGAAATGTTAAGCCCAAGCCGTTTCCGCCTTTCCCATTCCAGTTCGTCTGGGACGGTCACGTGCATGCTTGAATCGGTGTGGCGCCGAGTGGCGCAAAGGTGGCTTGCGTGCGCGTTACGTTTATGTCGGAGATTCGCCCCCTCGGAATCGTGAGCAGTGTGGCCATATTCTACCCTCTGATAAGAGAGCATTGATAGTGGGAATACCGTGAGAGAAACACGAAAACGCTATGTCTGCTATAACGGAAGGAAGGGTGCGGGAACCAGGTTTTAGCAATAAGATCACACCGGCCACCAGATCAATTGGGTTAGATGCCCCGGTTGGTGCATCGCAATGGAAGGCCAGCTCGGCGGATGCAGCCTCACAAAAGAAGAACACTGCACCCGCTGCGGAGCCCAGCATTCTGAGCCCGCCTGCACCCAAAGTGCATCTGCCTCCATTAGAATCCCAGCGGATACAGGTTGCTGTACGGGTCCGTCCACTCCCCAATCTGAAGCCCCATCGATCAGCGCGCCAGGTTTCGCAGTCATGCACAGGAACAAGGGGCCCCAAAACTCCAACATCACGCAGAGTGTCGACTGCGGCGTCAATTGCACCATCGCCATCTCCAACCCCATCGGTCCAACCGCCTGCACCCACCAATCCTTTGGCAAAAGAGCCATGCATCAGCATCGGGACATCACAGCCGGATTCCCTGGGAATAGCGGATCCGTCTGGGAGGCGTGGAAGTAAGGAATTTGCTTTCGACGCTGTGTTTGCAGATCAGGACGATACCACTTGTGTATATGAGAGGATGGTGAAGGGGTTGGTGGAAAAGTGTCTTGAGGGTTACAATGGATGCGTCTTCGCATATGTGAGTGGACGGAACTTTTAGCTGCAGAACTCTGTCTCAAGCATTGATCTTGGTCTCGTTTGTGCGATAGGGTCAAACCGCTAGTGGGAAGACATACACCATGGAGGGATACAAACCCACTCCATTAGATCCTCCTCCATCCGCACCCGAACAACGCGGAATCATGCTCCGGGTCGCTGCAGACATCGTGGACCACATCCGAAGAACCAACGAGGAGGAAGCCTCGAGCAAGTCGGAAGATGTCACCTCGTTTTGCGTCAAAGCGACGTATCTTGAGATCTACCAGGAGACTCTGACTGACTTGCTTTGCGATAAGGACGGGCAAGGTAGGCAGAAATCGCAGACTTCGCTCATTACTGTCGATCGTTCACCTAAACTGTATCTTGGTGTTTACTCAGCGGATCTTCGAATTCGCATGGATCCGGACTCGCTTTCCGGGCGTGAGCTGTATGTGCAGGGCCTGACAGAGCGTGAGGTTGTAGATATCGAGGACTACGTCCGGGTGGCACAAGTCGGGGCTAAAAGGCGCACAGGTATGCCTTCAACCATGTTGAAAATCGAAGGAAAACCGCAACTCCGCAACTCATATGTACTGCAACGCTAGTCGGGGAGACAAACATGAACGAAGCCTCATCACGCTCCCACGCCGTCTTCACGCTCATCATCGAGCAAATCCAACGAAGGCGAGGAGGCACCCTCCCAGAGGACATCGGCGCCCGCAAACGGTCGAAAATCCACCTTGTTGACTTGGCAGGATCAGAACGGGCGAAAGACACCGGCGCCGTTGGGACACGGTTAAAAGAAGGGGGCAGCATCAATCAGTCGCTGCTCAGCCTCGGGAATGTCATCTCCGCGCTCTCGGCGCCTACGCGAGCGAGTAACCACGTCTCGTACAGGGATAGCAAGTTGACGTACTTGTTATCCGACTCGCTGGGCGGAAATGCTTTGACGGTCATGATTGCATGTATAAGTCCGGCTGGAAGTTGCTATGAGGAGACGATGAGCACCCTTCGCTTTGCGGAAAGGGCGAAGAAGGTCAAGCTGCGGGCTACCGTCAACATCGATATGCAGTCTCTCAGGTATGTTTATGCCTTCGGTACGAAGACATGTTCATTGCCAAGCAAGTTCCGAAGCTAATGATCCGATTTCATAGAATCCTGGCTCTGGAATCCGAGATATCCCATCTCCGCTCTATGCTCGCTTCTTCCTTCACCGACCCCAGTTTCCATCCAACAAGCAAGAAGGATGCCGGCACGTCTATGCGGAGGTCCACCGGAGTCGACGCCGAAACATCGCCCATGGAGAATAAACGATCACCATGGGCAAAGCTCAAGATCGCTTTCAAAAAGGCTTATGCAAACGCCTCTGGGGCCCTGAAGGTGCGGCCGCCTTCACTGCCCGAGGTGCCCAATGTTGGGCGGCGTGTCAGCGAGTGGGCGAAAGGAGTGGCTCATATCAATCAAAAGGGGAAAGTGATACCTGTAGATTCGTCGTAATGTTTGGTATATGTTTGTTCCTTGTATCATACTTGTCGATCATGGCGTGTTAAAAAACGTATGCCGCATGTGCGAGCAAAATTCCCCGCTTATGAGCTCGGAAAGGGTCATCTTGAGACATTCACCTCCTGTTGTACGGCGAGTTCAGGTTGATAGAAGAACTAAAGGAAAAGTGGGCGACAAGCTTTACTATCCACGAATGTAATTTGACAGAGGATATTTCATACAGAGCGGATGTTCAGCATATGACAGCATTTCAAAGTTCCCATATCCAACCAAAGACGCAACGATTCTGACTCGTGCTGCAAATCCGAGCCTATAGTGTTTCCAAAAGCCAGAACAAATAACACCCTCCCTAGTCCACTAATGAGCCGCAACAGCCGCCTCACTATCAACTCTAACGCATGGCACATCGGGCCGAACGACCGAGTTGACCATCTCAGCAGCCTTGAGCAACAACCCGCGTGAAGCTTCCTCCAGATTGGCATTGGATGCGCTCACGGAGTTGGCAACGCTTTCGTCTAGCGAGGTGTAGTCGGGGTAGGCTGCAGCTAGCGTACGAGCTTGCTCGGCGGTGGCGGAGGCAACTGTGACGGGGGTCTCCCATAGAACGGTGTGGCCGTCGGCTACTTCGATGGTGATGCGCGCGATGTGGCTCACTTGGAAGGTACCTTATTTTGGGGAGAAAATAGCGTAGCAATGAGCACATTATTATGAGAACAGATTCCGAATCGAAATATAATCACAACATACCCCAGTTTCCAGAGGGGTTCACCTGCACCTCAGTGCTCGCCTTGCCGGTGGTGCCTCCAGTCGACATTCTCCGGTCGATTGAAGCTACGCCAGCCATCTTACTGCCCGGTGTCGGCAAAGCAGGCGCCAATGGCGGCAGCTGTAAGACAAACTCATGACCTTCCTTCAGGTTATCTCCATCCACCTCGAACGCCATGATCTCGATGCGTCCACCGCCTACGTCCCTATCAATGAGAACCTTGTCGGCAGCGCTCTTGCGACGCAGGTTAAGGTCGAACCCGCCTCGGCGCTGGAAGTTCTGTGCCCCAACGGGCGTCTGAGCAACCTGAAACGCCTGGATTTGGCCATCCTCCACAAGCTGGAAGGTCGCGCGGCGGATGAAAGGGACGGGATCCACGCGGCGGCTGCCGGCTGTATGGTTGAAGGCGGCTTGTGTGGTCGGGGAGGTCGCGAGGGTATGGGCACCGGCATCCTCGCGATTGCGGAGGGAGGCTTTCAGGAAGATTTTGGTGAATTCGTTGGGGGGGAACAGAACGGAGCCGAGAGTGATGGACCAGTCAAGCTCCTCTGTGCTGCCCTCCCAGGTCTCCGGCTTCGGTTCCAACAGCTGAGGAGAAATTGTGGATCAACAAATCATTCTATTATCTCCGTCTGGCCCACAAAGATAATGATATAACATACCTTTTTGACTTGTCCAACATCATAAAATGAAACGGGAACATCGTAGTCCAGAGTCAGCGACCGCGGTTCGAAAGCGTTCCTCAGCCCGTGAGGACGGCCGTGGATGGCAACATTCAAACGGTATCGAGAGAACGCCCTGTACCTGCAAGGGATGAGAAAGCCCTTAGGCACTTAGTTGGACTGCAGTATGAATGGCCCCAATTTGATACCATTAGGTTTCACGCTCGAACGCACCTTCCGCGCTCGACCTCTGAGCTTGGTGGAAGCCCTCGACCAAATTCGAAACGGAACGGCAAATCTACAACCTCGTTCTTCTTCAGAATCACTCCGTTGGCACCGTGACTGGTTTGGGGAACAAGCTCCAGGTCCTTGTTCTGCAAAATGCCAGAATATCAGGAAAACGCTTTCAACAGAGGACCACCAGCATAAATACTGTATGGCTCAATCCCCAGGTGTTTCAACAACGAATGTCGCCCATCGAAAACGTACCATATGAACGATCCCATTCCACTTCGCATCCCGACTACCAGAGCTCCCAAGCGCAGCCATCAGATTGCTCTCGCTCCTAGTGCCCACACTGGTGCCAGCTGACACATTCAACGCGATCTTGATGCTAGTTGCCGTGAACGACGCAGGGTGGTTCTCAGAGTCCGGAGCATCGTTGTTCTCCTCGCTCGGGTGAGAACCGGTCGAGAGACGGACGACGCCCTCGATGGCCCATGCTCCGACGTTGTTGAAGCCGGTTACGAGGGACGTGGCGGGCGCCAGTGGGTGGATGGAGATGTTGACCATCTTTGCTGGGGTATGCTATTGAATGCAGGTATTTCCAAGATTTTACAAGATGGTGCAGGTATGCACGAGGATTTCAGAGTAGTGTTCAGATACTATTGCTGTTGAAAGTGGAGGACAGGCAGGCATATGTGAACCGATTGGCTTTTCATGAAGTTATCACGAGTTCCGTGCCAGACCCCTCTTCCGACCATTACGTCACATGTGACAGCGCGTCCTCCTGTCAATAACTACCGCCAAACACAGGCCGAGCGCAACACCTTTAACTCTGCCTTTTATGCCAGCTACGCAAGAACTGCCGCAGCTTCTCCGTGGAATGACGGTGTCCGGATCGGACTGACCTTTACATGGCGAATAGACGGCATTGATCGGAGTTTTAACTCCTCAGACCCAGGAGTCGCATAACGACACTGGCCCTGCCAGCGTTATTTCTGAGCTTTATGAGATCCTTTATACCTCGGTTCACAGAAATGGAAGAGATGTCGACAAAGCTGAAAAAATAGGCTACGTAGTGTGCACGCCAATCCTTTGGCGGGGTCGGTGGTGAACACTACGTAGGAACAGAGCGAAGCGTGTGTTTTGCCTAGATTATTGAACTCAGCACTCATTCCCGCCATGGAAATGAAACCGAGAAGCACTCCAGCATGGAGTTTTGAAGCTGGCACGCACATGTCAGCGGCGGCCGTTGTATTCCGTCGAATGACCTGCCATCTCGCGCTTGTGGTGAAACTGCCTGCCTGCGTCAGTATGGGAAAAGCTATAGCCGTCAGTCGTCCGCATTTACCCCAGTGCTCCGTCGAAAGAATTGGTAGGATATCGGAGAATGTCATCGAGCCGCGCTCCGCGCACGCTCGGCCGCAGTCGCCGGCGACTCGCTGCTAATCCTGCAGTGCGAGTGCGAGCGAACCATGGACGCTGTCGTGGACCCAATCTCCGAGACAGGGTTAAAAACGAGGCTTTCTTTCACGATCCAGCAACAATTTATAGATTCGGTACTACAGTACTATCCCGCACCTACAGTACAACGTTAAATATAGTTGTGTCTGCTGTGTCTAGTTGCGAGGAAAAAATGAGGTAAAATTTGCGGCGCGTGAGCTAAGAGCCAACACCCACAGAGCACAAACGACACCGACAGGCCTCAAAGTTTGCAAGGGTCCAAGGAAAAACTGGAAGGTTGATGAACCAACGACCTTTTATTGCCAGCCCCCCTCTCATCAGACACTGCGGTCATTAGGACGAACTACTTTGCTTTCGGCGGAAAGTTTCGACAGCTATATAGAGCCCTAACCTCGCCATCCGCTAACCCTATTGCATTTCGACTTCCTTTCGCCATACTTACCACGACCATTTGCGGAATTCAGTTTTCGTGGGAAACTCAGCAGAATGACCGAACGACAACAGTACCCGTGCATTCTCAAGAGCGGACACTTACAGCTCAAGCGCTCGCCCCTTGCGCCTTCGAAGAAGTATGTCGTTCTGTGCGCCCCTTTGACCGTGGAGGACATGCACCTGGTGCTCTCCTCTGTTTTCAAGATCAACCCTACCAAGGGAATGGACGCTAAAGGCATGTTTTGCTTGGGCCATATCGCTTGCGCGGCCGTTAAGGGTAGGTTTCTGGGCAAGAGGTCATCGAGGCAGAACCCAGAATATTTGCTCATATTGTCCTTTCCCGTTTTCCCAGGCACCCCGTTGCTTATCGTACTGGACTCCAAAACGGCAACCGCTTCCCCAACTTTCGTACAGTTCTCCGACATTCAGTCGATCTCCGACGAGACCCAGCTCCGATCTGCCTGTAACTTTGCCATTCACTGCAATGTCAAGCCCTACGACTACCGCTTCAGCTGCTCTTCCTCGACGGACTATCAGGAGTGGAACCTGGCGTTTGGTCGCGCTATGCAGATTCTCACGGACCGCACTATGGGTGGGATGGCCGACGGCGAAGGGTCGCCATTGAACGGTTCTTTTCACTTTGAGCAGGCGCAGGCGCCGGCTCGTTACTCGTACGAAGAAGACATCAACCGTCACTCTTCTCCTGTACCTCCCAACAACTTTGGCACCAGCCCGTCCAACGAGTGGGCATCTTCACCGCCGTCTGTCGCTTCCTCTTCGACACAGCAGCGGAAGGCCAAGGTGCTTCCGGATTACATTGCTCCTCCTCCCACCATGTCTAGGACTTATACCCTTACTCCCTCCGCCCAATCGCCTGACGGGTCCTCCTCTGACTCGCCTCGGGCGTGAAGATTGAGTTTTCATATGAGCTTATTCGCCTTTTCCTTGTCCATGGCTTACTCTGCTATATTTGCCCACAAGATTTGTCGCGCTGGTCGCACACTATTACTAGCCATATATTACGATACATAGACTATTCCACAAATATATTTCCTTTGCCACATAGTTAGGAGAAGCACTCTTGGTCAGGACATTAGGCGGACGGGGCGCAGGGTTGTGGAGAGCTCGTGAGGTGTTCAAAAATGCATATTCATCAAGAATATAAAAGTATGCACAAGCAAAAGACGATCAATGAATTGAGAAGCCCAAAAAACTGCTAAGTTACAGTGTCGTCTTCGCTGGTAACTTGAATACGTTGCCTGGCACGAACATAAGCGATGGTCAGAACAAAGCGGCCGGTAGACAGCGGGCATCGACACACCCGGCCCTCACCTTGATTTCGTAACGAATATATGAAGAACGCAATAGATTCGTTCTCATTCACTTCCTGCGTATGAAAGTGTTTCGAGACCGTTTTGACGAGCTCTTCGTGCGTTTCTCGGTCGCGGTCTCTGGACGACTTTGTCCGCAGCTTGAACGTTCGCTTATACCGCTTTAGAATCTTATCATCGAACGTGGAGAAGTCGACCTGAGAGGAATCACATGCGCCGGCCCGTCAGTAACCAGTCTGCTGTGGTGTTTGTGGCTTTCACACCCATGCCCAAACGAGCCTCCTCGTGAACTCTGGCGCTCGCGAGCAGCACGCATCCATGAGACCCAACTCACATGCGACACATGCTCCTCGACCTTCTTAGCGTTCTTAGACGACGACGGCGCCGACTTTTTCTTTGTGTATTCCTTCTGGTATGCGTTTGTGGTGATATATGACGGTGCAGCCTGTATCGAGGCTGAATTGGCGACCCCGGCGGGGAGCGTTGTTGCAGAGTGGGTATCGGCCAGGGCGGCTCCGCTTTTCGGCTTGTGGTTCATGGTGGTGTTGCGTTGGTGGTGTAATGTCGAGGGGAAATTGGGTGTGAATTTGGGTGTGTTTGGTTCAACTTCGGTGGGGGTAAATTCTGGAGGGACGTGGCGTTCGAAAAGTTGAGCAGGACGAGGGCGAAGGTCGGACGTGGCACCAAGTGACTATTTTCGCAAGGTGGCAGAGCAAGTCTATTTCGCAATACCACCCACGACCGACGAAACCGGTTCCCACCATTAGTAATACAGGGACTACAGGGACCTAAAATAAAACCAACCTTGTTTGAGTTTGAGCTCACGACCACGAGCCATTCGCGTCCCCCGGGAATTCGTAGAGAACGCAACGTTTGAACATTACGATATCGGCGAAAGGATGAGCGGAGACGTACCGGAGAATGCACCCGAGAACTGTGTGGGGCCACAAAGCGAGCAGGCTGGGAAAGGTACGCCGGTCTCTTCCTAGTCGGAGTCGTGCGCGAAGCGTTAGTCATGGCGACGACTTCTAACATCACTCACCCGTTACAGCCGCCGCCTGCGAGGGATGTCCGAACCAGAATGCTTGCTCAACAGGACCGAAGGGGCCTGATCCAGGTGAGGGGATGAGAAAACAAGTTGCAGGCCTTCATTTTGCTGGAGCTCCATCACTGATGCTTGGAACGTTGTCAGCTCTTCCGCTTATAAATGAGCGAATGACTGGAGTGAAGCATAAGATATTGGTCCTCTCCGGCAAAGGCGGTGTCGGAAAGAGTACTTTCGCGACAAACTTGGCCTTTGCGCTATCATTCGATGAGAACGTTCAGGTAAGGCGAACGTGGATTGCACCCCAGGATCTATCCACTGCTAACCGCTCCAATCATCATATCAGGTCGGCCTAATGGACATTGACATCACAGGCCCATCACTTCCCAAAATGACGGGTTTAGAAGGAGAAACGATTCACCAGAGCAATTCGGGATGGTCCCCAGTCTACGTCACAGACAACCTCGGCGTCATGTCGGTGGGCTTCATGCTCTCCCATCCGGATGAGGCCGTTATCTGGCGAGGACCAAAGAAGAACGGGATGATCAAACAGTTCTTGAAGGATGTGGATTGGACAGGGAATGGCGATGGGACGAGCGGGCTGGATTACTTGGTGGTCGATACACCTCCAGGCACGTCCGATGAACATCTCTCTGCGGTGCAGTACCTGAAGGAGAGCGGGATCGATGGGGCCGTGTTGGTTACTACGCCGCAGGAAATGGCTTTGCAGGATGTGCGGAAGGAGATTGCGTTCTGCAGGAAGGTCGGCGTTAATATCATTGGGGTGGTGGAAAACATGGCTGGGTTCGTTTGTCCGAACTGTAAGGGCGAGTCGGTTATTTTTGCACCGAATACGGGAGGCGCGAGGAAGATGGCTGAGGAGACGAAGATCCCTTTTCTCGGTTCGATACCGCTGGACCCCAGGATAGGTGAGTCTTGGGCACATGTGTTGTTTCGAATTGGTGGCAAACTGACGCCGGTTTTGCAGCGAAATCCTGTGATCTCGGCGAGTCGTTCTTGGATCTGTACCAAGACTCACCAGCGTACAAGGCATATACGGATATCATTCAAAGTGAGTTCAATCTTGGGTCATTCTATCTGTCAAGGCATTCATGCTGATGTTTACTTTTTCCCCAGAAATTCGTGCACATGTAGGCGATACCACGCCCGTCGCCGCGAACGGAGCTTAATCCGCGTTCCCTATCATCATGCGTTGTATCCGAAGGCGTTTGCACTACCAATTCATCACTTGTTCCTATTTGCCCCTTCAGTACGTAGCTCCCAGCATTCTAGCTCGCCCTCACCATCTGTACATACCATAGCTTTCGATGAAGGGAGACGGACACAATCACATTAGAGCATGTTCCCCGCAAAAGTGCGGATTTTGGTCCAGCTAGGAGCGACCGAGAACCTTCTCACTCACACAAACTTGGCTGTAGATTTCTCAATAACAACCGATCGTGCTAGTGGTAGAAAACACCTCCTAGCAAAGTATCCCGAATCAGGTCCTCGCCTACGCATTCGTCTCTCAATGCCGTACTTTCATTCAAAATGTCAGAATATCTATAAGCTACCAAGCACCAAATCTACGCTTCTACATAATCTGCCCAAACGATTCCGGCCCGCCCAACACAGCAATGGGAACCTGTCCCAAGTCTAAATCTACCTTGCTCCTTCCTCTGCCCACACAAGCCCCATCAGTCCCACCAACTTGATTCCCAGCGGTAAACGCGGTGTGCGCTCGCCCCATAATAAGCGGCGTCCTCACCGTCTGCACCGTATTCGCCGCGGAAGTTTTCGGCCGCACGCGAGGGAACTGAGGGACGCGGATGGGTTTGCCGACGTTGTCGGAGGTTGTCCATTTGGGGTTGCGGGAGCGGTTGAGTACTGAGTGGATTTGGGATGTTGGGGCTGATGAGGTGGCGGTTGGGATGGCGACGTGGGCGGGGTGGGGTGGGGTGATGGGTGGGTCGGCGGGTTTAGGGGCTCGGGAGAGTTGGTCGGGTAGAATTTTCCGTTTTATGGGCGGGGCAGGTTCTGTTACTCGTGAGATTTCCTGAGAAAGAGCCACATCTGGTATCCCAGAATCCGCCAAATGTTCATCCAGACCCCCCTGCTCCACCGCATCCTCATGCTCATTCCAAATCAACAACCTAAGCAATGTCGTCGGATCCGTCGATTTCGCTCCTGCCCCATCCCCCTCCTTCGCCTGCTGCTCCTCTGTCCACGCCTCCCAATATTTCGGCCGGTTTGTTCCGCTCACGACTTCCTTCCGCATGCGCATGGTCGGCATGCATGGGATCGGGTCTCGGTACCCTGGAGCCAAGCTGGTTTTCGATCGGGATTTAGTACTGTTTCGTTTCGTGCTGGCAGATGCGAGTAATCGGCGGATGACCACCGGTTTCATGTCGGATGGTCCGCTCCTGCGTCTGCGTTTGCGTCTGTTTCCAGAGCTGCTGGCGCTTACAGTCTTCCATGGCGGTATGGATCCAGACATCGAGTCACGGTCTCCCCTCCCCGCCCCCTCCCCCGCTAACTTCTCCACCTGCCTCTCCAGCACGTCCACCCTTCGTTTCCACCGATCACACGCCCTACTCTCCTCCGCGACCACGTCAATGGACGTCCGAAGGGCCCGGTTGAGCTCGCTAATCCGCGAAAGCAAGAACTGGATATACTGCGCGGGCGACTGACATTGTGCGTTCGCGTGCTCTTTGTCTTCATACATCGGTCGCGCGGAGCCGGGGGTGGTTGGGCGGTGGAGGAGGTGTGGGAGGGCTCGTTTGGCGACGTAGCTGGTTGGGACCCCGTTGGGTGTGGCGGCGCGGGTTTGCTTGCGGATGTTTCCGTCGGTGGTTGCTGGGCGAGACGATGCGGCGGTGAGTCCGACGCCGAGACGGGTTGGTGGGTCGTATGGTTTTTTTCCGGCAAGCATGCTGGCGATGGCTTTGATAGCTTCTTTGGTCGTGAGGATCTGGACTGGAGGCCCAGCGGTCCGACCGCGGCCTTTCAGGACGGTTGATCGTCGGGCGAGGGAGTCTAGCTGTCGCGCGCTAAAGGATTGTGACCGCGCGGAGCCTGTGTGTTCGTTGATGGAGTCGAGGCTACGCAACTGGTCTCTGACTGATGCTGCACAAACTTGGGTTAGTCATTGTTTAAGGAAATGGGAAACTATCAACTTCGGCTTTACCGGTTGTGGGGCGCCCCGCGGCCTCCTCAGCAAAGAGAGCCTGGCCTTGTCCTGGTACCATTTCCGAAGTTGACTGAGCTGCCGCCTCAAGCGTTTCAGCACCAAAGACCGTAATCGAGGGTCTTCCAGAAGGCACATTGGCGCTCGCAACCGTATCAGCCAGTCGTTTACTCATAGCTTTCATAACTTTCACAATCATCGTCGAAGGCTGGGCCCGCGTCAATGTATCAACCAACGCAATCAGCTCCTGGTGAGACAGCTGATTCGGGTCCGCCTGCGGTGACGACATGCTCGCTCGATGGGACTGGGATGCCGACCGGCCCCTTTGAGGTTTCTCCGGTTCGACAGCGGCCGCTTTTCGCCTCGCTGCCATTTCTCGTATGATACGTGTGGAGGCGGCTTCTTCTTTTGCCGATACGTGGTTGACGGTGAGTTCTCCGCCTTGGCCGAAGAAGAACCCGCCGGAGGCGGAGTGTGGGCCGGAGTCCATGCCGGGTTCGTGGTCGGGTGGGGGTGGGGTGTCGACTTCGCCGGAGGGTCGGCGAGATGCTGGCATTCCGATGTGCCGTACAAAATGAACTGGAGAGATGTAGAGTCCTCGTGAGTCGAGTTCACCCCGACTCGGTGGTGCCAGAATCGCTTGCGCTGCTGAATTATCTAGTTGGGTCGCTGTAGACGAACTTAGCGCGCGGCGGAAAGAGCCGCTGCAAGCTGTAGTACCCAGATTTCTACTATCTACAGTGTGTATCAACTCTACGTATTCTAGGTTCACGTCACTACGTAACCAGGCAGATGAGACGAGGGTCTGCGTGATTATTCGGAGAATTCAAAATGCTCGCCGTCTGCGATATTTTAAGGACGGAGCTGACCTCCGACGCGCTGTCGAAATTGGTAACAATTGGCTCATCTCCTACCAGTCCACGACGGCCGAAACTCAAGTACGTACTGGACCGGCTATTCACTGCAAGTGGCTCAGCATATCCATCAGCCGACGTCGAAAACTTCCCAACTGGCACTACGACGGACAAGGGAATTCGGGGTATCCGACGCACCTTCTCAGCTGAAGTGCGGTAGACTCCCCCAACGTTCTCGTCCAGCGGTGCCTTAGAAAGAAGAAAGAGAACGAAGGTAATGTCCATCGAGTCGAAATGAAGTCCATCTCGTCCCCGAGAGCTGAACCGCCTCTACATTGCCGCTCCCAAGGAGGCGAGTTTCATGACAGTGACTCTAAATGATGCAGATGAGCAGCAACGAAACGCCACACCACCCCAAGTCATCATGCCCGGACGACAACGAAAGCTGCCAGCTTGGCCTGCGACGAGACTGTCTCGTAGGATGCCCGCGCACCCGAATCAAAGACCCACAGGAATTTATGCATAACAGCGGGTCCAGAGAGGAGTTTATCTCAGCAGGACGCCATCCGAAGATGGGAGAGTGATTGAGCTGAAGTGCAAAAGCATCTGCCCAGATTGCAAACAGAGACAAGAATTAAGGCGAGTAATGTGCCTGGATCTGTCTGGGCATCACGTCATTTGAAGACGCCGCTTACAATATGACCCGGCTTGCTTGTACCTCTCCCAGCGATGTGCAGGACGATTTTTACAGTACGGGCTTTTCGTCTTGTAAATCGATGATGGAGGACAAGCAAACCGCAGTCAAATGTAATATGCAAGCCATTCGCAAAATTGGTTGGCTTGATATCCATTTCTTTTGAACCGATGTAGTGGAACGGATCTGGCAGAAGAGAGATGGAGGAAGCGTCTGATCAGTAAAACTCTTAGGAAGCTTCATTTAACTCCAAACTTCTCATGCACTCCAGTTGTATGATCAGAGACACAGGGTTTCATATCATTGTGTTTCAAGGTCGGATTGAAGTTTGACATCACTTCATCAACTTCCGTGCGACCATATTACTAGCTATCTAAGGTTCCTTTCTTACCTTGTGAGTGATAGTCTTTGCTCTTCTCCAACCTTCGAGGCCGCAAAGATCCTGTGTGCAGAGAAACTCGGGGTAGATCATGACAACCACACACCGAGGCACCCACTCAGAATGTGATAGTCGCTTCAAAATACAAGGTAATTTGGGCAGCTACTTTTCTCTCACAATCCGTCGAACCAGTATCCGAGGACACTGATGAGGACATGCTTGAGGGTTTCCACTCATCGTCGTGGTTTGTATGTGGTTGGAATAAAGTCAAAAGCTGGAGCAGCCGGAATTTTGCAGCTTATATAGTCGGCCGCTACGGAAGGTCACGTGATCTGTGCGTGTCATCTGGGCAGACCGCGGCGCGTTGTCGTGAAATGCACGTCTCTCGTTTCTCGAAGTTCGCCCACATTCCCACGCTCCAGACCATCACCAAGATGCGGACCGCGGAGAGCAAGCACATCTGGCAGGTTGAGAAGTACTCGAGACTCTATCCGGGCACAGGCTCAGTGACGAGCAGTAATCCCGCTGGCTGGGTGTATCTGTCGAATAAATCCCTCCGCGTCGAAATTTCAGAGGATGTCGGAAACCGTGGGAAAATGCACGTTCAAGTGCTGGTAGGTGGGAAAACGGTGTCTCTGGTGAGTTTGGACAGCTCCTTTACATGTACCTTATATCCTCAACGTAATCAACCGCTCTTTCACTACACAGGAATTGCACGAACTATCACCGCAAGCGCTACACACGTCTGGATTAACGTTGTTACAGAAAGAAAACGTCCTATATGGTCGTTACGCTGCAGAAAATGTACGATGCTTTATCGGGAATCGCGATGATGGGCCCTTTCATATGCTTCTCTCTCCAGGCCACACTCAAAAGATTCCAACTCAAGTTCAGCACCAGCGCCGATTTCCACTCCTTCTCGGTCGTCTTGGGCCGCTATGTCCATATCAAGCCCGTCCAGACTAGAGCTCAAACCCTACTCGATTCATCGATTGCCTCGCCCGTCAGCACCCCTAGGGCTCCGATCCCATCCGTTGGTGAAAATAGGAACATCGGTATGCCCCCTCGACGGGATGTGTCCCTACCCGAGGGACTACGGTTACCGACGCCAATCTCGACTCCCAGAACAATATCGCAAGATTCGTCGGCAAGTCAGGGCTTTGGAGGTGCACCGACCACATACTCCCAAAACCGCGCAGTTTTCAACAGCCGGTTCGAAGCGCCGAGCCGTATGCTTTTCGAGACAGACAGTCAAGCCACCGACGCACCCAGCGCTACGACGTTCTCTCAACTGCCGCCATCCTCTCGCATGTCCTCCACACTATTATCTCCAGTGACCAACTACACTCAAATGAGAGATTTCTCAGATATGGATTCTCAGCTCCGCGTTCCCATGGCGTCGGTCATTAATCACACGCAAATGCGAGATCTCTCCGATATGAATTCCCAACTTAACGGTCCCACCATGGTTCAGGAAGACGATACATCCTCCGAAACCCAATCTCAGCTGCTCAGCGCTCGGCAACCCGACATGGGAACATCCATCACCCAATCTCCGCTCGAAGCGATCCCATCGCCTGCTATAATCCAGCCACCACCACCTTCTCCTTGCACCACAACGTTAAGCGACACCCTAGGCCAAGTTTTCCGTGACCAGAACGGCATAGTGCTGGAATACCTTTCTGAAGCGGGGCTGTCGACGCTGCTGCGGAAGTTGCTACGTGGACCCGAGTTTCGCGCGCTGTTGGCGACGGTGGATTTTGAGAGGTTGCAGACGGAGTTTAGGCGGTATTGTGAATATGTGGATATGGATTAGATGTTGAGGGAACGGTGGGATGTAGATAGACGGGGGGTGGATGAGGGGCAGGGAACCCAATCGTACTTACTAGCAGACCTATTACCACTTCCGGTTGCATGCAGATAGGCTTGTCATCGTCTGGCACGTAGGATACGCAGCAGCTTTTGATGTAACTAGTTTGCAATCAGACTTTGTGGGAGGTTTTTATAAGGTGGTCGTCCTTATCGAACAATTTATCCTAGTAGAGCATCCTTTTCCATCATGAACAGGTAGACGTATTATGGGACCGGTTCTCAAAGTCTCGATTCAGAAAAGTCACATATAGTACAGTGGAACGAAATCACAAAGTTTCTCGGCAAAGTACGGGCAGGAGCAAAAATGTACTATGCTAATGTCGAATGTCCCAAATTCGGTGGGGATGTGGGAATACCTGATTATACGGTGACGACTCCATGTACCTAGCGGTGCCTTCTCAAGTCACTGAGATTGTGTTCATATCCGTGATGCAAAGGCTCTCAGACCATGTTGAGAACCCCACCATTTCATTCACTGTTCGCCCTTGACCCACCGATGCTCAAGCACCTGGTCCGCAGACGGTCTCCGTTCCGGGTTCTTCTCCAGCATCCAGTCCACGAGCTCGAGACACTCACGCGACACGTGGGTGGCAGGCTTCTTGTACGACGTCGTGCAGGCTTCGTAGCTGTTCCGGAAGGGGCATTCTCCGCACAGCATCGTGTAGAGCAATACCCCTACGGCCCAGATATCCGACGGCCGTCCGCGGTACTTCTTTCCGGCGAGGATTTCGGGCGACGCGTAGGTCAATGTACCCTGGAATCGGTCCAACGATGCCCGTTTGTTGGAGTTGGGCGCCTCGAACGCCGCTGATCCGAAATCTATCAGTTTGATGGTCAAGGACGAGTCGATGACGATGTTTTCGTCTTTCAGATCGCGGTGCACGATGCCTTGGGAATGCAGGTATGCGATCGCATCGGCTATCTGTCGGAAAATGTGTCGGGCGTGCTGTTCGGAAAGGTGGCTGTGCGCGTCGATGTGCTCGAAGAGATCCATTGATGCTTTGCGTGCAAGGACGGTCGGGAATGAGTGGTTGCGGATCAGCGGTGGTGGTTGTGGCATGTTCGATGATACGGACGGATGCGAATTTTGTCGAGCTCGGGATCTTGGCAGGGACCGTGTGTGGGACTCGGCGTTCGAATCGCAAGTCACGGAGGAGCTCGGTGTGGCTGCTGGTGGTTGGTCTGACGATTGTCTGTCGGAAGACTCACTGCTCGCGTTGCTGTGCTCATCAACATCTCGCCCATCTTTCCGATCAGTTCCATTCGCGTTGGAATGGCTGTACTGATGAGAGCTCGCCGACCATTGGGTTCCATGCATCTCCATTACCAAGTAAGCGAAACGCTCACATTCGTAGTAGTCCTCGTACCGCACAATGTTGGCGTGGTTGCAGCGCTTCAGGATGTACACTTCCAACGGAATGATTCCCAAATCGGTGTCTCGTGCCCATGCGTGCACAGGTATCTTTTTCTTCAGGATGAGCTTGACCGCCAATTCGCGGTTGTCTGAGAGGCGAATGGCCGACAGTGCGTGGCCAAAACCTCCAGATCCAAGCTCAGCCGTGATTACGTATTTGCTCAGGAATGTCCGATTCAGCGGACTCCTGCTGAGAAGTCGTTGAATGGGGGACAACGCAGCCGCTGAGGCAGTCAACGCTGAAGCTGGGCTCAGTGATGTGGATGTTTCTGTGGTCGAAGGGTTTGAGGATGGCGATGCGGTTGTGCTCACGGAAGAAGAGGGTGTTGGTGCCCGCCGCTCAGGAGTAGTGGTGGTGGTGGCCTCTTTCGCAACATCTGACGCGCAGGAGGTCGCTGGGGAAGGATCCAGTGCGTCAACGGCTGATATCGCGATTTCTGTTCATACAACATGGGATATTCAGTTAGCGTTTTGACCAACGAGGTTAAAATAAAAGATGATTACGAGCAAGAACATTACCTGGCGGTGCAGATGGCACATCCTTTCGAGTATGTGCCTTATCATCGTCTTCTGGTGGTGATGCGACCGAACTGTTTTCCACTCTTGGTGACGGAGCACTCGCAGCATCGGCAGCAACAGCTACGTTCGCCACTGGCCCTGCCGCGTTTGCATTGACAAGGGAAGGTATCGGCCGTGTTGGGCGAGCATTGAAGAACTGCCGTATCAGGCCTTTCTTTGAAAGCTGTGGGCTGGCGGCCGGAGTGAGGGAGAATGCTGGCGCGTTGCGAATGAGCGTGGGAGCAGTGGACGGTGAAGCGGTGAAGGGCCCTGACGAGATCGCCTGGGTTGGAGGTGCGGGCCGTGGTGGTGCTTCTTTCCGAGATTGTGGTGTGTATTCCGCGGCGTAATGGTGGGAATGTTCCGGAATTGGGTCTGCGGTGGCCATGAAGGTCGTGGAGAACTCCATGTCGGGGATGTCGCGGCGCCCGTCACTTGCGTCGATTTCAAAGTGCATTGACACAGACACAGTGCAGGTCCGTATGTCTGCTGCCTTTATGCACCTGCTCAGTTCTTATCGGTCTGAAGTCGTTGGTCGGAGACGATTTCGAGTTGCACCCAAGACCGATATCTTAAAGTTTGTGCTCGTGGGAACTGGTGCTTCCGGATAAGGTCCGATAAGGAGTTCGGCGGGAGGAAAAAAACAAACGTGGAGAAACGAGCGAGGTCAGGTCTTTGATGGCAGGTCCGAAGGGATCGAATCGATGGGTTTTGGAAGTTCAGAACAGGGGCAGGCGGCGGAGAGAGAGTTCTGACACGGCTATATGCTGCATATGACTGTGCCGACGGGTTGACTGTGCAGGGAAAGGGACGTGCGACTGACACTCATTAGGCTGGCTGCTGTGCAGGGATCTATCATATATCTAGTGCATCGGAGAGAATCTTCCGGATTGATGCGGAATGGATAATAGCCCACCACCTCCCCATGGCATGAACGGCGGCAAATCGACGGTCCAAAAGTCAAAGCCTTCTCAAACACTGTGTCCACCAAGCTCCGCCGCAATGTGTCTCGCCTTTCAACCTTTGACGTGAATCGCACGAGTCATCAAGGCCCGCCATCTGATGATGAGCGTTGTGGATCCAGCCCCGTCAGTGTCTCCATGAAGGCTCAGCAACTCCGGGATCGGCGTTGTAAAAGATTGAGGCGATGTTCTCGGCTCCCTTCCAATTTGGATCTCCCTCCCTAATCTCATGTACCTCGGACGTCCTGTCATTATGCTTTAATCGGGTTGATCAATGATCGGGTATACCCCATTCCAGAAGGCCCAAAGGCTCCAACTCCCGAGAAAAAACGTACGGAGCACCAACTGTCAAACCCGGTATAAGTGGCACAATCGCGTTCAATCACACGCGTTCGCTAGCGGGCTTATCACCGCCATCTCTCACAGGCTCACCGCCTCCCCCATACAAAGAAACACGTCAGTCGCAGAGGAAAAGACATCATTCGACACGAGATTTCTGAAGGGTCCAAACCCCACTTCCATGAACCCCCAATTCACACATGCGCTGCTGACCGGCAGGAACCAAGTCAGAAGCGACTCGAGATTGAACATCAATCGAGTGCGGCCGGGATCGAGCCAGGCGGAGCAGGCGGGGCGGTTATCGGTCGAACGCAAGGCGAACTAATAAGCCCTGGCCAGAGGCCTCTGGATGTGCTAGACGGCGATGTTTTCTCGGAGCATGCAACGATGGAAACTGGGAGAAAGGCCGCTCATCAAAAAGCTATCTGCAAACACCCCTGCTCGGGTCCCCCCATCAACAGTTTTTTCTTTGCGGCCGAACCAAAAACTATGTTCGCCTTAAATGCATGCCGCAGATCGAGGCGGGATCGGCGGGTAGGAAGTGGGCTGACCGGGTCCGCGTCACCGCTGCGACCTTGAAGATGTTACGCTTATCCGCTTTTGCTTTCGAACTTCCGAAGACCGGATGGTACGGAGCTGCTGTCGAAACTGTTACTTTCTTTCTATGGACGACGGGATATATATGTAGTGGAGCATTTTTTGGGATACCTATGCGGCGGAGTTTCCAATGCAAATCCCTCTTTTGACAGTCTCACAGCCAGCGGGTATTCAAATACAACCGTCGCCGTGGGTGACAACACCGACAAGCAATGTGATTTGGAGCTGCTACTACTGCTGCGCTGGACCTGGATCTCGACGATCCACTTCATTTCTCGAGATCCAGTTCGATCGAGTCCATGGATGGCAATTTTTTGCACATTTCGCGATGGAAGCCTCACGCGTTTTTTGTTGCCGCCACCGGCGCGATGCCGCTGGACTCCTCCGGCTCTCCGAAGTTTGTCCAATCCTTCGATGGTCAGTTGAGGGCGCCTGGAAGGAGTCTGCAGTCATTGTCAACGGTCATCTGATGAATGTCTTACATGGACTGGAAGATGCTCAGAATCGAGAGCCGAAACTTCTCAGCCTAGTAGGAGATGACCGATGTTGACGTGTTCGCCAGTCTGGTGAGATGTCAGTGAAATGCAATTGTTCGCCTTCGGGATGGCATCATCAGGCTGCGCTGTGGTCGCTGAGAGGCATGTGAAAAGTCTGGACGTGACTCCGGCGGAGTTCTGGAGACGTTGAGATGTTATTCGAGGATCTTCTCCCTCGCTGAGAGGCATGGGACGGGACACGAACAGAGAAACGGGGAGCTTCTGCTTCCTAGCATGTAGGTTTGTGGAGCTGTGACGTGGCGTGCATCACAGAAGGACAGAGGACAAGGCCTCAAGGAGAGCACATGGCGAATATGTCAGCTCTTCCGACCAGTCCCTCCACATTTTAGGACTTGAAGCTTGTGTATATAAGGTGGAAGCTCTCTCTCCCTCTCGTTCCCGTCTCAAACTACAGACTACTTGATCAACGAAACTCATCACAAAAGCTCTTCAACAACGAAACCCATCACAAAAGCTCCCCAAGAAGGTACTCTATTCGCAAAAAGCATTCGCACTTCATACTCACCAAAAATCACGCGCAAGATGCCCTCCGGCGGTCAAAAATCAACCCCAATGACCAAATCCGCTGCATCCAACATTCAATCCTCCCAAGCCAAAGCCGGGCACAACGTTGGTTCCGGAACCTTCGCGTCCAGGGCCCAGTCCGCCGGCGATAGGAGCGGTAGCACAAGTAGTGGAGGAGGCGGCGGGAAGGGCGCTGCTCAAGGCGGTAGCAAGGGCAAGTGAGAGGGTGTACGGATGAGCTAGGCTGGGAGTGGGAGGATCGATACCAGTCATGTTCGAAAGTTGTTGTTGTCGTATCTTCATAAGTCTCGTATTCAGGAGGGATGTCGATATTCTACATAGCACATGTATATGTTCCTTGTAATCCAGCACTCTTGCGAAGAGATGAAATGCCCAAGAGAGGTTCGATCAACTCTCATCTGTGCCATGCATGTGTGGTGTAGATGTATATAACTGCAATCAGAAGGCAGATGAGTGACATACTGTAGCACCTTGAATCTGTCAACATCAATACTTGGGCGCGAAAGCCCTGATGACAGGAAAAGGAAGGTGGAGTACAGTACTGTACATATGTGCGGGAATGGTTGATGAGGAGGGTATACGGGGATGACGGCCTCGGAAGGCCTGCCAATAACACACACACGTGTCCCCTCCCGCCATGCGTGGACATCCATCACCACCGTTAATTACGCGCGGCGCCAGAACGTCCAGCTCAGCCAGCTCAGCTGTTAAATACCGTTCGCGCTCCCAGCAGCTGCACTCATCGGCTGGGCATATCTGTGCAGTGGGTTCAGAGCAAACCTCCAACACGGAGCCCAGCGGTCCTCTCAGTCCAGTCAATTCAAGCGAGCAAGTGTCGGCTTGTTCGACTACGGAGATAAACAGCTGGAGTCCCAGAACAGGGGTCAGGCGCGTCTGGGCTCAACGAATGCCCATTTCGAGAGGAAGGCGACGAAAGAAAGAGCCGTTGGCGCTTGCACCCACCGAGTAATTTCCAAGCTGACGGTCATTCTGCCACGCTCGGCCGTGCTCGCGTCGACAATTGCTGTAACTCCAGAACGGCAGCAGCACCCGGTGCCTACTGGGTCTGCGTGCAGGAAGGAACAGCGGGGAACCTACTCTGTAAGCATTCCCCCCCCTCATTTTCAGATAGACGCAAATGAAATACAGTAGCTGCGTCGCCCCACAACGGACTGAGGCCTGTTGCTTTATTGTCACCGCTTCAAGATGAGCACGGGTGGCCATCAACCCCCGCAGGTTACATCCTCACCGGCGCCGGCACACCCTCCAGCAGCACCACCAGCGGAACAGCAGGACGTCTCAAACCAGCATGGTCCTCCGTCGAATGCGGCGACACAGCAACAACAACAGCAGCAGGAGCAGCACGCACCGGCAGCGCCCGCCCAGCAACAGACTCCACCGACAAAAGTGGCTGTGCCACGTGAACTGCAGAATTGCGATTCCGCATTTGTATCACAGTTGGTTATGGAAATGATCAGCAGGCTTATCCTCCATAACGATCGAATACCCCTTACTTCGGCAACAATAACTCGGTTCCATTCACGGGCACCACCAGCGTAAGTCACAGACTATCTTGTTCGAAGCATTCGCAAATGGTTCTTCTCACGACGGTAACACTTCTCATCCAGAATAAAGCCCGAGGATTACTTACGACGAGTAGTGAAATATGCCTCCGTGGAGCCATCTGTAATAATAACAATACTGGTCTACATTGACCGAATATGCGACATTCATCAGCATTTCACGATATCGAGTCTGACTGTCCATCGGTGCGTTGCCTGGGTCGCAGTCTGCAGTGGCGGTCTCAGGGGCGAAAGCAGCACGCTAACTTGTACCATTGAGTCCAGATTCATAATAGCTGCAGTCACTGTGGGAAGCAAAGCCCTCTCTGATATTTATTGCACGAATACGTATTATGCTCGGGTAAGCGCCGACGAATCAACCCGTTCTCCTCGAACCCGTAGTCGGCCGACTAACAAATCTACCAGGTCGGAGGGCTCCCGCTAACAGAACTCAACCTTATTGAGATGGATTTCTGCAAAATGATCGGCTGGAGATTATCATGTTCCATGGAAGTGCTGCAGCAGTACTACGTTAACCTCGTGCGGACGAACCCCGGTTTCGATTTGATGCATTAGCTTAGCGTGGGGCGGTTGTCACCGTCAAACAAACTTGTGGATGGACCACCGTAGCGAGTTGAACCTTTTCCGCAAATTTCCGTCACCCTCACCGGTTGAGAGCAGATAATGGTCATGTCCGAGCGAAAACCTTGCCCGTACTGCGACGCACGCCATATACCCCTTCCCCCCATTCCCCTCCCCCATTTTGGCTCATCAGACAAGTTCACTTGTGTGCCCTCTCGGCTTCTTTTGTATTTATCTTCTTTCTCTGGCTTTCATCAGCTTTGTACATACATTGTCGCCGTTTGTTTTCTCCGACTGTTCTGCTGGAGCAGGCACTGTTCACTCCCGGCTCTGGTCTGGTTCAAGAATGCTTGGTTTGTGAAAGTGCATCGTAGCCTCTGCTTAAAGTTTCCTCGACTGGGTGCCATTATGTAAAGGTTCCGGATCCGTAACCCCAACGCGGCTCTGGGGAACGCTACCGCTAACACTCTCTTCAAGCACAGATATATTATTTTCACATCCTCACGATTAGAATACACGAATTCCGACTGAGAAACCCCGCCTCCCTGACTATACAAAGCCCCCCCTCAATATACACTACCGCAAAGCGCCAAGACCTCCAACTGTTCAGTTAGCCCGAGCCAAAATGTTCCCTCGTTCAAAACACCTCATGTCCATCCATACATCCCTACTCCCCCAACAATTACACATCCGCCTCCGTATTCGACCAACGCAAGATAGTCCCGTTGGCGGTAATCATCCACAGATCGCTGTACGTCTCGAGACACTGGTCAAGCTCGTCGCGGGTGAATCCCTTTCCAATGATGCGGTTGATGACCCTCTCCATCCTACAAGATTGTAGATATAGGATGTATAAGTTCGTGGTCCGCAGCTTGGCACAGAGTGGTCCGCAGCCCGGCACCGAAACAAGATACATACCTAATCTCAGGCCTGATCCGTCCTTCACCATCCCTCGAGATGTCTTTGATCAGGTCGAAGATGACCGAGATGGGGTCGCTGAAGGAGCAGACATCAGAATCACAGATCATACTGATTAGACGAGGAGAGGTGCTTCTATCGGGCTTACCGCTCCTCCATCTCGTCCGCGTTGTTCAAACTTGCTTTGCTGACTTCAACCAACCGCAAGGCTTCGTCCACGTCGTCGATGATCACCTCGGAAGCAAATCGCAAACGAGCCTAGTTTCATTGGAGGCAAACCGCAGATGGTCAGGATATAAGCTCTTTCGACAATGGGCCCGGACATTTCCACATCGGAGAATCCTTACCAATGCGGTCGTCATGCGAACAATACTCAACAGGGTCCTGGCAGAGGTGTACTGGAACTCCTGTGTTTCCTTGTATCGCGCTCGCTGGTTGACGTACGCGTTTACAATGTAGTCCGCGACGTCCGGTGGCACTTCTGGGTCGTAAGAACGGGCCCTCGCGACATAGAACCTGTCGATGAACCGGGTAAGTGGTGTTTCAGGTATAGATGGGATGAATTCAATGTTTACCTCATCAGCATTGCGTCAACGGGCTCGATGTCGCCCTCCAAGCGAGGATGTTGCATGTGCATGTGGACGTGGGCAACGTGCCGGGCCAGTCTAGCAGGAGAAAGCAATACATTGTCAGTCGAGATCTCTATGGCGTCCGAATGGCCTGAATCGAGGTACCTTAAATCCGTGTCCATCGAGGGCTTGTCAAGCATCAACCACAGAATATCGAAACGACTCAGCAGGGCGGTGGGAAGGTTGATGTTTTCGGCAACTCGCTTCTTGGGATTGTAACGACCAAACTGTGGATTGGCTGCAGCGAGGATGGAAGCCCTAGCGTTCAACGTGGTAGTGATTCCTGCCTAATAATTGTAGGATGAAGTTAATAAACCGTAAAAGCTTTCGCGGTCCGGGAAACTCACCTTGCTGATACTGATAGTCTGCTGTTCCATGACCTCATGGATAGCAGTCCGGTCGTTCTCATCCATCTTATCGAATTCATCAATGCACGCGATACCATTGTCGGCCAGCACCAGGGCTCCTCCTTCCAAGACCATTTCCTCCGTGATGGGGTCCTTCATCACACTGGCAGTCAAACCCACGCCAGAACTTCCACGACCAGTCGTGTACACTCCTCGTGGAGCGATCTTACTGATCTGCTTCAGCAACTGAGATTTCGCAACTCCGGGATCACCCATCAAACAGACGTTGAGATCACCACGGATCCTCATGCCATCTCGCGTCTCCTTTGTGCTTCCACCGATGAGAAGCAGCAAGAGCGCCTTCTTGACGTCGTCGACACCCCAGATTTCAGGTGCGATGCTTTGCGCCAGTCTCGTGTACAGACCCTGTTCATTTTGCAGATCCATGAGCCGTGCCTCAATCTCAGGGGTCATGCGCATCTCCGAGTATTGCTCTTTCACTTGGTGAATGTGGTGTGCTTCCAAGTAGGTGTCCGTTATGAGTCCAGCTCTCAACGCTCGGAATCCAGTGTAAGGAATGGGCAGGAAGATTCCTGAGATATACACCACGTCTCCAGGATTGACGGTACGCGTCATCTCACTGTACAAGTGTACACTCATCGATCGAGGGATGTGGCCCATGGGAACTTGGTCGGTCTGTTGAGATGTTAATCTCGGCGTTTACAAGATGCGGTCGAAAGCATTTACATACCAGTTCCTGAAGCTTGATTTCCTGAAATTTCACAAGTTTGGAAGCTCGAGTTTGCAGGTAAAGCTTTCCCTTCGATTGATTTTTCTTGCAGTCTTCGCTCGGGCATTCCGTGAGGGGCATGAAACTATGCGAGGTGACCTATCGGGTTGGAAAGATATGATCGAATGGTCATTGAGATTCCAAGGTTGCAGTGCGTATTTTGTAGCCTCACCTCTTGAAAAATTTCGTTCCCGCATTTGTCACAACTGAGCGCCATGACGACAGCTTGTGGTTTCACGTCGCTAACGCGGGTGACGATTCCTCTCACTTTCACCAACTGCCCTACAGACATTCCCTTCACTTCTCGGACTGACATTCCTTTCGTGCTACTCCGCGCTTTGAAGTACAGCGTGCTATTGTGCCGGGGGATATGATGTGAGCAGGGCATGCGGTACATTGCTGATCAACAGTACTCACTATCTACGAGTCAGCTCTGGTGAAAACCCTGATGCGTTCGTTCCCTCCCTAGCAGCGTCATGCTGCCTTCTTTGGTTCAAGATTACATCGAGAGGGTCGCTCTCCTCAGTGGACTGATCATCAACTTTGTCAGGCGACGGAATGTGCGCAATCACTACCAAGCTGCAATCATACCTGATTTGTGCTTTCGGGAAGAAGTGCGTCCACGCACTCGTAGAACAAGTTGACGTAACGTTTGGTGTTTTGCTCGATGTTCCTGACCAGCTCTTCACTCTCCTCGAACTGAGAAAGAGAGTCAGAATGAGGTCTGTACTATCATGGCAAGGTGTACTCACCGCTGCGACGTCGTCCAAAGCTATCTCGAGCTTGGACTGAGTTTTGTCGGCGAGTGCTTTCTATGGAAACAACCAGAGTACAAAAGACAATAAGCGCATGCAGATTGCAGCGCCTTTTCCCTCGGCGTCCAGACATCCGTACCAACTGTTCCGCATATGGGAAGGACGTGCGAGCGACTTTCGCATTTCTCCTAGTCTGGAAAACATCGTCGTCCGCGTCAGACTCGGGACTCTCCAGCTCCACCGCAAACTTCTCTATGAAGCTTGTAATTTTTTCTGGAAAATGAATGATCAGGATGCCGAATCGATTTCCTTTAGTCCCCGGCCCATGGCACAGCAAGCAGTAACCGATTGGGAGAAAGATGCTCGCTGGACAATACCTTTCTCCTGCTGGTAGTTGACGTTGATAAAATATGAGGAAGTCTGAGCCATCTTGACGAGTTTGGAAAACCCCGAGGTGAATGGATATCGGTGCGTCCTTTGAAAAGCTATTGAGCGTTCGACTGCCGGTGATTCTCACCGCAACGGTTCTGGGTCGACTTTGCTTCGAAACGTAAACGCTAGGAGAGCCGACTGTCGATGTTGCTCGTTCGCTTCAGCGGGGAAGGATTGCTGTGCTTCTCAGTTGCTGTGCTTCCAAGCAAACCCACGTCCGAAAGAAATCTGATTCCCAAGGTTCTCGATTCGGACACGCGTTGACGGGTTCGGACAAAACGAGCGTCCGCGACGCGACCTCAGACTGATGGTCCCCATATTTCTGCTTCAAACTTCAAATGGAGCCTTGGCAGAGGGTCTCTTCTCGCGAACTCGCGATTACGAAGTGCTTTGAATGCAAGTCTATTCCAGACATTGATTCTCCAGAGGGGAAGGAGGGCAGTGCTTGTCCAGATCTAATCTAACGACGAAGGAACGGGATTAAGGCGATAAAATGGCAAACGATACTGCACATTGATCCAACTCGATCGCGAGAAGGATATATTAAAATGAAAACATGAGCGAAAGGAAGAGAGAGATCCCAAAGAGAAAAAGAGAGAAAGAAGAGTGCAAAAGACAACGTCAACAAAATAAGAGAGAATTGATCGCAACCCATTTTCCAGAAGACATGTTGACGTGAGGAAGAACAGAATGTTTTTTTTAAAGCAGTTTTGATTGATAGAGAGTAGTACAAGGTACAGAAGAGAAGAGGGGAGGGGAAGAGACTGCGAGAAGGGAAGAAACTACACTAAGGGGATGAGAATTGCGGAGAAACTGCCGCCGCTAAGATAGGAACATCCGAATCACTGCAAATCTACGCCGTGGATAGCTCAGTATTTGTTGAACTGCTTCTGATCTTGCTTCTTCTGATTGTTGTTGTTTTGGTTGTCTGCAAGGGATGGTGAGAAGGCTATGTCAGGAGAAAGTCAGGATGGAGAGGCACTCACTGCTATCCTTCTTCTTGGCATTGTTGAACTGATTCTTGTTGTTTTGGTTCGCTGTTGGGAAGATATCAACGTGAGTATGTTGAGGGAAGAGATTGGCCTGCAAGCAATGGAACAGACCGTGATCTTTCTTGAAGTTGTTCTCTTGGTTGACCTTCTTCAACTCCTGATTCTTCTGGTTTGCTTGCTGGAAACGTTGTGTTCAAGAGTGGTGAGTAGTGTGTCCTGAGCGGGAGGTTGCTCTGAATGTTGTGATACGAACGATGTGATCCTTCTGCTCGTTGTTTTGGTTCAGGGCGTCTGAGAGCGGGAGATGGAAAGATTAAGCGGTCTACACATCTAGCGGGAGAACGGCCTGACTTACTCTTCTTCTCCGCGTGATGTTCGTTGTTATTGTTGTTATTGTTCTTCTGGAAATCATGGTTGTTCCACTCATTCTTTCCTTTCTTGAATCCGGCGGCTTCAACCTCCTCAGCATCGACGTCAGCAGCTTCGACCTCCTTCTTGTTGAATTGCTTGTTGTCTTGCTTTTTCGCGTTGTTCTGGTTCCAGTTGTCTGTATGGGATGTTGTGGTGAGCGAGGGAGATGCAAAATGCAGCCTTGGCGAATGTGTGGTTCTCACTCTGGTCTTTCTTTTGAGCGTTGTTGAACTCTATGGGGCCGAGAGGGGATGGAGAGATCGAGAAGTGGGTTAATCGCACGGACTAGCGCGCGGTTGAAGTCACGAGCAGAGATCTCCTACGGTTCTTGTTGTTCTGGTTTTCGTGATCCTTCTTGAAGTTGTTCTGCTGGTTGACCTTTTTCAACGCTTGATTTTTCTACAGGGAGACGCGGTAACGAATCGCTGTTAGAGGTGCGCTGAAGAGCGAGTAAGAACAGGGATCTCACCTGGTTCGCTTCGACGTGATCCTTCTTGAGGTTGTTTTCGTTGTTGGCGTCTGTTTGAGAGCGTTAAAAGAGTTCGAACCCAGATCAGTGACGAAATGCCGTGACATACTCTTCTTCTCATTGTGATGTTCGTTGTTTTGGTTCTGGTTATTGTTGGCGTAGTGGTTGTTGTTGTATTCATTCTTCTTCTTTTCGGGGAAGCCCTTCTTGAATCCAGCGGCTTCCACTTCCTCGACGTCGGCGTCCTTGTAGAGTAGGTGCATAGTCAGCCGAGTGTTAATGCTTTGGGACGAGCCGGCGCCAAGGTGGATAAGATGACACTACCTTTTTGAATCCTCCGTAGCCACCCTTCTTTCCACCGTAGGGGCCACCCTTCTTTCCACCGTAGGGGCCGCCCTTCTTCCCACCGTAGGGCCCACCGTAAGGGCCGCCCTTCTTTCCACCGTAGGGCCCACCGTAGGGGCCGCCCTTCTTCCCACCGTAGCCGCCGTAACCAGCCGCTTCGACCTCAGCGGGCTCGGCTTCAAGGTAGCCGAAACCGCCGTAACCACCGTGGCCGCCGTAACCACCGTAGGGGCCGAAACCACCGTAGCCGCCGTAACCACCGTAGCCGCCATAACCACCGTAGCCGCCGTATTTTCCAGCCGCTTCGACCTCAGCGGGCTCGACTCCAGCCGCTTCGACCTCAGCGGGCTCGGCATCATATTTCTTGTAGTAGGTGTTCCCGTAGGCGTTCCCGTGCTTCTTTCCGTAGCCGTAACCCTGGTCCTTCTTCTACGAGATGAGGGGCAGGTTGAGCGTTGATGCGTTAGGCGGGAAATCGGTGAGACGAATATACCTTGCCACCGCCGAAGCCGAAACCGTCTTTCTTCTTCCCAAAACCATCAAAGCCACCGAAGCCAATCCCAGCGGCCTGAACCTCCTCAGCATCGACGTCAGCAGCTTCAACCTCCTTCTTGTTGAATTGCTTGTTGTCTTGCTTCTTGGCATTGTTCTGGTTCCAGTTGTCTGCAAGGAACGTTGAGGAAGCGAGATGGTTGAGAAAGCCACATCAACACGCTCACACAAAATGTATGAGGTACTCACTGCTGTCCTCTTTATTGGCATTGTTGAACTGATTCTTGTTGTTTTGGTTCTGCCGTCGTTTTGGAGGCGATGTAAGAGCGGTAAGTAGCGTGTTATGATCGGAAGCACGCTGTGAGTGTGAGATACTTGCCTTGTGATCCTTTTTGAAGTTGTTCTCTTGATTCTTTTTGGCAACCGCCTGGTTTTTCTATCGAGCAGGATGTAGATGTCAGACGCATGTGCCAGTGAAAAGTGTGGGTGTGGACAGCGTTCGACATACCTGATTGGCTTGGATGTGATCCTTTTTCAAGTTGTTCTCGTTATTAGCGTCTGAGGAGAAGTGAAAGGAAAGTAAGTGAGTGTGTCTACACATCCGATGAGATGCTATAAAGGCGTACTCTTCTTCTCAGCATGATGGTTTTGGTTGTTGTTGGCATTGTTATTCTGGAACTCATTGTTGCTGAACTCGTTCTTCTTGGGCTGCTCGAACTTCTTGAATCCGGCAGCAACCTGGAAGACCAAAGAATGAGCATGCAGGCGATAGGTCCTTGAGAGTAACTAACCAGACAGGACACCTACCGCATTCTGGGGAGCGGGAGCAGCGGCGGCGCTGAGGATGAAAGGAACGATGGAGGCAGCGAGGATGAACGTGGCCTTCATGTTGATTGATTTCGAAAGGTGATTGAAATCGAGAGTAAGAGAAGTTGTTGACTAAGCGAAAGAATCGAGCGAAGAAGGTTGCGGCTGATGGTGGTTGGTTTGAAGAAGGTGGGATGAGGATGTGTTCGAAAGAACGGAGCCGGATGATGAGAAGTGGGAAGAGCGATGGACCATCGGTCTTTTATAGAATTTCGGGACCCATCTCCCGTCGCGGATTTTGTCGAAGACATCTGGTCGCGAGCGAAGAGAAACCGCTGTTCCCCGCAGGTTCCGCTACAGGCATGCTAGGCAGCTGTAGAGGAAACAGTAACGAAGCTGTGGGCAAGCGAATTGCGAAATTAGCTAGTGGAGAGCTTCGTTGCGGGAAATTGACCAATTTCCCCTCCACTTTTTCATTTTTTCATTCGTCAACGAACTCCGCACTCTCCAACATCATTATAGTCGCATTCCCTTGCGAAAATGCCGAATCTCGAACTTGGCAGCTTGGATGGTTCGACAAAGTTCTTTCTCTTCTTGCCCGCCATAGTGGAGAATGCGACAGACGGAGACGTTCTCCAATTGGAGCCTTTCTCCAAACTATACCTGATTAATTGGTCCGAACACTTCGCTTCCCGCTCCATTGGAGTTTCCGCTAAGAACTTCTCCATCCTCGCACGTGTGCGTTAAGTCGATGTAGGGGACGAGGGCATGGGTTACCAGAGAAGAAAAAAAGCCATGTTTTGCGTTAGAAGTGCGAAATTGTTGCATGTCACTCCACAGCGCCCTACGATTTTATGAGCCGATAGGGTTGAGGTGCGGAGATAGTATGCTACCTTGCGCGCTCTTCAATTTCTCAATAAGATACGGAGACGAGTACAACTTCCCATTTGTGGGTATTACCTCCAGGGAAAAAAGGGCTCGCTTGCCAGGGCCGGTCATGAAGGGTGAGAAACTCTGCACTCCGCAGATCCCAAATATACTTACTGTACATCATTTGACTCCGCAATGTCAATGTCATATTTCGACAGCGCGTCTTCTGTCAATTGTGCAGGTTTGAGGTTCATCAATCCATGCGGCGGCCTCAGGCTCAACTCCATGGCATCGATCCAAACATTCATCAGTGGGATTGTGGTGCTTCTCGCCGAGGAAGCGGACATACTGTACGTAGATTCGAAAACCGGTTGAAGCGTTGTACTACGGATTTCCCGGAGGATGTGCATGATACAATGCTTCCGCGGCATTCAATTCTGCCTTCGGAAGATTACGACCGTCTGTTCCCAGCTGGCAAGGAAAAAGGGAAACATAAAATCGTGCTTGCCACTTGTCCCGAGCCAAGAACATTGACGTGGAAGGAATGACTCAGTGAGTGACACCGGTGTGTGGAAACGCAAGGAGTTTGTCCCGTCGATCGAATGTAAGAACTTCGAACGAGCTTCATTCCCCAGGTCGACGCTAATTTGCGAGCTGAGCGAGCGGCAACTAGGAAATGCTTCGCGCTCTATAGCTCCTGTCAGTACCACCGTGATTTTCGAGAGGAGCCATACCCAAAACTTGAACGTATGAGACAAGATGAGGACATTCCGATGCGCAAGCGCATGGGACTTCCATCGGTGCCTCTTTTTTGCTAAGCCCACGCGTACGTCCATCTCGCGCATATTTTTACGTCCGGCATGCCCATGGTAATACTAATATCGAACGTCACATTGTCGCCCGCCATTATTCCTTATTCAGCATCGATGTACAAGCTGCCGTCGCGGTACTGGCGGGATGCCAACTGCAAGTTGGGGGAAATGTGCCAAATTATGTCGTTACTCGAGCACACGGAGCCGGTATACGTTTTCCCGAATGACAGGCGCATGCTGGAGCAGGCTGAGGAGCGAAACTCTCAGTTTGTCAATACCAACGGGGACCACATGACTATTCTGGAAATCATGAAAAGGTTCCGTAGCACGCCGGCTACTGAACAACGGAAGTGGTGCAACGACAATGTCTTGGATTACAATGTGCTGAAGTCTGCTGACAGCGTTTCACGACATTATAGTTAGGGAATGTCGCGAGCAGGGATTGGCAATGGGGTCATGCGCAGAGGAGAAAAGAGAGCTCCATATCCGAAAGGCTCTCGTTCAGGGATTTTCTCTTCAGCTCGCAGTAACGACAGACGATGATCTTGGGTATACAACAGCGCACAAGCGACAGGTATGGTGATGCATCACAGCTTGCTACACCGACCTATGCTGTTCAACTGGTCAGCTCAACTGCACTCGGCGATAGTCGGTCAGGCTCGGTAGGTCTTATATACGTTCGGGGCGTTCGGGCAGGGGTTTGTGTAGGAATAGTTTGGAGAGGAATAAGTTTCATCCGGATGGGAGATAGTATGCCTTGTCGCATGCGGGAGATGGGCGTGTACGTACGTACTAGTCTGGGAGCCGGCCACAAAAGTCTGCTGACAGAATCTGGATGATCTGGAGCGGACTGCGAGCAAAACCTCACGCGATTGCTGAGGCGATGCCCTCTCGCCGTTTGCCGTCTCAATTGACCCACATAACAGCGACCTTCCGAGAGCAGCGGCTGACACTCATCCCAAGACTTCCTAGTGGATCGTAAAACCTCGGTGGGGTGTCTATCGACTGGAACGAGTAGCTGGGCAGCACAGGTTTTCACCTAGCTCCTAGCTTTTGTCAGCGTGATAAGGACGTCTGAAGGTGTCTGGAACACCATCCCATCTTGATATTACAATCTTGGCACTGCAAAAGCGACCAAGTCAAACAATGGCATCACAACCGCTCCTACCAGGAGGCCAGCACCACCTTCAGCCGTCGCACGCTTTACCAGCCTTCGTCCAGCCTTGCCTCCCACATAGGACCCACCCTGTTTACGGATTGTACCACTTTGATCAGTGCTCAGACCATGTGCCATCTATGACGAGGGCAAGCACTGCTGGTGCAGCTGGGATACGCGGTGCCTCGTCGTCCGTGCAAGAATCCTCGTCGAACGACCCCGAAGCCGCCCGCCAGAAGGTTCTCATCGAAGCTGTAGTCCACAATGACGTGGTAAAGATCAACGAAGTACTGGACGAGACAAGCGATCCCGCAAAGCTTGTCAACGATCTGTCGCCTGCAACGGGACTAGCCCCTTTACACTACGCCGCCGCACGTGGATACCTACACATCCTCCGACTCCTCATCGAAAAGTGCGCCGAAATCGATCGGGTGGACAGGGAAGGGGAAACACCCCTCTTCAAAGCTGCTTACTCCGGGCACATTGATGTGATTCAGACTCTGTTACGGAATGGGGCAAAGACTAGTCATACCGATACGGATGGGTGGTCTGCGCTGCACAACTGTGCCTCCGGAGGGCACTTACTGGCGGCCCGAGCTTTGATTGAAGCGGACGCGGATGTCAACGCAAAGTCGAAGACGGGCCATACACCTCTCATGAGTGCCGGCGCGAAAGGGCATCTGGATCTGGTTGAGCTGCTTCTCAATAATGGGGCGGATCCGCTTGTCAAGAACAGTTTTGGAGATTCAGCGTATGATCTCGCTGCGCAGGCCGAGGAGGCCTACATCTGCGATGTCCTCGAGAATGCTGAGCAGAATGCCCTGGCTCGTCTGTCGGACGGGAGAACAAGAGAGGGAAAAGGTCCCGAAGGAGCCATTGACCACAGCACGGTTGTCGAGACCATCTACGAAAACGAACGAGGAGCCTTCCTGACCCGCAAATTCTCGGCCGCCAACCTCGTTACCAACGATGCACGCACGCAATGGACCACACCCGCCGGAAAGTCTTGCGCTTTGGACGACGTCAACTTGCCTGAAGTCCGTGATCCTCGAACCGGACAGTCTGTAAGGGGCTGGTTCTGGTTGACGGATTGGCGGGTGGAGACGAAGCATTTCCAAGCCGATGGCGAGGGTTGGCAGTATGCAAAGACGTTCGATACACCTACGTCACAATGGGTTGCAGCTCCTGTGGGGATGCTCAATAGCTGGGTTAGAAGGCGGCGGTGGACACGGGTAAGGAAGAGGAGGGCGGACGTGACGCTTGAGGAGTCTGCTGGAGGGAGTTCAAGTGCGGCTTCGGCTTCGGGTGATTACGTCGCCAAAGCACGGAAGCTTGTAGATGACCTCCCTGCCATAGATGGCGAGGGAGATTTGGGTCATGTTCGTGCTGAGCTGGAAGCATATCATCTGGTAATACAGCAGTTGCTGGGCGGGATCAAAGGTGAGCAAGTAACATGCCGAAGGAATTGACGAAATCGTGTCGCATATCTGATACATATCCTTCTTATTTCATCAGCGGACTCGAACAAAGACCGTCAGCGGGAAGCCTCCGCGCTGGTGACAGGGTACATAGAACGCGCTGAAGAGTTGGATGCGTTGCTCGACGCCACCGGGAGTCCCGAGGAAGGGAGTGAGGGCAACCAGCATACAAATAGCGGTAGGTAATTCCAATGTAAATATTTCGTACAAAATCACATTTGGGGGGAAGGATCACCCCTTCCACAGGCGTTTCAAAGTTTATATTGAGGCATGTCTTCCGTTTTTTGGCTTTTGAAGGGCAGACGTCGTCCGACATTGATGCTTTGCTGCGGGCTGCCTCGGAAGGGCGGCAGCAGAATGGGACATCATCACGTACAGAGACTGCGTTGGTTAACGGAACTATGAATGCGACGGCAAGCGCAAGTGGAAGTGGATCCATGGACGGAATATCAACGTCAGTGCCGGCCGACGCTGTGAACGGGGTCCAGACGGCAGTGCCACTGTCAATGACTCCTATATCCGCGTGGCAGCCGGACGAGGATGCTCCTGAGTGTGGAGAATGCAAGAAGCGTTTCAATCTATGGCTTCGGCGGCATCACTGTCGGTATGTAGTCCGGATATCCGTCAGTCCCTTCTTTCCTCTGGGCAGTGACGCCGAGTAAACCAGACTGACCGATTGATGGTTATCTCAGGTGGTGCGGCAAAGTCTTCTGCGCCTCATGTTCTTCCGAAAGATTCATGCTATACCCCCACTCTCCACCCAGCCGAGTCTGCACTTCATGCTACAGGCATCTTTCCCAACGTAACGCCTCCCACAATGACCCGCCATCTCGCCCCTCCGTAACCTCCCCAACTCGTCGCAGCCCATCTACCCCCACAATCACAGCCCCACCAACATCCACCGCCATCCTAACCCAGCAAGAACGCGACGCCATCTCCCCCTCATCCCCAACCCGCTCAATAGACAGCGGCACCTCAAGCACAATGGCAGAATGCCCCGTTTGCCAACGTCCCTTAGAAAGCCTGCCAGAGGAAGAATCCGAACGACACGTCAAGGAATGCCTCGATCGCGTCGCCACACCCGCGGGAAGTGTTCCCAGTAGCGCGCCGGCTCCGAGCTCCTTTGGGGGCAGGAGTAGTGTGAGTGGGAATAGGTACCTTGTGCAGACGCTGAAGGAGGATATTGAGGGGAGGGAGTGTGCGATTTGTTTTGAGGAGTTTTTGGGTGGTGAGTGCTGGATTTGCTTTGATTTTCTTAAGAGAATGTGGCTTTGATGAACGTATCGCGGCTTGTAGGACAACGGATAGCACGGCTCAATTGCTTGTGCCTGTACCATGTGCATTGCATCGAAGCGTGGTATCAGCGCGGGACCAGAGCATGCCCCGTACATTATGAGTGAAGGACGAAAAAGAGAGTATCGCGTGCCCGCTCTCGCGATGGTTAAACATTGATGGAACATTTCTTTGCGTTCGCCGGCAACACCCTTCATCCACCCTCAAATACTTTAGCTTTGTTCGGGAAACCTGCGTCCTCGTATACCCTTCTTTTCACCCTCAGATAGCTTCTTTATGGAATATCTTCCTGTATCGTATTTTCACATCCTCTTCGATCTTTGTATATAGAGACTGGTCACCTCCCTCCCAAATAGCATGTATGATGTATATACCGAAGTACTGTACAGTGCCCTTGAAAGAGCATGGGGAAGGACAATCGAGATGACAACAAATGAGGCTTTTCGCACGGGTCTCCTTCGCCGCTCGTGCGACGGGTGGTGAAAGCCACACGGGAATGAAAGCCTCTCACAGCCTTGCGATCAATGCAGCGACCATAATTCGTGTTTGGATAAATACAGTATCTACGTACTGGGCGACATTCTTTGCGCCGAAGACGGCTCCATCACAATGCTTGTCAATTTGCACCCCAGCCATACATCCTACCCTCACGTCAATTTCAGACCAGCGTTGTCCATCAGCAGCTCAACCAACGGCTGCCAATCCGTGTCATTTCCATTATTGATGCTTTTGAAGAATGCTCCAGCAGCGGCTTCCAGCTGCCCCGTATTCAGAAAGCTAAAAGCAAGGAGATGTTGTGCTTCTCGTTTTGTCCTGTCGTTGCGGAGGGCTGGCGTGACGCATTCAATGACGGAGTGGTAGTCGCGGGTTTTGTAGTAGCCTCGTGCGGCATAGAGCCAGCCTAGGGCATCTGAACTCAATGGGACAAGGAAGATGTGTGAGACTGCGAAATCGGATGAAGGCAAGTACGATCGTGGGCGCTCACCTTTCGGACAGAAACCTATGCTCTGCGTCATTATTTCACGGACAGATTTGCGTTGGTCGGCCATTTTGGAAGGATGTAGACTGACACTGATCAGGCTGCGCTGAACGAATCTAACACCACGATCCCAGAGCCTCGTCGAGTATCGAAGTGTGCGATATGCATGTTCAGGACGCGTCAGTGTGCTTACGAGAGACAGGGTCAAGGGGAGGCCGTCGAGCCCAAAGCCTCCCTACAGGCATTCAGCGATAACGAAGCCAGACGCAATATTTGATAACGAACGACTGGCGTCGGCATTTGGAGAGCGCAGTGCAGAAAACAAAGAGGCCTTCGGGACGATATTTCGGGATAGCGTCAACTTCCTCGTGATCGGTGACTTCGTGCCGAGGGCTTTCACATGATGGAGGCCGTTGCATTTCCCACGCCGCCGGAGCCCACGGCGCCAGAAGCAGCTTCCAAAACGCTCGTCGAGAGCCCATCGGCAGCCGATACTTCGCCGAGTGATTACATGGGACCCACGGAGAATGGGAAGGACGAAGAAGATGGAAGCCCAACGGATGCGACGGAAGCGCAGAGCGGGATTTCTGTGGAGGGAGGGGACGGGATTGCCCAGGGAAAAGTAGCAGCAGAGGACCTCGTCAGCGTAAGCGACGGTGTCCCAGCGGTTACTCGGAAATCGCCTGCGCCTGCGGAACTGGGCACGCCCAGAAGCCCTGCAAAAGGTAGGTCGCCCTACTGGAGGGTTGAAAGCCGAAGGCCATTGTTGCCATTGTTGCTCACGTCTTTGCCTAATGGATAGATACGCAAAATGGAGTTACAGAGAAGGCCAAGGTTTCCACGTCCAAAGCTGTTTCGTCTACTGGTGGCCCAGTCTTCAAACCACGAACTACGAGTCTCCATCCCAGCATCAGTGCTACGCAGCCGTCGTCTCCAGTGAACCCAACGCCAGAAACGAATACGTGGAGTACATTTCTGAAGTCTCATGCCACGATGTTGGGGATATCATATCCGTTTGCTCAAGACGACGATGAGTCTGGAACTGTCTCCGGTCAGAATGGCACAGATCGCCCGTCTCGACACATCGTGCAGGGAGCACATCGGCCATCCCGACCTGATGCCCTCCTATCCAACTTGGATCCAGAATCCGCCGAGTTTCTTCTAGCCAGGTTGGACATCGAGAACCAAGCTCTTGCGCTGAACCCCAAAACCATATACGTGGAAGACGGAAACGTCCGCGGCTATCAACCAACGCTTTCCGCTCTAACAACAGAGCTAAACTCCTACTCAACAACAGCACCGGGCGACATGGACAAAGGGGACACGGAGTTCTGGAACTCCATCGTGGAGGGCTACGGCACAATCGTGCATAAAATCCCGCACCTGCTCACAGCGCGAATCCGCGGTGGAATCCCACCGCATCTCCGCGCAAAAATCTGGACTACCATGTCCGGAGCGCAAGTCGAGCACTTTGAATCACTGTATCCTCTCCTGCTCAAGGAGGAGAGCCCTTACGAGAGGATAATACGGCGGGATATCCCGAGGACGTATCCGAGGCTGGATATGTTCAAGGAAGATGGTGGAGAAGGGCAGGAAAAACTGTTTCGCTTGTTGAAGGGATATAGTATCTACGACAGCGAAGTGGGCTATTGTCAAGGGCTGAGTTTCGTGGTTGGGCCACTATTGTTGCAAAACGTGAGTGCACTCCACTGTCAGTAGCTATGTCTCTCATCTCTTCTGTATCACCGTCTGCGGAGCTTAACCCTGTTCCGCATCGATAGATGTCTGAAGTCGAGGCATTTGCAGTTCTCGTACGACTCATGGAGGACAAGAAACCAACCACGTCCAGATCACCACCAGACTCTCATCGAGTCTATGGCCTGCGCACGCTCTTCGAACCCGCCATGTCCGGTCTGCACAAAGTCCTTTTCCAGCACACCGAGCTCGTCCGCGAGCATCTCCCAAAGCTCCACGCGCATTTCCAAACCTGCGGCATCACGGCCGCAATGTACGCCTCCCAATGGTTCCTCACCCTCTACACCTACAATTTCCCTCTCTCATTCGTCTTCCGCATTTTCGACATCATCTTCGCCGAAGGAGCGATCGAAACAATGCTACGCTTCAGCATCGCGATATTGAAGAAGAACGAGCCGCTATTGCTGAAAGAGGAGGAGTTTGAGAATGTTTTGGATGTGTTGAAGGGCGACCGGTTGTTTGCGGCGTATAATAATGACGCCGAGGCGGTGGTGCAGGATATGCAGGATGTGCAGGATCTTGTGAGCGCAAGCATACTGGTGGAGCTGAGCAGCAGGTGAGAGATTCAATGAAAGCAAAACGTAGTTTGATGCAGTCTAACGATTTTGTGGAACTAGGTTCACAGCCGACCAAGACTCCCGCGCAAAAACAGTCACCGAAACCGAGCTCCTCGGCCTTCAAGCCCTGATCAAACAGCTCAGAGCCGACAACACCCGCCTCCACCAAAACGTGACGCAAACCCAGCAAGAAAAGGCAAAAATGCAATCGGATATGAGGGAGCTTCGCCGCAAACTCGAGGAAACCGACCGCGATCTTATGGAGAAGGATAATGAGTGCCGGCAGCTGAAAGGCCGGTTGGCGAAGCTGGTTTCTTCTTCCGGCGATCCGCAAACGTCTACGGGCACTGTAAATGACGGCGTGCTATGATAGCTCTAGCATAACATTTTTCTGGAATCTTCCTCAATGTATATACATTCCACCTTCGTTCGCGAATATATTACAAAACCTTGCGGTATGCCGAATATACGCCTGCCGAATTTGCTTAAGTCTACGCCGTTGTAACTGAGACCTCCAGAGAAACCGGCGGCCTCTTCTCCTGCGCCTGATACAAACTCCTCACAGACACGCATACCACATCCCCCTTCAGCTCCTCCCACGCCCTAAAATTAACGACATTCCTCCCAGGGATCGCCACAAACCCGTTCCTATCAAACCGACCCTCCTCATCCTCGATCTCCAGCCAAACGAACGGGGCCGGGTGGTCCACGGTGATGGATAGTTCCACCAGCCCGTTTCTGAGGGCTTTACACTCTGGGGCGCTGAACCGTAGGTTGGGGTTGGGGAGGGTGACGTGGGTGAAGGAGGTGGGGAAGTAGACTGCGGTTGTTGAGGTCTCGTAATGCGTCAGTGAGAAGTGAAGGAACCCGGAGTCGGCGGTGGAATTGGGTGCGATGGTTGTGATGAGATCCTCGACGTTTGCGTATGCGGCGACACGGGAACTGCTCTGCGGGTCTACTTTCACCGTCATCTCGATCCGGTGTATCTCATCCGCCGTCGTCGACATCCACGGCCGGAACTCCACCACCAACCGCCCCTCCACCCGCTCCAATAAATCATTCACCACCCAAACCTCAACCCTTCCGTTCTCCGCAGTATTCTCATAAACCGACACGAGCACCCTCTCGAAAAACTCCTTGGCAAAAAAATGCAGCATCTTCCACGTCCCCCCATATTCGATCCCCGCCCACGTGGGGGCTTGCCAGATATCGTTGCATTGCCAGTACAGGGCGCCCATGCAGTTGGCGGGGAGACTGGTGAGGCGGCGGTAGTGTTCTGTTTGGGCTTTCATGCAGATTGCCTTGGGAGGAGGTGGGTAGTATTAGTGAAGAGACATTCGAGAGTGAGGGGAGGGGGGAACGGTTACTTACTTGGACGCATTGGGAGAGGTAGCAGAAGTGGTCGAATTCGAGGACGGAGACGGAGGTGCCGGAGCCCGAGAAGGGGCGTTTGAAGTGGTAATCCATCTACAAAAGCCAAAATGTCAGCGCTTGCCCAACCTACCATGGGCGTCTATCACGGCTACATACCTGCAAGATAATCTCCTCCTGTCCCTTCGGATGATGATTTCTCAAAACCATCAAAGGCGACAACGGGTGCCAGTCGGCCTCGGTCGTCACTTTCCGAAATGTAGCGAACGACGGAAGGGCTTGAAATCCATACTCTGTGCGCATTACCAACGTCAGTGATCATTTCCTCGCGGCACAGCTTAGGACGACGCTACGCACCTGAAGCAAACCGCGGCTTCCGCATCCGACTCACATCGGTGCCGTCGTCCTTGTAATTGTAGTAATGGACGTCACCGAATGCGTCGGGGTTGCCGTTGTCGGCTAGGAAGCGTTCTGTGAAGGGGTCTTCTGAGATGATTCCGTTGTATGGAGAACTTTGTGCGGATGATCAATGTCAGATTGATGTGAAGGTTTGATGTATGCGACGGGTAGTGAGATACCTGGAGATGAATGGGCGTGTCGGGTCGATCTGCTTTACGGTCGGCATGATGGTTTCGTGGTACAGGCGGTGATAATCGATCTGTTCCCCAGCGTCCATTAGGACTGCTCCCATATAGTTGTCACGCGCTAAACCTACCGTATACACAAACTTGTTTTTCTTGATCGGTTCATACCACCCTGTAATCAGCGCCTCCTCATTCTCTGCGGCCAGCGTGAGTTATCACAATCAACTTAACGACAGAAAGTCAAGGAGGGACGTACCATTATTCCCACTCCAAAGTACAATACACGGATGCGCCATCAACCTCCTGACCTGATACCCCGCTTCCTCCCTCACATTCTCCAAAAACGCCTTATCAACCGGATACATTGCACAGGCAAACATAAACTCCTGCCAAACCATCAACCCCATCTCATCACAGATCTCATAAAACGCGTCCTGCTGGTAAATCCCCCCGCCCCACACTCGGACCATGTTCATGTTGGCTTCGACGCAGCTCTGGAGGAGGCGTCGGAGGAGGGTGGTTGTTACGCGGGATTCGAAGGCGTCGGCGGGGATCCAGTTTGTGCCTTTGGAGAATATGGGGATAGAGTTGATGCGGAAGTAGAAACTGAGGCCTTCTTGAGAGGGGTAGGGCTGTTGCACCAGCTCTACGGTTCTGAACCCGATCTTTTTGTGGACTTCGTCTTCGGTGTTGCCGTTTGAGGATTTGAGTGAGATGCGCAGGTCGTACAGTTTCTGGGCGCCGTACCCTGCTGGCCACCTGTCGCGACGTCGTTAATGGCGGAAGTGCACGAAACTCCCCAATCTTCTTCCAGGCAAAGTGTTACCAGAGAGTTACAGCGCTTGCCGGAACCTTGTAATGCAATTCGACAGTATCCGCGTCCCTAATAGCGCGACTGTTGGGTAAATGCTCGCATCCTCTCGCAAAACGAAGCCCATACTGAGTTTCCGCCACACGTTCGAGGTTCTCCAATCCATCGACATGCACATCCACGACAATCGTCGATCCGCTCAAGGCCGTCCGGTAATCCACCTTCACCTGGAGGCGAATTCAATATGCGCACTTCTTCCTTTCATGGTATGTACCGCCTACTTTGATGCCAAAGTCCTTTCCGGCCGGAAAAATGTCTACGGCCGCGTCGGTGATCCATAACGCGGTTTGATCGAGGTATACAAGTTTTGCGGACTTCCAGATTCCTTGATTGGAGGAGATAAGAGCTTTCGCGCATCATCTCGTAGTCAAACTGCACGATAGAATATACCACATGGCAGAAAGCACGGTCCCCAGTCCCACTAGCGAGTGATCGGAAGCGAAATGAGCACTAGAAATTCCTCTCTTCCCCACTGTGACCCAGAAACGTACGCCGAATGAACATTGCTCTTTCCGGACAAAGTTGCGATTTCTCTCTCCATTCTGAGTTGGGTCAAAGCCGTCCGGTACTGCAACGGTCATCAGATGAAGCATTCTGCATCACAATCGGCCCGACTTCGGGGATTCAAACCTTGGTAGGGGTACGCCTTTGCTGTTGTGGTCTGGGAACAAAGTCATGATGCCGGTGAGTCGAAGCAGAAGTGATTTGGTGTGCTTTTGCAAACATCGGACTGACAGCAGTTTTCGCAGCACTCGCAAAGGTCACCGATAAAGTATTGATGGCGCCCGCATCTTCGAGGATCAACCTCCGAATGTCAAATATGAACCTCCGAAATTGGTTCTCCGTTTTGCCAACTACTTTCCCATTCAGCGAGATGGTGGCGATGGTGTCAAGCCCATCGAAGACGAGATAAATATGTTGAGAAGAGAGGTTGCTGGGGAAGTCTGTGGAATATGTCCAGTCCTCCATGCCAATCCAGCGAAGCCTATCAAAGAAAAACGGTATGCCTCTGAACCTTTCAATGGCACCGTCAAAGTCGAAGGACACCCACGTTTGGTATGCATCTCGATGATATGGATCGCCCTGGATGTGCCCGCTTCGCATCAAATCCGTGTGGATTTCTCCTTGAAAGGGGTCGGAACAAAGCTCAACCTCAATAAGTGCCGTTTCCATGATAACCCATACCTGGCACGTTTGCTGGGATGTCAATCTTTCCGTCCGCATTCCGAACTCGCCATTTCCGAAGCGTGAGATCCAAAATCGGCGGCATTTTTGGAATCTAAAAAGCCTTCTGAGAGCTAGGTGAGAATGAAGTGATATTCAAAGGGACAACTCCCCAAGCTAATGGCTCCATCCGATGCGGGCGTGGACAAGAGCCCGAACTTGTTGAGCTTCTTGTCCGATTTGTGCAGACATGGAAGTGAAAGTGAATGAGAGAAGTTAGAACGCGTCGGTGACATCAGCGCCCATCCACTCCGGCTTCTCCCGGGCCCCGCCTCCTGGGAACTGGAAACGCTTTTACCGCCGGTTCTTGTCTGAGAACTTGAAACCGGTGGTTACCATCATCAAAAGATTTGTTGAAAGTTTGATTCCTTTTTGGATTCACATGGGGCCGGTTCGTGGGTGTGCTCAAATGTTGTGGGAGCAACAGGCAAGCGGCCTCGAGTTCCATTCCAGGCAAGGGTCCAACCGGCTTGACTAAGCTCCAATTGGCAATTACCCTCGCCAAGAGCAGCGACGAAATCGAAACTTCGAAGCAACCCAGTGGTGAAAAGTTACCTAGAACGGGTACTTACTGTACATTCTCTGAGAGGGAACACACAAGTCGATCTCGCCAAGAAAAGCCCCGCCGACGCGAACTCACATTCCTATCCGGTTCGCCGTGGGAAATCCTCTTGCCTGCACCACCATGCTTTCCGGTGAAGTCACCTCGGTTTACAACAATATGTCAGAAGCAGCTGCTGCCGCAGAGTCCGACACGCTGCTTTCCACCTTCCAGGGGTTGGTAAATGGAACAAAGCTACCTTCAGCGGCGCCCGCGAAAAGCACCGCGGCAGTGTTGAAGTCCATTGCGACCTTCAAGTACACAATCGATCACGACAAGCTTACCGTAAGTTGCATGTCTTCCCTTCCAAGTAGCATATTGATCCCCCCCTCATACTCCTCTATGCACTCAGGCAGGGGTCTCGGCCGTAGTTGTGCGCATTTCTTCCCAACCTGGAATGTGAAGGAGGATGTTGTCTTGAAGCAGTTTACAGCTGGCATCACGAACAAATTGTTTCGCGCCACTCACAAGCCTTCAGGGCACGCAGTACTGGTGCGGACGTACGGAAAAGGGTCCGATATCCTCATAGATCGGAACCAGGAGTTGGTGGTATGTGCGAGGAAGAGTGTCTAGAAACCCGGCCTTGAGAAGACATCAGTTCTGATGGCGTGATCTTTCCCTACATCAGAACATGCAAGCATTATCGAAACTGGGTTTATGTCCTCCACTATACGGGAGATTCGATAACGGCCTAGTGTATGGGTTCATAGCTGGAACTCCCTTTTCTGGCGAAGGTATGACGACAGTACAGTGGAATATCACTCTTGGACACCTCTGACGACGCTTCCAACATGCTGGGTCTTCTTATAGACATGAGTGATGCGCACAAGTCCATACTCGTGGCCAAACGGTTAGCAGAATGGCATGGCGTAGCTCTCCCAGGGTCCACACTCGAACCACAGCTGTTTCCCACCATGTTCCGCTGGCTGGTCCAAGGTATTGTCCAGTCAACCTTTGAACCGATCGTGGCGACGTTGGAAACTGACATGTCTTGCCGCGCAGTTCCAAAATCGTACACCAATAAGGCGGCAGACGCCAAGTTCAGAGCCAATCTGAGTGTAGATAAGTTGAGGCAGAGATTGCTAGACTTGCAGAGTGCCCTTCAGGCCCTGGGTAGTCCGGTTACTTTTTGTCACAATGACTTGCTTTCTGGCAACATCGTCTATAGCGAAGCTAAGGGTACGCGGTTTTTAACGAGTGGCGTACCGTATTGGCGTTGACCTGGTGTGACTTGGTTTTGTAGATACCGTCTCCTTCATCGATTACGAATACGGCTCGATATCGTACAGAGGCTTCGACATCGGGAACCATTTCTGCGAGTATGCAGGTAGGCAGCCCATCACGCGGCTCTACCAGAATCACTGCTCCGATCTCACCACCCAACTTCGCGCACAACAATAGGTTTCGATTGCAAATGGGAGCTCTACCCGACGAAACCCGCTCAACTCCCCTGGCTCCGAACATACCTTGAATCCTACACAAAGCGTGCCGTCATGGACGCTGAGGTTGAGAATCTCTACAAGGAAGTCACCAAGTTCTCGCTGGCGGCTCACTTCTTTTGGGCGATGTACGTAAATCTGCGTTTCCTTCTACTCCCTACGCTTCGGCGTTTCTAACGACCTTTTCTTTTATAGTTGGGCCCTCGTCCAAGCAGAAATCAGCGACCTCGACTTCGACTACCTAGACTACGCCATCACGCGTCTCAACTACATGGAATCGGTGTGGGACGAATATCTCGCTCTATGAGCGACACAGCTTGTGGCTGCCGTCCCTATCTCGCATTAATCCTTATTTTACGGACCCTTTTTTTTTGGACACTCTCAGTCTGGATACATCCAGCCTTTCTATCTATCGTGTAGTCCCCCAATCATATAGACGCGCATCCATATACATATAGAACTTCTTCCTGAATCACTTAAAATTTCGAAACTCGAACATCCATCAAGACGACGAATGGCTGCCCCGCTCTGGAATGGCGCTTGAACTTTTTGTTTGTTGATCCATGGCTGCTGCCCCTAAATCACTGCATCCAGAGGGGCATTACTTGGGCATCGGAGCGTTGCACCCCGGTTCACCGCGCTAGCCCAGACCTTCTTCCGGCGAAACCCCCTTATGAAAAACGAGCAGAGGCTCGTGAACGGAGCGATGTGTATAGTAAGTACCATATCCTAGGTTCGAAGCGACATTTCCGGCGGTCCTGCCAACAATGTTTGACCATCGGCTCTATCAGAGGTGGGTGGGTGTTCTCAAGTCCTAATGAAACCGCCATAAAGAATCCATGTCCAAGTAGGACGGCGTTTCGACGCTAGCCATGCTATGATATTATCGACTAGAAATTACCAGAGTCATCTGAGTATGGAAAAAGTATGGTCACTCTGAAAATGCTGACCAACGTTCGCCCATTGCCTGCTGACATGCTAAGGTTGGGGCGGTGTCTTTCGGGCGGTGTGACATTTTTTCGGGGTCCAGGCGACTCGCTGTCGAACCCTGTCAACGGAAAAAGGGCGGCTTTTTGTTTGTCTTTGCTACATAAGCAAACGCGTGCTTATGTGATGGCAAACTCCGCATAGGTGATGCAACTGACACTTTTTCAAAACCCCCCATTCCCGATCCCCTTCTGCGAGCAACATCGAGATGCACTCAACTTGCACATTCTACCGTTTGGAGTTTGTCCAGTAGCTTTCGTGGTTCTTCTCATCTACTTTGGAGATATACTTCAGTCGCTTCGATCTCTTCGTTGGCTGTTACCTGATCCAGTTCAAGTCCGCAAGTGGTGTGACAACGGTATGGAAAGGAAGTTCATGGTCGGCAGAAACCTGTCCATCCGGGCCAGAAATACGGGCGGGTGCAATCCTCCCTCTTGGCTCGTCCTGTTCCTGATATTTTCTCTCTTAGCCCCTCACAACTTCCAGAGCACCCCTCTACTTCGGAACACCAAGAATCTCACACAAACCGGTGAGCCCGACCGAGCCTTCCGCATCGACCCACGCTTTCAACGGCACCCCCAACCCCAAACGAGAAAACATGATTTCCGGGCCAGTTCAACTCGCCGGTTTCGACACGGAGGATGCTTTCACCTACACCACGGACGACTTCCCACTCCAGCCTCTGCAGCCTTCACCCATCGCTCCGTCTCGTTCAGCGGCGCCCGCGGCCGAGGGCGAGCACAGACGCCAGTTTCATCACCCCTACAAGCGGCCTCGTCAGACCGCGACCGCTACCGTCGCTGCTTCCCCCAACGTCAACGTCGCTGCTCCAGGCACGCAGCCGCTAACAAGCCTGCAGCGCAAGGCCCGCCGCCCACGTCAGCCCGTCAGTCATCGGAAGCCGGCACAGGCTACGGAGGGCGAGACGGAGATTGCGGCGAAGCGGTTGAAGAACTTGGAGGCGGTTATCAGGGAGCATCTGGGAACTGGCAAGTTCTTCTTAGTTGGTGAGTCTCTTCGTCGTCGCCCCATTTCTTTCTCATCGTCGGTTACGGTTTGTTAAATGTAGACTTTTTTGTCGTAGCTGCTGCGTTGAGACAGATTGATGAGGAGAAGCTTTATGGTGAGTTCATGGCTCGTAGTTATGTCTCCATCGGCATACGTGGACTCATTTCGATGCATTGTTTGTGTTCAGGGCCCGTTTTCAAAACCATTTACACATACGCAAAAGAAAACTTCTCATTCAGCCGTCGCACCACCAACACCTATCTGTGCTCTGCGTATGTTCACCTTCACCTGTCCAACACTCAGACGGCGAGTCATAGTGCTCATCTTCCGTCTGCTTCCAATTCACAGGAGTGTCTACGAATCGTTGGTCGAGGATCCGAACCTGCCCGTGCCGGTGAACATCTCCCACATTCGGTCTTTGCACAAGTTCCCGGCCGATGTGAGGCGGTTCATCTGGAAACGGGTGTGCGAATCGGGGCATACTATTACCGAGGAGCACGTTGTTGCCATGACTGTCAAATATGGTACGTCTCAGGAAATCCGGTCATCGAGGGTCTTATCTACGTATCAACGCCATGAGCGATTCTCATTCGATTGCTCTCAGAAACCGGAATCTCGTTCTCGGACCTCAACAATGAACTGTACACCCCAAAAGACATTATAACGGCAGCCAAGCAAGTGATCAACAAGGTGGTCTTCGACCTGGACCCCGCGTCCTGCGAGTTCGCCAATGACAAGATCCACGAGCACAAGATCGCTCGGCAGTTCTTTGACGAAAACGCCGACGGCCTCCTCCAACCATGGACCGGCGATGTCTGGTTGTCGCCGCCCGTCGGGCACGACACCGACGGGACCAGTCAGCAAAGTCGCTGGTTCTGCGCGGCGGAGCAGAAGTATCGCTTGGGAGAGATTTCGTCGGCGATGGTGCTGCTGAAGGTGGATTTTGGGACCGCGTGGTTTCAGAAGGTGCTGCAGTACCCGCACTGCTTCTTTTTCAACAAGCTTTGCTTCTCAACACCTACTGGACGGGAGAAGTGTGTACAGGATGAAAGCCACGTACTTGTCTACCTGTAAGTTACGAGGGACTACCCCAACGGATGGTGACATTCACACAAACTGACGTCGCACTTTTTCTCATAGGGGACCAAATGCCGACCTCTTTTGCACTCAATTCCTCGACTTCGGCAACATTCCCGGATGGAATTCTTGGCCATTTAAAGGCAAAGACACCAAAGACAACATCTTGCGCGATCTGCTCGTCGATGAGCCAGCCACCGAAGCTCCAAGTGCCCCATGTACACCAGAAATCCCCACAGCCTCCTTCCTCGGTTCACAAACATCGGCATCGCCCGTCGACGAGCTCACACGGCTGATGAACGTGGGACCCGAAGGCGTATGCGAGTCTTCCGAAAGCGATTCCGACCAGCAATTCAACGGCTTCCTCCAGAACTTTGTAAACAACCAGTTTGCCATGACAGGCGCCGACGGTCACCTCGCTGTGCACGACCACCATTCCATGGCACATGAAGTCACGGGGGTCACCACGCAGCAATCTGCCGCTAATGCGGCTGCTTTCGCGGGTCTGCAAATGGGCTTGGGGTTTGGAGACCCACAAACAAACAAATACCATAATATGTCATACGAGCTGGATATGGGGATGGGTCTGATATCAAGCCGCCACGCAGGCGATCTCGTCTATCCATCGACTACGCACCACGACGATCAGCACTCGACACATGCCCATCCGGACGAGCTTCTGTTCAGTGTGCCCCACGACTTTCACAATGCGACCAACAGCAACCGTCATTCAGATGATCTTGTTTTCGCAAACCACAATACGGATGCATCACATGCGGCGCTGGCTAACGCTTTCGCAAGCAGCCTTGTGGCAACACTTTGACGATAGAGGACACTCAATTTTGGACGGAACGGGAGGGACAATCGTGATGAAAGCTCCCTGGGGTGGACTACGAGCGTACATTTGTAGATGGGGGATACCTTTACGTAGAACATAATCATGAACCGCAACCAGTTTTGGAGAAACTCGGACGAGGGTTTCAACTTTAATTGTCCTACATTGTATATTACTTGACTTCGCATGAAAACACAAGAAACCTCACCGAAATCCGTGCTTGCCAAACATATGTGCTTTTCCTGCTTCCTTTGTGTGTGGATCGTTTTCCCTTCCTCAAGAGATGTCGCGTCCGAGAAAGCGCATGCGCAGCCTTCGCGCGTGCATCCTGGTTTGCCCTGTTTGCCCTTCGAAAAAAGCCTCGTTTGCGACATTGACGCCATCCTTACATTTCTGTGGTCTTTGCCTCGACGATCTTCACTCCACCATGTTCGTCAAAGGGCTCTCACTATGCGGCAGCGAGGCCATCGCCTGCTTCGGGCGGTTACCCGTCAACAGCGGCACGGCGAGCATTTGCGGTTTCCGTGTGCGAACAAAGTACACACGAGCAGCGAAACCTAGCACCTCCTCCTCTCCTGGGGCTCGTAGGCAGGTATCGGTGGATACATCACGGCAACTGCGGCCGGAACTCAAAAAACCAACTTCCATGTCAAAGTCGACCGCATTGCGGCTCACGAAAGCAGTGGGAATCGGCAGCAGTGGTGGGACGAAAGGTCGTTCAAATTCCAAAGCCCAACCAACCTCTAGCAGCACCAGCACCACTCCCTCCGACCTTGCGGAACCCACGCTAAATTCAAAATATCTACCGGTGTCCTTTGAAGAGCATCTCACACGACTGGACGCGTTCTTGGAGAACCGGCTGGGAATTCGGAGGAACGTCGCTCGGCTGAAGATTTTGAACGGGGAGGTATCGGTACAGGGCAGCACGCATGCACGGTTCGTCGATATCAAACCTCAGGGGATCGTGCATGCAGGGGATGTAGTGGTTGTTGTTATGGGCAGAAAAAAGAAAGCACCCGAGGATATGACCGCGGAGGAAAAGCAGAGCGTTGAGGATGCGATAGAGGTGGGCGAGCATGTGGGTGTATCAGCTGGTGTAGGCGTGGCTGAATGAAGATTGGTTTTACCGTCAGGCCGAGATTCAGAAACTGAGAGCATGGTGAGTACTCTAGCATCCTGTGACGGCATCGGGACGAGTGCTTTGGATCCTGATGCCCACGCAGCGTGCTTTACAGAGACAACGATGTCCTGCTGATCAACAAGCCAGCTGGCCTGGCCGTACAAGGCGGATCGAAAACCTCAATGCATATAGAGAAGCTTCTGGGCGGTACGTTCCGCAGCTCGCCGCGAGAGATTGTGCCGTTTTCATGTGGCTCACCACTGCGTTCCACAGGCCTCCAATTTGACGCCGCTGAACCACCTCGCTTGGTCCACCGTCTCGACAGGGATACCACCGGCGTCCTCCTCCTTGCCCGAACACGGGAGTGCGCCGCGAGGATAAGCAAGTTGTTCAGAGACCGTCATGAGAGTGTGACCAAGTTCTATCAAGCCGTAGTGGTCCTTCCTGTCCCAAAGGATGAATATGGGGATGTGCGACAGGCTGGGTGGGACAGCGGGAAGTCGCCGATACCAGAGGAGGGCCGAATCACCACGGGTATTGCGAGTGTAGGGAAGAACGGGCAGGAGAGGATGACTATCGTGGAGTGGTGTACGTTTGGTCGTGTTCATCGGGAAGGAAGCACAAAACGTTGAATCTTATACATTTGAATCTTATAGACAAGCAAGACGAAGAGCAAGATGACCCTGAGATCAAGAAGGCCGTCACCGACTACAGAGTGCTTGTTTCGGGGAAGAAAGTAGGTCCAGCCATCCATTCCACTTTAGTCTAAGAAGATCATTAGTCTCATGCATAATTATGTAGGCATCGCTCCTTGAGCTCAGGCCTCTCACGGGACGGAAACATCAACTGCGTGTGCACTGTGCTGAGCATCTTAATGGTAAGCTCTCTCGCGGCCACCGCTAATGGGCCCTGCGTGGTTGGTGGCTCATCTGCGTTCTCCTCAGCGCCCGTTCTCGGGGACCCGAAGTATGGCAAAGGTGCTATACACCGGTTACAGGTAGAAACTGGACTCACACGATCTATGATGTTCTGGAACATCCCGCCTGTCTTGTGAGCTGACAGGCGCATTCGTCCCACAGGGCGATTGGGTTCAACGCAAGCATGTCCCGCTGCATTTACACATGCATACCATAGTGTTGAAGGCAAGTGCTCGGTTCTTTCAACAGGTGCCCTTTTGACGGGTCTCATCGTCGTGTCGAGTACTCAACGTCTTGATTATGATTACAGGACTGGTATGGACCACATGCGGACTTAAAAGTGACGGCGCCTTTGCCTCCGTACATGCAAAACAGCATACAGCAATTGGGACTGCGGCAATCGAAGCCGTGAGCATGGTGAGATGAACGGCTCGTGTTTGTCTGCGTGGGTTTCCGAGTTCTATCTTTTTGGGGTGGGGATTGTGAAGGGGCTGCACAAGAGGAAATGGGACTACCGCGGGAAGTGTATGTATCTGTGTATGTAGCTGGCGTAGTGCAACCACCTCGCATCCTTGTGGTGTGTCCACACAATCGTAGTTTGGCGTACTTTTTTGTTCGATATCACTTCTTCGTGATGAAATATGAGATGGACAACGACAACTCAGTTCGCGGAATATAGTCACCAGGGCAGCAATACATAGCAAGATCACTGATGGGCTTGGAATGGGCTGAACCATTGGAAGACCGACATCAGATTTTAGAGAGTCGAGATGCGCAAACTGACGGCACCACGCGCTGTCAAGTTCGTGTTCAGGTGGCTTAAGGCGGCGCACAGCTGACTCCGACGGGGAGCAATGATACAAACAAAAGCCACGCACCCCTTCCATGGTTTGCTGTTTGGAAGCCCGATTATGGAGGTTAGCGCAACCAAAGTCCCACAGTAACACCCGAACCTTCATCCCTCCACCTGCTCACGGTCACTACGCAACCTTTCCAGCCTGGCTTTCTGACATTCGCCTAACCAACGAGAAATATGTCGCTCGCCAGCACACCACGCTCGTCCTCAAGTTTCGCCCACGACAAGCAGGAAGATGAATCTGCACTCATCGCCGAGCGCCTCTTCGAAAAAGCCGACGCGCCACGCAAACCGGCGGAAGGACGGGCAGAGGAAGTTGCAGCCTCGTCCAAGACAACCAACAGCGACTCGATGGAACGGCGGATGCGCATGGCGCGGGTGATGGACAAGCAGCAAAAGCGGATATCGGCGCACATCCAGCAGTTCTGTAAGCTGTCCGTCTCGATCATCGGCACGGATATCGTTTTCGATGTCACGATTAGCCGCACAGAGAAGGTGGAGGGGCTTGCGAGATTGATTGAAGCGGAATATGCGTATAAGTGCTTTTATAAGGGCGCTGGCCAGACGTCGCTGGAGATGGGAGGTGAGGCGGTGCCGTTGCAGATTGGCCAGATGTATAATGCCGGACGGTTGGCGCTGAGGTTCAATGATTTGGTTGGGGATGTACTTGGGTATACGGATCGGGTATCGGTTATCAATGCCTTCGAAGGTTCGCCATAGTTTTGCTTCTCACACCCTTGGGTGAACAGCTTCTCTAAAATCTCATTGGCAAATTAGGGCCGAGCTTGCAGCGCAGTCTTGTACCGCCGGAGGACGACCCCTCGACTGGAACCAATGATATGGTGGAGATATCCTCGCTGACAAAACCGCACTCTCACAGCGAGGATAGCGAAGGCCTCGCCGCTGGCGTCTACCGGCGCGCTACCAGCAGCTCATCGCGCGACCGGGACGCACCGTCCAACGACACCCTAAGCCGCAACCCGAGCGCCTCGCTCGACAACCGCCTGCAACCGTACCTGCGCAACGAAATGGCGTTGCGATACTTTGCAGAGTTCTGTTTCGAGGAATACACGCTTGAGATTTTGCTTTTCTGGATCGACGCGGAGGTGTACCAGGCGTGCGGGGAGGCGCAGCGACGAGGGTTCGCGAAGTATATGTATCTCAATTATGTGGAACGGACGTCGCCGCTGCAGGTTAACTTGACGCCGGATCTGTGCCGGGAGTTGGAGCAGTTGATCAAATCGGGAAAGCTGGATTCTACGACGTTTGATGAGGCGCAGGAGCAGGCGTACGCGATGATCAAGAATCATTCTTTCGTGAAGTTTGAGGGTAGTAAATTACACAGCGAATGCCTTCAGGCGAAGAAAGCAGGTAGGGACGGAGCCACACCATCACATATCATTCTCGAACGGATTGCTGATGAGTCGGTCTTTCTCAGACAACGCTGCCTACCAAAAAGGCCGCCTCACCGAGCCCTTCATACGGCACTTCGCAACCAGCCCGATCGAAGCGCAAGCAATGCTCCCCCTCCTCGAGCGCATGGTGACACCTACCGAAAACGACCGGAAATTGTCGTCCACTTCCCAAAACACCAACATCGGGTTCCGGGAAAACATGCTCGACCGTGTCATCGCGCGCTACCTCCCATATTTCGACCGGTCGATAGAGGGCTATTTCAGTGAAGGGAACCGCAACCGCTGGAGCAGCAAGCAGGCGCGCATGCACAAAGAGAAGAAACTCGCAAAGTTTTTCGGGGAACGTCCGTCGGTTGATCTCGTCCAGCAGCAGATCGCGCTGGCGTCCGCGAATTACCTGCGCGAGGCCATGAAAGGGTTTCCGAACGAGTCGCCGCATGATTTGTTTGGCGCGGCGCAGAGCCCGAACGAGGAGGAGATTACTTATGTGGATTTCCAGCGGCAGATGATACGGAGACGGAAGAAGGAGAAATTGGAGGAGTTCTTTGGGAATCGGTTGCCTGACCGGCAGAAACGGAATCAGAGGTTGATGGTCAGCGGGAAAGCGTTTGGGTCGGGTGACCTGAGTCTAGGTACGAGTTCCGATGACGACAGTAGCGAGGGCGGCAGCTATGAGACACTTCCGCCCGGACCCACCGAGAACGAACTCGACCCGGAAGAGAGGAGGATCCTGCAAAAGCGGACGAAAAAGATCTCGAGGATGCTGGGAGAAGCTATGAACGAGCAGACGATTTCGCAGCGGGTCACGCATGCTGCCAAGTTGCAGTCTTTCAACAGCCAACAGGAGATCCCGCAACTGCCACCCATCACAACGTCCTCATTTTCCTTGGGCGATCCGTATTGGCAACAACCCGCCGATGCGCAGGATTCCGACTCGAAATTTATGCACAAGAAGAGATTGGACAAGATCTCGCAGTTGATGGGCGAACGCATCGGAGTCAGCGATCTGGAAGAAGCGCAGAATCAGGCCAGTGGGGCACCGTCGCTGGCAGGGCCTGGGCCTAATCGTCCGCTGACATCGGAAGAAAAGCGGCAGTTTCAATGGAAGGCGTCGAAGCTGGAACGGGTTCTCGGGCAATTGCCGCCGGTGGAAGCGCTGATGCGGTCGTTACCCGCTGAGCAAAAGACCGAAGTCGCTACATTGCATCGTGGGTTGGTTGGGTTATCATTTTTGGTGAGAAATGCAAATGCCCTCGAGTTGTTGGATACGTTATCGGAGATCACGCAGGGAGGGGCTGATGCGCCGCCGGGGGAGCTTTCGTTCACGGGGTCGTCTGATACGACACCAGATGGGTCCAAGGATCCGAGGAAACGACAGGGACAGGAAAAGCTGAAGAAGCTGCGGAGATTTTTGTAAGTCTGTTTTCTCTTGAATGGCAAAATCCATAGATGCTCACATCCTTCGTCCAGCGGCGACAACGTAACGGTAGAAAAGATCCTGGAGACTCAAATCCTTGCAGATGTCGAACGATCGTTACAGGACTTGCAGACGAGTCCCCACGAGCGAAACCTTTTGCGCGCGGAGGTCGACAGTATACGCTCCGAGCTTCGACGACGGAGCGACGAGTTCAGTGGGGAACTGCAGTGAGACTTGAAACAAATGTACATATACCTGACTGCATGACAGCGAGAACGTGTAAAATATACTCCTTTTTGGAATGGGGTCTGGGGATAGAGACTTCCGTGGACAAAACATTGAGCAATCTCCGGTTGGCCATGGGTGATGTGCCGCGCTTGATGCCAGATTGCACAAGGATCTGCTAGGCTCGAGGCTGCTGGGAGACACAAGCTCAAATTTCACATGAAGGAACCTTTCATCTTGCATTCATTTCCACAAGGTATATAGGCGCGACGACGACGTTGCAAAAGCAGCCAATGAAAAGCGTTCCAATTAGGTGTCTTTCCCATGAAACCACACTTCTACCACTCGTCTCCACCCATATCATCATCATCCCCCATCTCCCCATCCACGATTTCCTTCGCCAGCTTCCGCTCCTCCTCGCGCAATGCGGTGGCGTTAGCGAGCTCTTTGCGGTGAGCATCTTGTGGGAAGCGTAGTGCCTGATGTCACAGAAGGGGGTTAGATGACGACGTGTAAACACAGTGGCAGCGGGACACACCTTGACACTCTCGTTATGCAGGTTCAAGCAGAAGGTGATTCTTTGATTGAAGGCGTGCTGCGGCTCGTTCGTTGAGTAGATGTCAACGTTTTCCTGTGATGGTTGCAAGTTTCAGTGTTGGGGAGCTCCTCTCCGCGTATGCAAGCTGGGTTGGTAATACCTTAGATTTGACGTAGCCTTCTTCGTGGTTGATGGAAGCGTCGATGACGCCGTCTCTTATTGCCTGAGACCGCCCAATGGTAAGCTAAAGTAGCGCATTGCTGGAAAGAGACTTTTACAAACCTTCGCGACGATGTATTCCGCATCCTCCTCACTGTCCAGCTGCAGCTTCAAGCAGATATCCCTCAAAGAAATGCGGGAGTAGGACAGGCTGATCATCCTGACACCGGTTTTGATGACGTTATGGCGAAGACTGAAGGGCAATGTGAGAACGGTGGGCTAGGCAAAAACATTACGTCTACAACATACCGAAGGATCAAAGTGAGGGTCTTGTCAGTCCTGAAGGTGGCATTGTGCTGTCCGAGGGTTTCTTGGAACTTGGCAAGGTCTCCAATTCGCACAGCTGACGGTAGAAGGCGTTGTTTAGTGGCCGCAACATTTTCGAGAAGACACCCGCCTCGCAATCAGCAATGCATACCTTGCGTAATCTGCAAGTACGGAACCAACGACTTCCGTAACATGGGCTGACGGAAGATCGCCCGATCAGGGATCTCCCCCATCAAAAGTTGCACGATGATCGCAAGTTTATTGACCTAGAGTAGAGGGCGTAAGGAAAGCGACGGTCGGATAATGGTGCTCACAACGTTAGACTTACAGCTTGCTGGAAACCCGCGCTCGCCGGGCTCGTGGGACCCTTTCGGATTGCCTGCAGCAAATGCCGGTGCGATGCGGTATAGTCCAGCTGAATTGCCTTAATGCGACCTGAATGGAAGAACGTCAAGAGTTGCGACGTGACTCTCGCGCGTCAGAAGGTGGGACCCTACCGAGGTAGTACATGTAGCGGGCGATTTGGTTGTTGGAAGCACCCTCCGGGAAGACCGTCTTCGAGACAAGCTTGTCTGCTTGGTCGTATAGGTTGAAATGCAAGTAGTTTCGAAGCAACAAGTTCAAAATGGTCGCCTAGATACCATCGTCATCAGTTATGTGCGTGTCAGGAGACTCTGCGTCTAATGCGACGTACCTGCGTGTCGTCGTCATGCCTGAGGGTGGCGGTACGCTGCACAGCCAAGAGAACCCTACAGGATGATGTTCGTCAGCAGTGACCCATCACCCAACTATTATTCGTACAACTTACGGGCGAGCGCTGGCCATTGTGTTCGAAAGCTCATGGAACCTTGCCAGATAGAAGTACAGACGTCCGGAAAGCTGGTCCAGAGTGCGACGGTTCAGCGCTTGAGCGTGCTCTACGAGGGTGCTCACCAATTGCATCCCCTACGTTGAATCGGTGAGCTCCGGCATGTAAGCGGTCCCATTAAGGAGAAGGGAATCTAACCTTCTCGTTTTGGTGCTGGTCATGCAACCAGAGCAAAACTAGGTAGTTCAGGTAAATCTCATGTTCGGGAAGGAAAGTCTTGCTCTCTTTGCCATCAGTCGCAGGTTGATCCACGTCCATAGCATCGGAACTCTGCAAAGTGAGAACAATAAATCCGCTGAACCCGACGGGTAGCTGAAATCGTAGGCCAAACGTACCTTCCCGACCCACTTAAGGAGCCCACCCTTCTTTTCTTGTGGAACATGAGTTTCAATAGCTTGAGCCAGTAGGTCCTGATTCAATCGCTTCCTGATTGACGCGGTGGCTCGCAATGCGCGGGTTGTGAACCGACTTTCAAGGGTGGCTACGGCACGATCGAGCAAAGCCAGATTCTGCTTGATGTCTGCAGTCGAGCCCATTCAGCTTCGCTAGTTCCAGTCGAAAGCCGCATCACCCCAGCAGTGTATGCCACTTCGGCTATGTCGTCAACTCGCTCGGGGTCGACTTCCTCACCTGCTAGAACCAGGGCATTACTCTCAGCCTTCTTCTCTTCTTCGCTTTTCTCCGTCTCCATCGGCACCACGTCGCCCGACTTCTCGGGAGCAGCACCCTTCTGCTGCTCCTCAGCCTTCTTTGCCTTGGAAGCGCGTGTTTCCACCATTGCAATACAAAGCTCTGCTATAAAAGACGCGAGATGGGCTGCAGAACGATGTCTGATCTTCTGTCGTCCTTCCGTCACTTGACGCTTCTGAAGGTTCTCGATCAGCGATATGAGTCTTCGAGAAGTCGTTACGGAACTGAACCTTGACGAGTGCAGTTCGGGCCTCTAAGCGACTCGGTATGTGTATATATGTGAGGCAGATGCTGTTCCCACCGAGTTGCGTTGTGGGAGTTTTGTTGAAGTTGAGGGTTAGACTCGTCAGACTTGGGAATTTCGACTTGAGTGCTTCCCCCTTGACGAGAGACGAGCCTTGACGCGTTTGCCTGTCTGGGATTCAACCAAGCATAAACCGGGAGGGATCCCAGAACTGGCAGACAAGAAGTCTATGGATGAGTGCCACCTACACAAGCAGTGCCCATCCCCCTATTCCATATCTGCGGAGTCATGGGATGTTCATGTATCGCATGTATCAACGAATGCTGTTCCTTTTGAAGACCTTCCGTAAATGGGTTGGAAAGTCACTCGTTGCTGATGTGATGCTGTCCACATCGACCACTGTTCATAATCGATGAATTTTTCCTGTAGCAAAAATGTGCTCGGATTCATCATACGGCCCTACTGCAGACCTCCATCATCGTTCATTCGAAGCTGCGTCGCTTCAACATCTGTCTCTATGATTAACTTATCGCACTAAATAGTTCCAACATCCGCGATATACAAAAGGCAGGTGTTGAAGCGAGTTGTTCGCTCATCCCATATCGCCTCCCTGCGCAAGACCAATCGATCCACATCTCAGCTTCAATCCACCCATGAAAATGTCATATGAACGTCGAGTCTCGGATCTCCCTCCGCCCGTTCCAACCCCCCTCCATCTGTTGCCTTCGCTTATCATCTACATATCTTTCAATCCCTTGCTCTCCTTTGCCTTCTCATACCGATCTGGCTCAAATCCGGCCGCCTTCTGCGTGTGCAGTACACCTTCCTCATCAACATATCTAGCGGCGGGCTTCACAATCTCGCCCAGGGTGAAGAACTTGCGTCTGCTGAGCTTATTGCACGAATCTATCCGGACAACGTCGCCAACGACACATGTGGATTCTTCGTCGTGCGCTAGGAAGTTTTTGTGAATTACGACAGGCTGGAGTGTGGGAAGGGGAACAAAGAGAGGGTGAACGTTTATCAGCTCCTGGTATTGCGCCAAAGACAACAATATTGACAAGGCTTGCCTCCGCCAGTGGCGCAACTTTGGGGATTCATACAAATTCGCACCGAAGTTGATTTTCTGCCTCGGCCAACTCTTACCTTCTGCACCACAGGATGTATCCTCGTCTTGGCTACTCTGACCTTGATCGTCTTTTGCATTTTTGTGCCAATGACCTCCCCAATAAAGGACTGCCGTGGTGGTTTGACGAGAGCGTCGAAAAGGACTGCTGTTGGTCGAAAGATCATAGTTGACGAAGGATTCCGGGGAAAAAACGTGCCGGGTTTGCGTTGAAATGTGTATGCTATCGGTCTTGGACACTGGGGCGACTGAGAGTGCGGATGTGCGGATGTGCAGAGCGGTATTGTTTGGGCGATGAATACGTAGCGGGTGGTGTGAACTGGGTGTGACTGTTGCCTGTGCCGGTGAGAAAAGGCCGACGAAGGAAACTTGCAAGCCACGTCTATATACGCGAGCTTCGCCATGTTCCGCATGTCCTCCCTCACAAAAGTGCCTTTGCTGCCATCGACATTGCACATTCCACTGGGTGTGCTACATGTAGAGCAGCGCCACATACTCGCTCACTGGGACCTGCCGCCGATACATTGCGCTTCCTTCGCCTTCCTCAACTTACCGCGGGGAGCAATGGACGAAGACCAAACCCGCACGCAGCTGGAGCAGGTCCGAAATTTACTGGAGGAAGATCCCGGAAACGAGGAACTCCAGAAGCTCGCCTCGGACTTGGAAACACTTTTGGGACTCTTGGACAGTGTTAGACCCTTCAAACAGGATCACAATGTGAGCGAACAATAGCCTGAGCCTTGCAGGTGCTGGGTCGCTGGTCGTATATGTAGTCTCAGAGAGCGATCATACTGACACGGTCAGCCTGGGTTGATACGCTGGAAACGAAGATCACCTCCCAGGCCGATGTCATTCACGTTGATAATGTCGACGCAATACCCGATGACGGACAACCAGGCCCTCCGACCCCAGTAGTACCTTTGGAAACAGGCGCAAAGTGCGTCATTCCCTTCACCCACCGCAACAAGACATACTTGCTCCCAGCTATGATTCTCGCCCTTTCTCTTGATCAAGTGCCGCCTCATGGCACTTTGCTGCTCCTCACTCCCATGACAAATGGGACCCGCCCATGCCCGTACTTCCTAGAAGGCCGTTGCCGCAGCTCGAAATGCGGTCGGTCCCACGGTATTTCCATGGACGCCTCACTTCTGCTGCCTTACGAGCTTCTGGATGGAGCAAACATCAGGGAGACATCGCAGGTACTGGCGCACTATCAGGATCTGTATTTTCCGGCGAAAGTCGTTGCCGTTGATCCGGGGAAGGGGTTCTGGGTGAAGTTTGATGGGTATGGTGATGACAAGAGTCTGGTGGCGTATGATCAGATCATTCCAATGATCATCATCGAGTCGGGAGACGGCGCTGGCGGTGGAGGTGGGGATGACACAGGGATAATTGAGGTTCACAGTAATGGCGATGCATCTGAGGGGGTTTCGTCGGAATCTGGCTCTGACTCTAAGTCTGGAGATGAGGACGATACTGGATCGGACTCGGATAGCGAGGCGGAACCCATGACATTTCGCTACGACGATGGAGAGCTTATGGGCGCGTGGGAGGTTCACACGAAAGGGATAGGCGCCAGGCTACTTGCGAAAATGGGCTATGAGCCGGTAAGCACCAGCAAACCAATTAAAATGAAGGAGGATGAGAATCGTAACTCACAACGCATTTACAGGGGAAAGGGCTGGGCAAGGACGCACAAGGGATGATTCGACCTGTGGAAGTTTCGATAAGCCTTCCAGGCAAAGGCTTGGGATTTGAGAGGTCGAGCGGCGCTGAACACTCCCACCATCATCGAAGAAAAAGACCACGCGACGCTGAAGGCGCAGAGCATAAGAAGCGGAAACACAAGCGGCGGAAGGGCCATGCTTCAGCCACCCTCAACAATCGTATAGGGCCACCCGAGAGTCAACGGACGGAAGCTACAACCGATGTTTTCGATTTCATCAACACGTCGCTCAACAAGCGTCCACCGCCGGCCAGTTCATCGCAGTCTCAGCAACAACCTTCCACAGCCTCACCGCGCACCAAAACCACCGCCTCACAACCGTCTCCATCTCAGTCTGTAAACAACCACGTCCAAATCCTCCAACTGCAATCCAAGTCCGCGCAAATACAAAAAGAGCTTGCGCGAGCTCGTGTGGCGCTTGCCAGAAACGCAAAAGACAAGAAGGTGTCAGCGGCCTATACGGAGCGGATACGTAATTTGGAACAGAGGTTGGGTGAAACTCGGGCTAAGGAAGGGAGGTTGCAGGGTGCGGTGGATGGAGAGAAGCGTAAGAAGAGAATGGTCAAGTTTTGAGCTTCTATGTATAAGGGTTGTCATCTATCTGGAATCCAGATCGCCTACACGGTCTCCCGGCAAGGCAGGCGGACACATCTTTGTACTGGCACATAAGATCCTCCATCGCGTCTCCAACAAGTCCTCGATTTATCTCGCCCCTAAACACGACGGTACATCTGTGCGGTATGACAGCCTGGACCGGCTTCGCAAAGATGTAGAAGACCCATCCCAGGTACTCTTTGAATGGAGTTGAGAAAACGCAATTGCAAGCGACGGCGACCCTGCGTATCGTCCAGCAGCAAAACATCACGTTGACGCATCAGCTTCGGGAAACCGAAAAGGAGCTCCAGCATTTACGCGCCATCCTTTCCGCGCCCCAGACAGAGGCCTTTGCCAAGATGTTGCGACGACAATATTCTACCTACGAATCTTTCGCGGGGTCAAGCGGCTTCTCAATTGCCACTGGTTGACAATTAGAGCCAGCGTGTACAGTACATGTACCCGCGCACTAATAATACGTACTGTAGTGTACGTACTACGCAGGATAGGCACTCATACGCACGCACGGGCGCCGGGCCGGGCGGGTCCCACTGGCACCCATTCTCGCTAGTGGAGTGCTAGCGGAATAGCGCTTCCGTGGCAGTTCAAACAGGTCGTCCCTGCTCAAACCGACCGAAAGGCGCTTTGTAACCAAGGGAGCAACTGCATGCTGCAATTGCACCACGCGACTCCTGGAACAAACGGGCCCTTTCTTCGAGAGGAAACTCGTAAACGGAAAAGCTAGCGCATTGATATGGATCGATTGATCTCGCGGCCAAGAGAATGACGGCAACCAACACAAAGAGAACTAGTTACATCTGCACTCAAAATACGTGCAAACAAGACAATTTGCCGCAAACAGCTTGAAAGTTCTGGCTATCTCCATCGCACCATCATGGTCCGGAAAGCAGTAAACAGTCGCTACCCCCACAACGACGCACTCAAGCTCCTTGAGCATCGCCGCAACATGCTTCACCTGCGCCCCAGTGCCAATCCACTCGTCCACAAGCAGGAGGCGCGCCTCGGGCGGAACGAGGTCGCGCCGTACCTCCATGGTCTTTTCGCCGTCGTGGTCCATGAAAGTTACGGCCACTTTGCGCGTAAAGTCCAGAGGTAGTTTTCCGCCTTTACGGACTGTAACCAAGGGTCTGCCGGTGCGGATAGCCAGCGCACCGCCGAGGATGAATCCCAAAGCATCGAGGGCGACGATGCGATCAAAATCTGCGATGGGGAAGTATGCAACGATATCCGAGATGAGTTCGTTGAGCGCGGAGGGGTTGTTCCAAAGGGGGGATATGTCAAAGCGTGGATGTCCGGTGCGATCTATCAAGCTGAGATAGGCTCTGTGGACAGGTGTCGTAAGACTTGAACCTACGGTAGGCGCGGAACGGGCAGGTATGACAGCTGGTGCGTTGGTGGAAGACCGTCGAGGCTGCGTATGGTTGGATGAACATGTTTCGTCGGTGGACATCTTATCAATTGTAAGAAACTCCGTCATGTTGAGGAGTCTGGGATGTGAGGTTGAAGAAAGGATCCTTACGGAAGAAAACTGTGCCAGCGTGGTATATTATTATACCACAACAAAATTAATTCTCCCGTTAGTAAACGCGGTGGACAAGCAACAATTACTGTATGCTACGGTTATGCGGAGGACATTGGCGAGTCGCAAGGAGCCTTCTTCTCTCTTGCGTTTCCTTCGCTTAATCAATCGCATCATGCATCCGACTCATGCATCCGACCCGTCCGTCCGTCCGTTGTAAGTACGGATGTAGAACGTTGTCGTTGTCGTTGTTGAAACACGTCAAAACAAGCGGGTCCGGGGCAAAACCCGTAGGCCGCGCCCGCCGGAGGTACAGTCTGTTGCCATAAAGCAGGTCGCACCCGGCCGTGCGCGGTCGGCCCCACCGGTTGTTGCCTAGGACAGTGACAGATCTCGTTTAGATTAGGGGTCCTAATACCGTGAATAAGGATGATGGGTGCAATGATCAGCAGCGAGGACACTAACTTACTTTCGGGGGCGACCTGCTTTATGGCAACAGACTGTATTGTATGTGCAATATATATACTTGTCCCCGTCCGTCGTCCTGTCCTGCCTCACAAGACCCGTTGCTTGCCCCCGCGACAACTGCCACTGTAGATCTACCGTCCAACGTCAGACCCTCGCTGCCCCTCCTGGGTCACCATCCCCACACTCGTCGCCCTTCCCCTGGCACCTCCAGGCGACGAAAGCTCATCCCGGCCTTGCCGGGCTGCATGGAACGTTAAGGATTGGGGACTAGGAAAATAAGGACTCTCGGGAAGCTAGTATCTGGCAACAGACCCAGCATTAGTACAATTTCTCTAAAAATATGAGGTGATTACCTCCAAAATTCAAACTATATGCTTCCCAGAGCACTGTCTCCAAGCCTGTAACATTTGTTTGGGGGTAATTTTCGGCAGGCCCGATCTGCATGAAAAAAACCAACCCGGAACAACCTGGTAACCCTAAGCACTGTACTCCATCAAGGCGACTCCATCGTGGGGGGTTGGAATGTCTCAAAGACTGTGGAAGGCAGTTCCTCCATGCATTTCCAACTCTCAGGATGTGTCTCTGCAGGTGACTGCTGCTGTTGTGCCATTCCCTGGTGGCGGGCGTGGAAATGCTTCCCATGATGTCGTCGCAAAGTTTGACGAACGGGGCCAAGGAAACGACGACGTCCTACACCGCGCTGTCAAATACCGTCAGTATGGAAAGCAAAACCGACAGTGCTGTAATTACGAAACTCCGCTCAACATGCAAGACTACAACCAAGCGGCCTAGTGGCCCAAATTGCAAACTGTGACCTGACAGGGATTCAGCTTTTCAGAATTTCAGCTGATTCTCGGCAAAAGACTTTCACTATGCTGGCCGTAGATTCCGCAACTCCCGCCAACTCGCTTCCACTGAAGCAGGGATGGGTGCTCAAGAAAGGCGGGTCGGGGTTCCTAGCCCATTGGCGACTAAAATACCTGGTGCTCGTCGGCTCTCCGGACTCGTACGGATCGCCAATGAAGCTGCTGGTGTACGACCAGGTCGACCAGTCTCGCCCGCCGAAACATGAGATTGCTTTGAGGGATGCTTCGGTTGATGAGTTGGCGGGACCCAAGGTTGCGAGTGTGAAGAAGGGAGCGGCGCCGTTTCTTATTGTGGACAAGAAGCGGAAGGTGAGTCTCTCCTCATCCCCTTGACTTGATCTTGCAAAGTAGACTTCATCATTTCCATCTGACCACGACCCACAGTTCTACTTTGCTGCACAAACCCGCGGTGACCGCGACGACTGGTTCGCCATCCTCAAACCCGCCCCACTGAAGCCTCGCCACCCCTCAGCAGCCGGACAGCGCCGGGCAACAATCAGCGGCCGCAATCATTCGTCACGCCCCGGTCTCTCCCCAACTCTGCGGAGATCCAATTCGTCACTCCGATATCGCTCGTTCAGTTGTCAGCGCGACGACGATGCCATGTCGACGTGCAGCTTTGAGACCTCGGCGAGTGGAATGGATCCAATGGATAATAGCGATGCGGTTTCCGTGTATTCAATTGCGAGCTCGAGGGGAAATAGCTCGACGCTGGATGATGGGCGGTCCTCTGTCGCGAGTTCGAGATTCGAGACTTTGGTGGGTGCCGCACTTCACGTCCCAACCCTTTAAATGCATCGTTTTGCTAACCCCGCATACTCTGCACCAAAAAGTCCTTCTGCTCCGAGCCGGTCTTGACACCGCAAGAGCTAACGTTGATGGGCAACAGTAGTGCCGTTTCATCGAGCTACAGGTACGACATCTCTCTCGCGATGGTGTTGGTTGGGAGTATTTGGCGTACTGATGCTCTGCATTTTCAGACATGAAGAAGGCTTCACTTTCCGGGATGCATTCCGTCGTAGAAGAGGTCCGTATATCTATTTTTCATTTTCCTCTTAAACGGGCAGTTCTGATAGTCATGGATCAACAGCTCCGATAAGTCAGCCGGAGGCGTATCTGGAGACCCAGCAACCCGCATGCGGAGGTGAGCGCTGATTTCTGTCGCGGACTCGGCGAACAGTGTTGGACAGGAAGCTAAAATCTCTTCAAGAAGCGTGGAATGAGCGATATCAGGCTGTGCTTTCAACCCGCTGCGAGACCGAGGAGGCTGCTCTTCAGCAAGGTTTGCGTAATGGTTGCAAAACAAGGGACGAAGAATTTCCAAACTAATCAACCTTCAACAGACATCCAACTGCAAGAAGTCATCGGCCAATTCCAAGAAACCGCCCAGCAGATCGCAAAACGGATGATCGATGACTACCACCTCCAACTATCTTCTGGCAAAAACGGATCGGTCACTCGACCTGTGACCCCGCACAACAGCGGCATGGAGAGCATGTCATCGCTGGATGCTTTTACGCAGTGTTTGAACATTGGGAAGCATGGAGAAGTTGTGCAGGATGGGATTATCTTGAGGTTTGCTAGTAACTACGATGGTGAGTGTTTTTATTATCAGTTTATCGACTGAAAAGTCACTCTCTAACCGCAGTGATCATCTCGTAGAAGCGACCCCGGAACAAGTCCAACTCATCCACCGCCAAACCTCCAGCGAGCTCGTAGCAATCGACGCCCTCACCCGAGCCTCTTTCGCATCCCACTCCACACCCCATCTGCACACCGTACTGATGGTCTTGATCGACTACAAAGGCTTCCGCGTCGTTGCCTACGCCGACATGGGCGATCGCGAGACAGAGCGGGCCATGTCGGTGCATGATCTGTCGCGAGACCCGCCGAGGACGGATGAGAGGGCGTTGGAGAGGTTGATGAGTGTCGGGCAGGCTTTGAATTTGAAGAGCCATGTGGTGCGAGTTGGGGATGAGAGAAGGATTGCATGCGCGTTGGCTAAGGATGTTGAGGTACGTTATCCCGCTTGTACTGTTCGGTTTTTGGGATGTCATCTACAAAAGCGCATTGCTAACATTGCCCGGACGTAGGTGCATTTCAACCCCGCCTCCAAAATCTACTACGCCTCCAACCTGCACAAAATCTTACCCGCCGACCATCACCCCGCGCAAGACAACAACAGCATCGCCAACCACCCCCTCTTCTCGCGCGTCCTCCGGCCGGAATTCTTCTCCATCTACGAGCATCCGCTCACGCCCGACGCCTTCACCATGTCCTCCGGCGCCACGCGGCGCGAGCGGGAAACCAATGATGGCGAGGTCGCCAGGGCGGTGAAACATCTGCGGGAGGTGGTAGTGCCGGCGTTTGTGGCCAGGCTGGACGCGTTGGATGTCAGAGTGGTGGATTCGAGGGGGTTGGTGGGGGAGATGCACAGTGCGGGGATCAATGTGCGGTATCTGGGTATGTCCAGAACTTGAAGAAAGACTAGTTCCGTGCCTACACAAACTAACACTTCGATACGCAGGCCATATCGCCCGACAATCAACCCTCCCCTACATCCGCTCCTTCGCGCAAGCGGAAATGTGCGCCCGCGCTTTCAAATCACTTTTCCAGGCCCGCATGCGCGCCGCCATCGTGCACTTCAAATCCGTCGGCGCGACCAGCATCGACGAGGAGATGAAAGCGTACGCTGTAGGCATGTTTGGCACGCTACTCGGCGCGGAGGAGAAGGGCCGCAAGTTCTTCCAGGAACGACTGAAGGAGGAGATTTTGCGGAAGTTTGATTATTTACTGGAGTGGAGTGCGTTTGTGCAGTTGCATAAACCGGCGCTGTTTTTGGCGATGCAGCATCATGTGGGTGGTCTTGCTTACCGTTCATCAATGCCTTTATCATCTGGATCCATACTGACTGCTCGCTTCGCCCATCAGTGTGGAGTCGTCTTCGAAGACACAACCGACTACGACTTCACCTCCCCGACTCCCATCCCTCGCACCTCCTTCTCCCACTTCGCAGCCCGCATCAAACAACCCGCCGGCCTCGCGCGTCTCCGCCAGCCCAGCACACCCGACAGGACAACCGGGCCTTCAGAAGATGACCGACTAGCATACCACCTCGCGCGGCACTTCAAATCCCTCGGTCCGCGCTCCAAACTCGCCCGTCTTGAAGGGTCCGCGGCCGCATTATCCCAGATCGCCGCCCATTACAACGCGACAAAACGGTACGAGGAGGCCAGACTGTACGCTCAGGCATCCCTATCGGCCGCGGCGCGGAACTCGTGTCTCGCCGGACTGGCGATGGGGATTCTTATCGAGGCGATCGCTGCTGGCGGCAGCGGGTCGGCTTTTGCACCGACGGCAGGGAAACTGGCGAAGGAGGATGAAGACCGGGTGATGGAACTGTACCGGCAGGCGGTGGAGGTTGCGTTGTGGCATTGTGGGGATAACCATCCAGCGGTGATGGGGCTGCATGATAAGGTCGCGGGTGTGTTTGAGCGCCTGGGGAAGTTGGATCGGGCGGTGGAGTTTTATGGGAGTAGTTTGAGGGTTGCGGAGAAGACGTTGGGGAAGAACCATCTTGTTACGGCTGGGTATCTCGTTAAGGTAAGAAGAGCTTCCGATTCTTTGTCGTTGTCCACAGATGTATGGACAGGACACTAATCCCTCTTCTGTTTGGCACACAGATGGGCACCCTCTCCCAACAACTCCAAAACCCCACCGACGCCTGCCAACACTTCACCGACGCCCTGCACCTCTACCAAGGCCTTTCCGCCCCGCTGCCCCTCGTCGCACACCTCCACCACCACTTTGCCCTTCCCCTCGCAGACCGCGGCGACCTCGACGCCGCCATCACGCACGCCCAACGCGCCCGCCGCATGTTTGAAAAAACCTTCGGCCAAGCCGACCCGCGCACCGTCGAAACCTACCGCCTGGTCGCGAAGTTGGTCTTGACCCCTTACGCGCGCTACGAGGGCGTGCTGACACCCGTCATCCGCGCGGCTTATAAAGAGGCCGTTGGGTGCTATGAGAAGATCTTCCGGTTTGTCAAATCCGCCACTTCCTCTTCCTCATCATCACGATCAAGCACGGCGGGTGGTTCATCAGCCTCGTCCTCAACATCCTCCCTAACCTCCACCACACCGCGCCGCCCACCCACCCTCGCCCCCCTCATCCCCCCGGCACCAGCCGCCACCCACCCACCCCCACCCCCCCTCCTCGGCACCACCTCCTTCCCAACCCCCATCTCCGGGCCCCTAATCACGCCCACCGCCCTCCACTCGCTCCCCACGCACCCCCGCAGTCTCCTGCACACGCTAACCCGCCAAATCATCTCCCTAAAACTACGCCTAATTGAATCCCCGCAACACCGCGAGATCGTGCGGATGCTTCGCGCCAACAACAAGGATCGGGTGTTGAGCGCGCATGAAGCTAGGGGCGTGGTGTTGAGACTTGCGGCGATTAGCCCGAGTGTCTATTTGGATGGCGTGCTAGGGCGGATTGAGGAGGGGGATCGGAGTGCGGTGGAGGAGTTGGGGTGTGTGTTGGGGTTGACCGAGGGGGAGGTTGTGGGGGTTGATGCGTAGATTGCGGGATGGAGGGATTGATTATAGATGACGGGCATTTTTTCTTCTGCCTTTTATTACGTTCTTGATCTTATCCCGTGTGGGTATCTCTTCCATGATGTTTCGTTTCAGTCTTCATCTCACGCCCGGCTCGGTTTTTTCCCGGCTTCACTATTTTAATGGCCATGCATATTTTGGCTGTGTACAATCATAAAGTATTATCTACTGTTATCAATTTTATTGCAGGTGGAGACAAGTTGTTTCTCGGTGGACCCTGTTTCTCCTATCGCATTCAGCGTTTGACTTCAGGTTTTCTCCCTTGACCCTCTCAATTTCCTACGTGCCAACCACATAGCCCATAACTCTCCAAAAAACAAAAAAGATCCATATCCGGGGGATAGCATCCAGCCCTTAAGCATCCGCATCTGTTGCAGTAACTGGGGGCGTAGTCCCAGTTTCTCCGATGCCCAACTTCCCACAAGACGAGAATCGTTCACTCGAAACCCGACGGCCTTCCGAATCCGTCGAGAAGTGTTCATCTCCCCTTCCCCAATCCTTCCCCCCATCACCCACCTCCTCTCTAAATCCCCAAAAGCCGATGAAACTCCGCATACTCGTCCTTGGCCTGTTCCTCCTGTTTCGGGTGATGGCCATTGATGTCCGGTCGTGGGGTCGGGGTCGGATTTTCGTACTCTTCGTCGTCGCCTGGTTGTTCTTCTTCATCGTCGTCTGCGCCGCCTTCGGCGTCGTCTATTGCTTCGTCGACGCCCTCGTCTGTGACTTGGGAACTGACGTCGTCGTCGGATAGGCGGGTTAGGTGGGCGCTTAGATACTGTCGATGCAAACGATGTGTCCAAGGGGTCAGTAAACAGAACCGTAGACGCGGCTTCAGGAAAAACGGACTCACCGTATTCATTTTGAACCCACTAACCCGCTCGACCCCAAACACGTCCTTCAATGGCTGATCACAAATAATCATCCGTCCATCCGCCGGATCCTGCAGCCCGCGTTCCTTGATGTATGCCCACAGCTGTTTAACCACCTGCGGTCTTGAAAGCGTCGTTTGGCCGCCCAGCACGGCCGCAAGCTGCGGGCTCAACGCGTTGGGGCGGTTGAACGGGTTGTTTTTGCTCGGTGTGCGTGTCGAGGGGGCGCGTTTCTCTTTCTTCTTCGGGGTGGATCTACTTGACGAAGACCGCGGCACGGGAGTTCCGTCCTCGTTCTCGTCCTCCTCCAGTTCATCCACGTCCCCGAACCCACCGGCCATGTCCTCCGGCTTGATCATATGTTTCGTCAGCAGCTTGTTGAGGGTAAACATGTGCACACGTTTCCGGTTGACGCCGAAAATCGGCTGCAGGGATTCGTCGACGATGATGTACCGTTTGTCTTTCGGGTCCTGCAGGTCGTTGGCTTTGAAGTAATCCCATAGTCTCTTGACGACTTCCGGGCGGGCGAGCAATTCGATGCCCCCGAGGAATTCGGAGAGGGCGGGGCTGAGGACGAGGGGTTTGTTGATGCCGGTAGCCTTTTTGGGTTCGGTCGAGGATGAGGCGGGCTTTTTGCGGGCGGGGCCCTTTCTTGGTGGGGCGCCTCCGCTGCGGGTTTGACGTGTTCGGCCGTTTTCGGATTCTTGGAGCCGTCGAGCTAGCTCTTCGTCTCCTCCTTTGATTCAGCGAGAAAGTCAGGTATACAGTGGTCCCTTTCATTTTTCAAATCACCTCCTCTTCTTATCCCTACCGGTGAACTCTGCAGATTCATCATCAGACGAAGCGACGAAATCCTCAGATTTGATTTTCTTGTTCTTGTTTCCAGCTGGAGCAGCTTTTCGCTTCGTGGGGGTGCTTTGAAATGATGGTTCAGATGATGCTACTATGGATGGATACAATGCCTGTGATGAGGACGGTGGTAATGGCTGCTGGTGGTGGTTGGGGTATCTCGTGGATGACGACTGCTGTTGGTGGTGGTTGGCGGCCGTCTGTTCGGAAAAAACAACACAGTATGGACGTCAATAAAGCGACGTTGGATGAAACGATGACCTATCATATATCCTAGGACGGCGGGTGAAACCCTACAACGGGCCATCAACCACCCGTTGACCATCAACCATCAACCACTGAACGTCAATCATCAACCACCCATCAACAAACATAACGATACGCTCCTCGCTCCGCTTGCGACAAGGATGTTGGGCTTGTGTGATCTGCAATCCTGGCTCCAGGTCCAGTAGGCTCGGCCTCGCCGCACTAAAGCATTCCTGGGCCTCCGGCCCAGTGGGGCACGCTATCGCTCGCCTTCTCCTCAAGTCGCTCGGAACCCTCAAGCAGATTCCTTGCGCCTCGCTTCGCTCGGACTCCGACGCGATGGGCATCGCTCACGCTCGCCGTCACCCGCCCTTTGCTCGGACACCTCCATTCCTCAACCTCACATCTCCGTCCCGCTTCGCTCGGCATCACTCCACTCGGTGGTACACGTACCTCCTCCTTCACATGGTCCTCCTGAGTCTCCCCCTGGATGCTATTCAAGATGGTGATAATCCTATCGTCGAGGTCCCTTTTCCAAGGCCCTAGACTCAGACCAAAGTCCGACTCTAGCTGGAGCCTGACCGATTTTGAGGAAACGGAGTGAAGGTCTGCGACGAGGAGGATATCGCGTATGCGTTGGTCGAACTGTGACACGTCAAAATGCGACCCCATTGTGGTCGAGTGTGAAGGTGGGAGATGACACAGAAATGGTTATTGCGAGCGAAGCGGGTTCCGGTTGAGTGCTGGCCGAAGGAGATGTAGATGGTCTTGCTTTGGAACAGAGCAGTGCTTTTGGCCGGGGCAAGGAGGGCGGAGGAGGGCAGAGGAGGGGGTGACACTGCGATCGCACATAAAAGCAGAACGCTCCCATTTAAACTCATCTGCCGTCCACGTGATCCGGGCATATAAACCGAACTGCCTCGCTTCCTGTGAAGTCGAGTGTGCTCCAACGTTTTTGGGAGCACTCTCACCAAGCCAAGATGGTGGGAACATGGGCATATCGAACCCTTAGGCCCTCCCGTGCTGTTGCGGCGGGTCAGATGCGGCCGGCTGCTCGTCGCAGAGCCGTCGCCGTCTTACCTCAACTGCCGCCACGAACCGATCACTTTCGGAGGTCGCATGACAGCGCTGCAGCCCAACAACCGGAGGTGGGGATCATAGAGACGGTACAGGGTACGCAGGGGAAGCTACAAGAGTCGGTAGCGTATGAGACAGAGACGACAGCGAACGGAGCAGATGGGACACCTGGACGCAACACCGAAGTGGCAAATGCAGATCACCAAGCTCCTCCATCACCCGCGGAGGTCGGCACGACAGAGATCATAAGATCTCAGACGGACCTCGTCAGGGATATACTAGAACTAAAACCGAGATTCCGCAAATATCGAGATTCACAGCCCGCAGCCGAGGTCCATCCCAAGACGGATCTCTTCGTTCATGCCCGCCGTACCGGCGAGGGGACGAACCGCTCCGTCATCCCGAAGACGCAACTTGGGCGGGACGTGGTTCAGCTGGAGCAGCTTGCCGGAATGGATGTCGAACACCTGGCGCCCCCGCTACCCTCGTCTGAAAAAACTGTCCTCGACGAGTTCTACACAGCAATCGGAGCGCGACAGGCTGCAAAAGCATGGGAAAAGTTTCGAAAAGTCGAGGCGGATGGCGCTACCGCCGACATTCAATTAAAGTACTACAACGCCCTCTTATACCAGATGGTCAACTTCCATCATATAATGAAGTGGGAAGATCGGTCGAGTGAGACTGTAATCCAGAACATGGAATGGGTGTCGAAGATCATGCAGCAGAACAACGTCGCACCAGATGTGTACACCTATGCATATTTCGTGCGCGCCTACGGCTTAGCAGGGAACCTGGACAAAGTGCGGGAGTATCTGAGTGCGGCCAACTCGCAGGGGTTTGTGTTGAAGGAAGGTCGGAATTTCGAGTTGCTGGCACTGGCCAAAACCAATCCCGCCAAAGCCTTGGACGCATTCCAAGCTTTCGCCACGGAGCATAACGAAGGCAAAGGCGACCGCCGGGCGTTCAAAGTACTCCTACACGCATTCATCCAACACAAAGACCATCCCCGGTTCAAGCGAACCCTGCAGCTGGGCCGGGACTACAGAATCCCGCCCGATGCAGACGACTACGACGCCCTGATCCACTACTACGCCGTCATCATGCGGAACCCAAAAGAAGCCGAAGCCCTTATGAGTCACCGGGCCCGCCGAGGAGGTTACGGCGTCTCGGTGAAAAACTACGCGACCCTGATCTCGGCATACGCCACGGAAAAAACTTACCCGAAAGTCATCGACCTCTTCCGCGAGATGGATTCCCACTCCCTCCCCCCCGGCATCAAAAGCTACAACGCCATCCTGAACGCATTCTGCCAAACCGACGACGTCCGAAGAACGGTCATGATGTTTTTTCGGGTTAGGAGAGACCCACATGTCGCGGCCGACCAGATGACGTGGAGAATTCTAGGCGAAGCCCTGCACAAGTGGAAAGGAACCTTCGGCGATCTCATGCGCTCAGTCAAACTCATACCAACACCCGAGCTCTACAAATTCCTTATCACCGGGTTGCTCCAGGCCAACTGCACCCTCTCCACCGCCCGCCTGTGCACGCAGTACCGCCTCCAAATGGAAATCAACAACAACGCGCCGTATACACCCCACTCGCCCTTAACGTACATTGAGATCGAGCTACGAAATTACGCTCGACACGGCCACCGCGAACAGTGCGAGGACCTGTGGAACAAGTATATCAAAGACACGAAACTTGAAAATCAGAACAATATCAACGCCATGATCGCCCTCTACGCCACCTCCGAGGCCCACGACATTGTCAAAATGAACGAGATGATCGCCCTCCTCACCGGAAAGGGATACAAACCCACTATACCAACCTACGAAAACCAGCTGAAAGCCATGTGGAATTTCACGAAAGAGCCGCTTACACCTGAATTACTGAATCTCCTTCGACAGGCGGTACATGCTTATACCCCTCCCAAACTCCCGCAGACAGACCCCCGACGCCTCTTCTACCGCGCATGTGAAGTCCTCGGCGACGGGGACATGGATAAAGGGTGGGAGGTGTTACACGGCGGTGGGGTGGTGCAAGTGGAGGGGCTGAAAGTGTGGAAAGAGCTTGGGCTGGAGGTTTTGGGGAAGAAGAGGACGCGAAAGAAGAGGGCGGTGGAGAAGAGGGAACGGCTGGAGGAGGTGGAGGAGATGGGAATGCGTGTGGAAGTGGAGGTGGGGAAGGTGGTGCGGAAGCAGAAGGGGAGGAAATGGAGGCCGAAGGTGGATGGGGAGCGAGAAGGAGATGGCGGTGTACGCCCCGGTTGAAACGATGGGACGGCGGTTGATGAGGACCCGCCCGCGAATCCCGACATTGGCACCGCCACCACCGCTGCCCGTGCACACCGCAAGGGCTGCGGAAACGGGACTGCCCAGATGCCGTCAACAATGTGGAGCCGATGCAGGCGAACACCACTGAAACCCGGTGACAGCGCCCCACTCGCTTCCCATCATCACACAACCATCCACATCGGATGCCACAGCTGAAGCCTCCCCTCCATCGAATTCCCCCACCACCAACCCGCTCACAGCCCCGTGCTAGCAACCTGTACACGCCGCCCAGTTTGGTGGGGAGGCGGCATCACTGCGTCTCCTCTCCAGGCAGCTGTGAGGATGAGAACGCAGTGCGAGGAGATTTGCCCACCACCCGGGACCACGGGCCGACGCAAAACGCAATAAACCTAACGATACAATACCGCTAACGACGCTGCTGCGCTTGCGGCCATGACGAGGAGCGAGACTTCTGCACCCGAAGGCAAACGCACGGCTCCGAAGGAGTAGGGTGATGAGAGAAGACTGGGGGCGTGCGCTCCTGAAATCAAGTATCCCCCCGCGGCTATCTCGAGACGTACATGCACATGATACCGACCTCCCTGGAATCCGGAGTAGCAGCCTCCCGTGTGTATCAAAGACAGGAATAGATATACAGTACCAGCATCCCCAAACGAAATGGGCAATACAGCACATAAACGTGCGAAAGGAGGGCCGGGGAGTTTTTTTTTTTTCTACAAGTGTATATACAGGTGGCGGGAATCGGGAAATATACCCTGATACGCGCGGAGACGCTCATAGACGAATGCCTAAATATAACAGAAATACGCGGAAACAGAAGGACGCGGCTAGTGTGAACTGAAGGGAAGTGCTAGGTGGGGTATGCGGCCCTGTGTGTTGTTCAGAAAGTGGGGGGTTTCGCAGAGGGTAAATGATAGTTCGGTCGGCGTTGATGCGCGGTGGTGATACATTCGGGAGGTCGGGCCCCCAACGCCCGTCATCACCTAACAGCCCTGACATCCATCCCCTCCTTCCACCTCAGCCACTTCATCCGACTCGCGACCCTGCTCCGCTCGTTGATCCGGAACCCGAATATTTTGGGCGTGTATATCCGGTACACCTCCTCGTCCAATTCGTCATCTTCTTCTTCTTCTTCTTCCTCTGCTCCTAGCTCTGGTAGACCACGCACGTCGCCGGGTATCTCGTCTTCGTCGTCCTCGTCATCATCGTCCGTGTCGGAGTTGGAGGTATCGGAGTTGGAGTTGGAGTTGGGTTCGGCGGTCGGGGGTAAGAGTTTTTGCTTCCGGCGGGGTCTTGTTGTTGTCGGGTGGTTTTTTGGGGGGTGGAGGAGGGGGATGTATTCTGGGTAGGTGAGCCAGAAGAGGTTGGCAAAGGTGGGGCCGAAGCAGGCGCCGTCTATTGATTGGTGTTTTGGCTGGCAACCGTGGTGGGAAGGGGCATGTTAGGATGGGGAGAAGGGATGTGGGTGACACAGAGAACAGGGGTACTCACATCCTTCGGCACGTAAATATCCCCACAAAGCCCACAACAAAGCTTCACACTATCCACATGCAACGAATCCGTCAACCCGACCGGCAACACGCCCGCCCCGCCACAATAAACCCTCGGACACGTCCCAAACACGCCCGCCTCAAACTTCTCCGCCATGGCCGCCATCCCCTGCTTGGTGAGGATGTAGCGTGCGTGGATCAGCGAGTACAGGTACTCCGCGGCGGTCTCATACATGGTCATGATGGGTGGAGAGACTTGCTCTTCGAGCTCGAGGTCGAGGATAAGGTCCAGGGCTTCGTTGTAGTAGGGCATGACGTTTTGGAGGCCGGTGAGGTTGAATTCGTCGGAGATGAAGTCGTCGGGGACTTCGGTGAAGTATTCGTAGCCTGCCGTTGAAGTATAGGTTAAGCATCATTGGATTTGTGGGAGAAAATGGGGGATGGGAGACTCATACCTGGTCTTGAGCAGTACCAGCTGACCCATGTGACGACCGATGATCCTGATTCCGAGCCAGACACAGATTCCTCCAACTCTTCCTCTTCTTCAAACTCTTCTTCTTCCCCAGTCTCTTCCTCTTCATCGTCATAGTACTCGGCTGTGTAAAAGGGAATGAGGGGGGTGAGTATGAGGCTCGAAGGATGAACGCAAGCACGAACAGAGCGAAGCGATGGATGGTTGTTTGGACGATGATTGAACGATACCCTGCTTGCTCGCTCCGCTCGCGACGAGGAGGTTGTGAAGACCGATGTGAGGAGAGTATTGCGCCTTTGGCGCAATGTGGCTCGCTCCGCTCGCCCGCGAACATCAGGCATCTCTCTCGAAACCGAAACCTCAAGCAATCTCCCTCACTCCGTTCCGCTCAGCCCTCCTCATACACACCATTGCCATTAACGTTGTTATTGTTATTGTTGTTGTTGTTGATGTTACCTTCCCATTGAGGGTTCATATCCTCCTCCCTCCCTCCATTCCTCAGCGGGGGAGAGGAGTTATTCTCATCCTGGTTTGGTACTCCACGCATACTGTTGTCTCCTAGATCTCGTTCCAGCTGCACTTCGCGGGCGTCGTTCCCGCTTGTTGATGTTGTCGTCGTACTACCACCACTAGTCTCAGTGTCTGAATTTGCAGCAGGTGATAGTGGTGGAGGTTGAGTAGCGCCTTGCTCAAGTACTGCCTTCTTTCGTTGGAAGGTAGCGCGCAAGGGCTTTCTGTCGTCGTCTGGGGCCGGGTCTGTGTGTGAGGCCGTGATTGCGGATGTGGGAGTGGGTGGAAGAGCGGTGGGAGTGCTTCTTTGGGGGACTCTGTGGCGCGCTGACTAAGGTTGAGAAACGTTTTTGGACTACTGGCGGTGGTTGCTACTTTCGGCGGGAGCAGTTTTGTATTGAGAAGGTAGTCTGTGGAGGGTATGAGTGATGAGCCGTCGATGTTGAGTGAGCCTTTTGGGGGGGGGGGGGGGGGGGGGGGGGGCTTGAGCGGCCACCGCGAGCGAGCGAGAGAGAGTAGAGAGATGCGAGCAGGGGCGTGCGTGATTCCCTGTGATGATTATTGCCACAGTCGCTGGTCTTCCCTCACGCGTCTCCGTCCGTCCGTCCGTCCGGCGCCCTTCCAATACTCCCACACCGCCTCGCCTCTTTGCAAAACATACCATGTTCTGCCACCTCCTGCATCCATTGCATCTTTCTTCCTCCTTCTCGTCTGAAACATCACTTGCCAAATCGCTCATTCCATTGATGCATGAGTTATCAGAAAGCAAAGATCATCAGGGCTTTCGTTTATTCTCATCCGGATTCCTGACGTCTCATAGAGTGATGCCTGCTGTTCACAGACATACGTAGGAACATGTGGAACGCCAGCCATTGCCGTGATGTTTCATATCTCCTTCGATCCCATCACTGGGCGCATCAATGTAATCGCATAATCTACATAGACGGGCAACGTATCCAAGAGGATGAATAACAGATGTCGCCAGGCGTAGTTGATGCATCAGAGCTCATGAGTGTTGAAAAGAAGCCAGCGCAAGCCGAGGGAAGGGAAGTCTCCTCAAGGCAAGCCATCGGAGATGTGAGTTCCGTCCTGCGGGAAAGCCAACGTCGTCCGCGAACAAAAACCGCCCGCCATATGATGTGATGAATCATGAACGTTTGACTCGAAGGCGCGTCTCGCCGTCTGCCCAAAAGCGTTCCCTTCGCCCGGTGGTCGCCCGTTCAACTTGAAGATTCAGAATCAGGCAGGCTGCCTCGCGGAAGAACTCGCTAGGAGCCTCGCACTCCCATACACATATCTACAAGCTGCCGTGCCACACCCGTCCCCACATATCCAGCAATGAGCTGGGACCTCGACGTATTCATCGAGCGGCTCTACCGCAACCAACTCCTCTCGGAAACCATCATCCGCGAACTGTGCGAAAAGACAAAAGAACTGCTCGTCAAAGAAGGAAACGTCACCCAAGTATCTGCACCCGTGACACTCGTCGGTGATGTTCACGGGTAAGTGATCGTCAGTTTCAGATGTATCTGTTTTGGAGATGTGAATTGACCGACTCGGGCGGGGGAGGATAGACAGTTCTTCGACGTATTGGAGATTTTCAAGATCGCCGGCTGGGCTCCGTCAACCAACTACGTCTTTCTGGGCGATTACGTCGATAGGGGATACCATTCCGTGGAAACTATTACATTGCTTATGTGTTTGAAGCTGAGATGGCCCACGAGGGTTACACTGATTCGTGGGAACCATGAGTCTAGAGCCGTTACGCAGGTTAGTCCACCGAGCGAGGTGCAGAGTTAGTTTGCGATGGGATTTGCAGACGTCACCGCATTTCTTGGCGAGCCTCAGCGAGCGTCAGATCTCTTGCGAGCGGAAACGAGCACCACATTGCGCCAAAGGTGCAATACTCCCCTCCCCCCATGTGTTTGTTGATGGGTGGTTGATGGTTGATGTTCAATGGTTGACGGTTGAAGGTTGATGGTCGACGGTTGATGTTGGTGGTTGATGAGTTTTCATCACATGCGCATCGTGGTTGAAGAATGTTGCTGATTCGTTGATGGTTCGGGAACGTTCTATGCCATACTGATGATTTCGGACCCCGCAGACATACGGGTTCTATACAGAGTGCATGCGGAAATACGGCAATTCGAACGTCTGGTCCTATTTCACGGACTTGTTCGATTACCTGGTTCTGTCTGTGGTGATTGATGATTCGATTTTTTGCGTGCATGGAGGTGAGGATGCCATGACGGGAAGGGGGAAATCAAACCGGAAAGCGCTCACCGCAGATCTCAATCTCGAATCCAGGTCTCAGCCCATCTATACACACCGTCGACCAAATACGAGTCTTGGACCGGTTTCGAGGTACGCTCATGTCAGTGTGATTCTTCGATGAACTCTGCCCAAAACTCAACACTCCCCTTCGCAGAAATTCCCCACGAAGGCGCCATGGCCGACCTCGTCTGGTCCGACCCCGTCTCCACACCCCCCACCTTCACCACGGGCGTCTTCGCCGACGAAAAAGGCGACTTTGCAATATCACCGCGCGGGGCAGGCTACATCTTCGGGAAGGAGGTGACGCGGAAATTTCTGGAGACGAATGGGCTGGGGCATATTTGTCGCGCGCATCAGTTGTGTATGGAGGGATACCAGGTTCGGGACACGATCTTGACTTGTATGGGCGAGACGAGAGAGCAGGAGATGGGGGACTCATCGGACTTTTTGGCAGATTCTGTTCGATGATATGCTCTCGACCGTATGGTCTGCGCCGAATTACTGCTATCGGGCTGGAAACATGGTAGGTGGTTCCCAATACACCCGCGCTCCGACACACGCGTGCATGTCCTCTCAAACCTAACGATGACCGTCTCCTTGTCAGGCCTCCGTCCTCCAAATCGGGCCCGGCCTGCAACGTTACTTCAACGTCTTCGGTCCCTGCCCCGACCAAGAGCGCGACTCCGCCAACCCCAACCCCGACCCCGCCGACGATCTCACAGCCCACTACCCCGAAGAAAGCTACGGCAACGCGGCGCTGTTGCGGCGCAAACGCCAGCAGGCAGCGAGTAAGAAGCAGGTGTACGGCGCGTTGAGGGATCCGTTGGAGGTGGATGATGCGTTTAATATCCCAATGGGGGCCGATTTGACTAAGGTAAGGGGATATGGGTGTGTGGGTGGGGTATGGGGGTTGGGCGATGGGGGACGGGGTATTGATTCACTGGATGGGTCTTTGATAGGTTGTGCAGGAGTATTTTATATGATATCCATGGATTTGCGGCACAATATGCACCTTGCCGTCGGCCGGGACTTCCCCGCATTTCTAAGACTCGCTCTATATACACGGAGTCACCTGCATACATGCATTTATCAGCTGGCCTGATCTTGAACCGGTCGACGGAGTTCAATCCTCCCTCTTATCGCCGCCACCCGCCAACAAAGGCCCCAAAGCCTCCACAAACCCCCGCGCAAACACCTCCTCCGAAAACCGATCCACAACGCTCGCCCGCGCGCGGTTCCGCATCGCCCTTTGCGCATCGCCTGACAACTTTAGCGCGCGGTGCAGCGCGTCGGCGTACTCTTCTGCTGTTTCTGCTAGAAAGCCTAGTCATCACAACAGCATCAGTGCAAGGTCCCATTACCCCGATGGTAGAGAGTAGTTGCGCCTTTCCCTCTCTCCGAGAACACCAACCGCCCGTACATACCTGTGGGCTCCCCATCAACCTCCGTCACGATATCCAACTTGGGCCCGCCCGAGTTATGCGCTACGGGTATCACACCAGCCGCCTAAAAAAAGCATCATAAAACGTACATTAGTCATCCCCAACCTTCCACATAAACTGACTTCCCCATATGCGTATTGTGAATTTAGGTGGCGCGCCACGCACCATATACTCAACAATCCCTATCCCGAAATGCTCATCCCGCATCGTGTGCAGGCCCAGCGAGGCTTTGCGGAGGTGGGACAGGAGGATGGTGTAGGAGCCGTTTTCTATTATTTGTACTTGCTCCTAAGGGTACATAAAATCGGACAAAAGAAAAGATAAGCAGACCAAACCCCCAAGATGGGCCATATTAGCTCGCACAGAATATGGATATATACCGCGATGTTCAGCTCCCGGGCCCGCTCACCCAACACCGCCACCCGTCCCCGGTCCTCCGCGTTCCTGCTGCCCCCGATCATCACGAGTTTCAACCGGTCGCGATGTTCGGGATACTTGTCCAGCAGCCTCGCAAACGCGTCCAGTTGTAGGGTATGGTCCTTTTCTGGTCGGAACTGCGCGACAGCCACAATCACCTCCTCGCGATCGTCGAGGGAGAAGGATTTCAAGGCGGCGGTGTCGCACGGCGGGTAGACGATGGAAGTGCGGGTCGGGATGCGCCAGAGGGTGGTGATGTGGTTGAGGGTCCATGTCGAGTTTACCTTTCGGAGGGGCGGGATGTCAGCTATGTGGGGGGGATGATCTAAATGAACGGGGGACGAGGGAGGGAGAGGGGGCGTGTGTTTTTTTTTTTACCATGACGACGTCTGCGGCTCGGCCGGCGTGGCCGTATAGATATGCCACAAGCCGGTAGTACCTGCACACGCTTGATGTCAGTGTCGGCACCATACACGCAGGCACGAGTGGGTGAACGTTTTTACCATATCTTCGCCCCCGTCAACGCCGAACTCCTCGCCACCGCACCCGAGTTGTTATACCCAGCTTTACGAGCTGCTACGCGTCCTAGCATGTCGGAACTGGTGTCGGGTAGTTAGATGTCAGCGGCGGTCGGGGGCAGGGATGGGGGATAGCACACGCGCATATATACCTTATGGTCGGGTAATGCACGTACGTGACCACTTTGCAGCCAAAGACGTGCTTCGCGAGAGGGTAGGTGAATGCGAATCCGACCGTGTCTGGAAAAACATGGCCCCCGAGAAAAACGTTCAGATGACCCTTCATTGACGTTTGGGTGGGATAGGACAGGTCCGCATCTCAAAGTACCCACGAAAACATCAGGCGTGTATAAACGCAACGCTTCCCATGCCGTTATCAGCGATCCGAGGCTTTGCAATAGGAGCGTCATGAAGCGATACCTGCACGACACACATCACAGGTCAGCACGCTTATCCCCCACCCGAGCCCTATGCATACATCAACCCCAGAACGCACCGATCAGCCGCCAACCATCCCCATGTCTCCAATCGCACAAACTCCACCCTCCCCTCATCCACCTTCACGCCAAACTGCGACCGCACTTTAGCGAGGATCTGGGAAGGCGGCCCGGCTTTGGACCAGGTGTAGATAACGCATGTTGTGCGTGGGTGGTGGGTTTGGATGGCGCGGATGGCGGACCAGAGGACGCGTTCGCCGCCGCCGCCTGCGTCGCTGTAGCGATAGGAGGGGTTAGGAACTGGATATTGAGTGGGGAGGATCGGGCGGGTGAGGTGTACCAGTAGGGATGGAAGAACCCGAGGACGGGGTTGCGTTTTGTTGGGAATGATCTCCGCCGGCGGCTGCTTTTGTGAAGGGTTCCGAGGATGAGGGCGGCGAGGACGGCGAGGACGGCAGTGAAGACTGCGAGGAACGCCGACATAGCTGGCAAGCCTACGGGTCAGTGAGCAGATGCCGATATCGGGGGTTTTGCGAAGGTGACGGGGAATGGCGGTCGAAGAAGTGAGGCAACTTCAAGGGGGGGCTTTTCGCCTCTTTCGCACGCGTCCCGGCGGAACAGGCGGAACAGGCTCAACTCCTCCGCCGCTCAACCGTTCGCACTCTTACATCGACCCCAGACACCCAACCCGAGAACAACTTCTATGATGGCAGCACTCCGGAGAGCCGCCACCAAGCCAGCATCCCTCCGTCCGACCCCCAGCATAACCGGCACTCGATGCGCCGCTCTACTATGCAGAACGACGAGGTTGTCACCTCCAACGGCGTCCAACTATTCAACAGGTCCCGACTCTACGGAGAGCTTAGACTATAACATTCGCCTTCGGGAACGGGTGAAGGGGACCCCGACAATCGAGGCTTCTTCAACGAGGTTGGTGGCGGGTCCCTTGGTGAGGAAGTGCGGAATGCGGAGTTCGGTAGCTAAACCCCAAACCCGGACAGCGATATCAAAACCCGCCTCGCCGAAACCGCCCTCTCCCACGTCCCCGCAAAGGGCTGGACCATCGACGCATTAGCAGCCGCCGCAAAAGATCTCGGCTACCCGTCCGTCCTGCACGGCCTTTTTCCAGGCGGAGGCGCGGATCTGATCGATTATTTTTTGCGGAAGAGTAAGAATGAGATGCGGGCGGAGTTGGAGGGGATGGATTTGAGCAGGTGCGGGTTGGACGGCAATGTGAGAGTTGGTTGGAGGAATGGGTGGAGGCTTAATATGTTGGGTTTAGCATGCGGATTCCGGTGAAGATTCGGACGGCGTGTGTTAAGCGGCTGCAGTTGACGGCGCCGTTTATATCCAAGTGGCCAGACGTAAGTTGAATTTCAGGCATATGTACTGTCCTGATGCAACGTGCTGACAGGTTCACGAATCCCACAGGCTCTTGCGGTGATGGCCCAACCGCAAAACGTGCCCATGTCACTGCGGAATCTAGGCGAACTGGTAGATGAGATCTGGTATCTCGCCGGCGACCGATCCGTTGATGTGAGTTGCCGTAGCAACCCTCCCTTTGCTCCAAATATCAACTCTTACCAAAGCCCTCCCTGCGGAACAGATGAACTGGTACAGCAAACGCGCCATGCTCGCGGGGGTCTACACCTCCACTGAAGTCTACATGACGCAAGACAAATCGCCCGACTTCCAAGAGACGTGGAAGTTCCTGGACAGGCGGTTGCAGGATGTCGCGACGTTTGGGCGGACGACCGCGGAGGTGTCTAATGTTGTGCAGTTTGGGTTGAGGAGCGCTGTGGGGGTGTTGGCGTCGGTGAGTGGCGACTTTGAGGTTTCAAACTCTGTGTTGGACTTTATTTGACAGTCTTGCGCTGTTCAGTACGGGCATCGGACACCGTTTGATCGCAAGTAGGGGATTGCGGGTTTGTCGTGTGCTTCATTCGGGTACATCGCCTACGGAAGTGCAGGGGCGGTGCGATTTTACACTACGCAACACTAGGTGTACTCGCGCATAGCTAGCACAGGACGACCGGGTCGATTACTGTCTCAAGGCGTATATGTAAAGCACATTGATAGCTCGGAATAGCGGTTCGTAGGTCTCTCCCGTCAAGCTGCTGCTCAATAGCGGGTCGACATGTTTGACCAGCCAGGGTTTACCGTACAGGTGATCGGAACAGTCCTTCGTTCCATGTACCATAGATTCCAAAATGTTTCTGCACTCTCTATGCTACACACTGGTACAAACTGGCACCCTCATGCGATACAGCCGAGTTTCTCGGATCAGACGCCCCATCATCTAGGACTCGGCCGCGCGCGGCGCCTCAGACTTCATCGGTAGCGATGCCGATCGCGGCGGATATCAAGGGGAATCTGGACCGTCGACTCGTCCATGAACACTGCGCCTGGACTCGTGGTCGTACGCATGAACCCCCGCAGGCTCGCTCAACGGGCACTCCTAAGCAGTCTCAGACGTTGAAGAGCTCCCCTGAGTTGATCATCTTGGCATAAGTGCTGACCAAGACCATGATAGCGAATCTGCGAAACGTACAACGCTGAGTTCCCAGCATTCCAACCACCGAGAAACGTCCCGCGGTAATAGTACTTACGTCAAAATCCCCGTAGGCGGTGATCCCGAACTACTATTCCCCCCAGTATGGTTCGTTAACCCCAAAACCGCGAAAAACAACGCTACCCACAGCGGCCAGCGATTCTGGAAGAAGAATCCGGCAGCACCTTTTCATGGGAGGGAGAAGACGTGAGTTTCGAATACGGCGTTATGATGGTGGGGAGTTGCCGGACTCACCCGCGGCGAGAGCGACTGCTGTGAATGCAAAGCCGGGGTCGCTCTCTCCGGGTTTGTCGATGGGCTCCTTGCCGAGGGTTATGATACTCTCGGGGCGGCGGGGGTCCGGGTACTTTGTCCTTAGAACCATCTTGGGGTAGTGGTCTGGCTTGCTGGGGAGATGTGCGAGCTTTTGATGTCCAAGCGGCGAAAGGGGACTGCGCGTGCGAAAGCCCCTCTCCGCCCGTCTCCGGGGTTCTCGCGGGTAGACGAGGCTTTCTCCCGCGCCCATTTGAGGTGAGAGCCCCAATTGCTGCCGGCGTATGCTCCCTCTTGCTTTGGAAGGCCAGCAAGCGAGCATTTATCCCCTTCGCTACATATAAAGTCGGGCTTCGATGACCTGAACCTCTCTTCCACAGGTCTACAAACTCCGCCGCGCTAGTTCAACCTCCTCATTCCCCCAGACGACATGTCCGCCGACTCCGCTTCGGAGACTGGCAAAGTCTCCCAGGTGTGCTTTATCGTTCACGGGATGGGGCGCCAGCGGCGCTACGTCGAGAACATGGCCTCCCTCCGAAAGGGCTGTAAAGAAGTCTTAAAGGAAGAATTTGCCGATGAAGATTCGCGAGTTGCGTGGATACCAATAGAATGGCATCAGGAACTTCATGCCCTTGACTCTGTCGACCGGTGAGTCCTCTGCACAGCTTCTGCAAGTATCTCTCGAAACACAGCATCCCTTACATTGCCAAGGACAGGCGCATGAACTCCATTACCTTACCCACCTGCTCCATATTACGGGCCATCAACAACGATATCCTAGCAGACGTACTCTACTATTTCTCAAGCTATCATGGCCAGACGATACTGGACATCATCGTCCGACGGCTCAACCAAGCATACGACGATTTCTTGGTAGAACACCCGGATTTCGATGGACATATCGTTCTGATTGGGCACTCTCTTGGCGGCGTCATTTGCTATGATTTGCTTTCCAACATCGATGACCCAGCGAATTCGAAACCCGCAAGTACTCCCGACCGCGAGAGATCAACCCACTTCCCATTGCGGTACCCGCAGCTCAAATTCCGGCCAGGCGCGTTGTTCATGCTCGGGTCTCCTATAGGTGCGGTGCTCACGATGAGAGGCCAATCGCCGCTGACGTACCACCCACCACCGGAGATTCAGTTTCAGAACATCTTCCATCTGTACGATCCGCTGGTATGATTCCCTCTCGTTTACGTGTCCCCGCATAGCGCGCAGCTAAACCCGTATTCGCTCAATGCAGGCGTACCGGATCGAGCCGCTATTCGATCCCCGCTACGTAGAAGTCGGTCCTGTATGTTTGCAGCGGCCTAGCGCTCGCATTCCCACCATCACGTATTACCGGAACCTTTTCTTCTCGCAACTGCCCGATCTGTCGACTATGCCAGCGATGCCCGCCATGCCGACGATGCCGACAATGCCCGCTATGCCCACCATGCCTCCAAACATTATATCGCAGCTGCAACTCCCCCGGCCCTCGTTACCGTTGCCAACGCTGGACTTCTTCAAAGGCCACATGCCATCATTGTGGGCAGCCAGCGGGTTTTGGAGCGAGAACATTGATATGGCAGAAGAGGCTGCCCGTGTGGCAGCGGCAGACAATGCAGAAGCGGGGTGGCTGCCGAGAAAACGGCGGCGGCTGGACGGCGATACGCTATCCCCGTTCGCTGTCGAAATTCAAAGCGATGGCGACGAGGGCACGTCCCTACACCAGCGTAGCAGTCGCAAGCGAAAACGACGCGCAGTCTCGGCTGACGTGGAGGATATGCAATCTGGACCAACGGATTTGGGTGGTCGGCCGCCACGTCGGAAACCCCGGCGGCCTAGGCGGAATGGAAATGGGAATGAGAATGGAAGGAGTGCTGGTGACTCTTCCGTAACCCCGCCTCCACAATCGTCAGGACAAGAAACTGATCCACTAAGCTCCGCGCGCTCATACGCGTCCTCCGTCGCGGACATGGTGATGAAGTCCATTAAAAGCCTCTCCAGTGGGTCAGCAGGCGCCGAAACCGAGCCTACCGTCGACCCATCCGACTCCGATCTCGACGGACTGGCACCCGACGATGACCACCAGCAGTCCGATAACGACAACCCAGGCGTTCTTGGAACAACAAGGGACGTAGTCGATGAGTTGGTAGGCCGCGAAGAAGCGCTGCGGTTAGTCGCGAATGATCTGTCGCATGCGCACGATCGGCCGTACTCTGCTGGCGGGCAGACGAATGGGACGCAGCCCGAAGATCAGGCTTCTGATAGGCCCGAACATTTCTCACCGCCGCCGGACGCGGAGAGGAAGGACTTTTATGTGCAGGATAATATTATCGACAACGTCTTCCAGCAGGTGGGTGGGCGGTATTATTTCTTAAGCTAGGGACTTATTGTAGACGGCTAATTTTGCCCCTACTTTCAGTATCTGTCCGGGCTCAGAGCGCATTTCTCCTACTGGTCCAACATGAACGTCATGCATCATATTTTGGTGACCACACTGAAAGCACCGCAGGGCGAGCAGGGGCAGTCTTCCAGAACACCTCCGTAGTGATCGGCAGATAGCGCAGTTTTTTTGGTATAGGTTCAGTGTTTTGCAACAATCTCCATGTTGCATCCACGAGTATAGGTTAAGGATGTTACGTAACAGATGTTTCATGAGGTATCAAGACTTTGTGTTAGTTGCCCATGGGTAACACGTATCCTTCAGTCAGACCGCGAGGGTAACATCTTCGGTTGCCCTGATGAACACCCCTTTGTTACGCGCGGCCCTCTCCTCAAATCAAAGCTTCCTGGCTGAGCCCTTGCGCACACGGACTTGCAGCGTGGAGGCTTGCCTTTCCAGTGTCCAGCTTGTCGTACCGTGCAGACTGCCCAACAGTTGCGAAAACGTCCCTATGTGGGTATGTGAACGTAGCTACGGTGCTGAAGGTTATACTCTGTCATGTGTCCAAGGTCATCAACATCCGCATCTCATCTCTTAGGAAGGACCGGGCAACCGTTTCTACATCATTGAGCACCAGGGCAATGATTTTCTACATATAAATCAACAGTCAGCGAGATGCGTGGTGATCCTTGAATCTGCTGGAAACGGGAAGCTCTCCGAGTTCCTTCCGTCGTACCTTGATCTTCGAATCGGTCCTCGTGAAATACTCGACATACGTCTGGTTTCTGAATGCTTCTGGGTTGACCAACAACTTGCTGTAGGCGATTACCAGCAGGTCGAAGAAGGCGAAGAGGATCTGCGAGTAATCGAAGTCGAACGGCTGCATATCAAGGGCGTTAGTTTACAAGTGATCAGTGCGTCCGCTGGACTGGAAAGACGGATGATGGTGCCACGTACGATATGATGTGAATCGGCATATGCGTCATTTATGGGGTCTGAGATTGACAGAGTGGTGGAGGTGTCGGTGAGAGGACTTAGTCGAGACGCTTTTCCTAAGAATATCCGTTTCTATCAAAGCCAACATGTCAAGACCCCTCATTTAATTTCCACCCACCCGAATCTCATAAGCCATCGTTGACCCTCACGATGGCAGCATCATCACTCACCATGCGTTGCCGCGCATTGCTCCCCTGCCCACTCCCGACCCCCCCACCCTCCCCCGCCCCTCCCGTCTTCACGTCCCCAGCGCCTTCGCTCTCCATATCCCCAAACACGCCTGAAAGCTGCCTCAAAAAGTCACCGACGGTCATTATCTCCAGCAGATTGCCCAACGCATGGCCCAACCCGATCCATCGCTGTATCCGCCTGCGGATTTTGATGTGGTCGGCTTTTGGGGGGAGCAGATGTTCTGCTCTTAATTGGACGATTCCGAGGTAGTGGGCTTTCCCTTCGTAGAGGGAGATGATGTATTGGAACGTGGTGATACGTCGGCGGATGTGGGCGTCTAGGGTGGACGTTGAGAGTGTGGACTGTTGTTGAGGGTCTGTTGGGTCCATATGTGCGATAAATTCTCTGCCGAGGCGGTGAGCAAAACAGTGTCATGCAAAGGACTATTCGTTGGATACTGTGAAGGCACTCACGAGGTCTTGAGAACAGAGTACACTGTACTAGAGCAGTGCTGTCTTCACGGTATCAAACGAAGAATACGTTGGTTACGGCTGTGCTGGAGGCGATGGTTATGTGGCAATTGGGGTCGCTTGGAAGTTCAAGAAAGCAAGACACGTCGATCCAGAACGAAACGTGCAGACACAAAATGCGTACATCAGACTTATTAAAGCCTGCGCAACGCTCACGTGATGAAACCCACGTGATGGAACGCTCTCTCGGACGCTCTTTTGACCTGTACCGTACAGTACACCCTTCTGGTACTACTGTAATTGCATTCTGACAACACTGGCGCTTTGGCACAGTTGAATATTGCTCTCCATGCAGACGTGGTAGCGAGTTCAATTCCCACTCCCAGACAACTTCTTTGTTCAGATTATGACCCCTGTCGCGCTAGGCGCGGCGTGGTAACTACTGTCGCGCTCGGCGCTTCGTGGGTGTTAACTGAACAGCACAACTACCGTACGTACTATCGCAACAGAAAGCAACCTTACCCACTCTCAAACAGCTCGAGCCACGACCATTTTTCCTCTGCCTCACGGTCCTTTTCGTTTAATTCCTCCCGTTTCAGGCCCCCAATTTACTGGGATCGACAATTAGTAAATCGAGTTGGGCTCGAGATGCGCGAGAGACCCGTTTATCGAGCACTTCCGTGTGGCTCGCGGCAAAGAGTGGATTGCTGCACAGCTTTCCCGTGTCTTGTATTTGGGAATTAACCACTTCTGACCATCATCCGACAGTCAAAATGTACCCAATATACGGTACTGCACTTCTGGCCAGCCCTGGACCTGCACTTAGCAACGCCGCCGTGGCCAGCCTTGTTACTACGCTGTCCCATAGCCGCAGGTTTTCTTCACCGGTTCTTCCACATCCGCTCACCGCCATTGCCACCGCCATGGTCACCCCCATTGCCAACACCATTGCCATCGCCATTGCCAAGATCTTTCAACTTTGAACTACACACCTACAGCACACCCGTCACGTCAGCTTCCTGTTTCGCTTTTTGTTTACAAGGTGACTCCAAAACCAGTCTTCTCATTCTTGCCCCAGCAGTAATTCAAACCTGTCTGTACAGTACATCCTTTCGCCGTCGACGTTGCTCAACGTCCTGCTCTCGCCTTCCGCAATCGCTTGGGGCAGCCCGGAATAGGGGCAGTCTCGCGGTACGCTCTCGACTCCTGCAATCGCTTGAGGTGCAGCCTGGATTTGGGCACTCGCGGTACGCTCTCGACTCCTGCAATCGCTTGAGGTGCAGCCTGGATTTGGGCACTCGCGGTACGCTCTCTCGCCTTCCGCAATCGCTTCGCTGTCATAGTCGAGAACAAAGGCGACAACTCTTTCAGCCTGAGCACTGCATTCAAGCCCCAAGGCATCAGCATCCAATATGTTGCTCTAGCAATACGTTGGTCTAGCGGCACTACGCTCACCGGTGATGAAGCCACAACCATGATGGAACTGCTTTCTGAAGAAGACTTCATTACTTCACGCCGCCCACCTCCATCTCTGCTGAGATCCGATGATTATGGGTGAAAAAATGCGTGCAATTCATCAATCTCCCTATAAGCGCATATTGATTCCCACATTTACATAGCTTAGCTTTTTGCGAATCACTGTGGTTGGGCTGCGTAGGGAGGGTTAGTATATAGCGCAGTGTAGCGCTTGCCAACTTGACATACTGTACTTTGCTGCCATAGCCGTCACTCGCCTCCGGCGGCTCCCAATGTGTGAAGGGGAATAAAGTAACGAGTTCCACAATCAACCCCAGAGCTGCCCCACATCCTTTACACGCGTGTAAAAAACGTGGGGATCCCCACTCTACTCCTTCAACCCCCTTCCTTCCCGGCAATCCATCACGGCAATCACCTGCATACACCTCATCTCTAGCAGGCACGCAAAAGGCACAGCACACCCAACATGTCATCACACCAGGCGCTCCAGGGGCACCTGTGGTGTGGCATCTTTACTGGAGCAACCACACCACGGCGGAAGAGGAGGAAGGTTGCTCCGGCTACCCCGCGGTTGCCCATACGTCTGCCAACTGTGCAGACACCATTGCAATCACCCCCGCGATTTGAGTTCCCACCGTCTATCCGTCGCCACTTGCCCGAAGCCATTGCAGACATGGTCAGCGAGAGTTCCGGCGATGACGACGGGCAGCACCAGCATCGAGGGCTTTCACCTGTGAAAAGGGGTCTGCAGCGTCCGTTGAACCTCCCGGCTGACATCCCTTTCCGTTTTCCCAGCACACCGGGTGGACCCCTGGCGTATGAGCCCCCGCCTCCACCCCCGCCTCCACCCCCGCCTCCACCCCCTGCTCAACGACCCCGCCCGCAGACGCATGCCTGCACCAAGGTTTCCCTTCATCGAATCCATAATCAGAATCATCAGAATCAAGTTCAAAGGGAGCGCCTCAGAACATTCATCGGCAATGTTCACATCCTTGCGCGCCACACCACCTTCTTCCTGAAGTACTACCTTGGTGAGTTTTTGGCGTACACTACACTGTATATTTCCTGAAACAATGTCCTGACTACTACGTCTGCCCACCACAGCTGATCATCCTCTGCACGATTTCCCAGACATCATGGACAAGCACATCGGCATGATATTTGAGCTGCTAAACAATCCGGGCTACAACGGCAATCCGGTCATCACGCAAGAGTTGCGTCCATGGGTTCAAGACTACTGTAATGTTTACGGATTCGCCCCCATACGCATGCGAAATTGCCAACAGACGGCAGCATACACGGCTCAGAGCATCCTCACAAACCTCAAAGTCAACGTACAAGAGCATTTCATGCAAATGCTTCTGCGCTACATCAACGAAAGGATTGGTTTGAAGCAAGTCGCACTGCATCTCCGGAGAGCCAGAGTCAACCGAGCGCAGCGGAGACAGTATTATCAGCGGGTCCGTCAATTTACAAAATTTGCGACGTTTGAAGAGTTTCCAACCGAAGAGGAGTTTGCGCGCCTCACACGACTTGAGCAGACTGTCCTCGACGAGCTATGGGCTCTGTTTCCTCCCCAGGATGAGCCGCTTGCGTACAACCTTGCGGTGGACGCAATGCCATATTTAGGTGGGTTGCATCCTGTATCTTCACCCCCCCCCCCCCCAGGCTCGTGCGTGGCTGTGCAGTGCCTCGCTTGGTATGCCGACCTGGCTGAGTGGCTGCCTGCCAGGACCCCGGCCAACGTGGTTCGCGATGCGCTGTCGCCGCTGGGGTGCCCGCACGCTTGGCTCCTGCGGGTCCCCCCCCCTCCCCTTCTCCCCCCCTCCTCCCCCGCCTTGACGACGCCCCCAGTGCGTGCACAGCGGGCCCGGGGCACGGCCGATGCTCTTGCCCACCGCCACGGCGTCGACTTAACCGCTCGCCCCCTTCGCCCCCCCCCCCCTCCCCCTGGCTTCCTCTTTTGTCTAATCATGGTCCACTCCTGTCTCACCAGAGGTGCCTATTGTGAGCTCTCATGCCTCTATGAGCGCCGTGGAATGCGGCTGTTTTCCGCTATCCCACTGCGCAAATCTCGAATCCAGTCATCTGTTCGGATCGACACGCTGATCCTAGGCACTCATATCCTGGATGTTGGCCGACGTCGCATGGGGAAACTCACTGATGAACGCAAGCGGGAGCTGTGGGGGCAGTTTATCAACGTGAATGTAAGTCTCTATCCTTATGTGCTTATTTCAATCAGATTACTTCGCTGAATGACGGATTATAGGACAAGGTCTTCAAACATCGAAAGAAGCTTGGTCTCAAGTTCGATGGGTCAATTAGCACCAACGGGTATTCCGTTACCATCCACTTCAAGAAGCCAGGGCTCAAGTATGGGCATCGGGCCCGGAAGCGCAGCAAGGCCCAAATGCGGGAAGAAGTCAAGCAGTTGTATTTTGAGCACCACATCGCCGAACTACGGGAGGCTCCAAACATCGTCTGCATTGATCCGGGCAAGCGTGACCTCCTGTTCTGTCGAGATATTGAGAAGGAGCGGCCATTTCGGTACGTTTCAGTTGATTACTACTGCCCTGCTGTCCCCGCTACCCCCCTTCCCCCCCCCCCCCCCCCCCCCCCCGCGTCTCCGCCCGCCAGCCCCCCGTCTCCGCCCGCCAGCCCCCTGTCTCCGCCCCCAGCCCCCCGTCTCCGCCCGCCAGCCCCCCGTCTCCGCTACCCCCCCCCCCCGTCTCCGCCCGCCAGCCCCCCGTCTCCGCTACCCCCCCCCCTGTCTCCGCCCGCCAGCCCCCCGTCTCCGCCCGCCAGCCCCCTGTCTCCGCCCCCAGCCCCCCGTCTCCGCCCGCCAGCCTCCCGTCTCCGCCCACCATCCCCATTGCGGCGACATTCCGTTGCAGCGTTCTCACAATGCACCACCCCATACCAGATACACATCCAATCAACGGGCGGTCGAGACAAAATCGCGGTACTTTCGGAGAGACATGACAGAGCGGAAGATCAATGCTGGCGTTGCTGAGATGGAATCACAGATTCCGTCGCACAAGAGCATGAACATCGAGGAGTTCTCAGCGTTCATTGTGGATCACATACATGCAGGTATGATGTATCATGTATCGTCTTCAAAGTTGGGTAAACATGGGCTGACATCCATATTCAAGATCCCGCCCTGGATGAGTTTTACCGGGATGAGATTCACGTCGCTCGCAGATTCAAGGCGTTCTCACTGCGGCAAAAGTCTGAGAGCAAGCTCATTAAGAACATGCGACACCGGTATGGAAAGCATTTTTCGGTCATCCTGGGTGATTGGAGCGATGCTGGAAAAACAATGCGCTTTCAGGAGTCATCAAAGACCAAGGGGTGAGTGACCATCATTGTTTTTTATGTATTTTAATATGCTAACTCATCATGGAAATCGGATTCCGCACACTCTTTGCGAGAAACGGCATTCCATGCTACTTGCTGGATGAGTATCGAACGTCGTCCGTGTGCCCAGACTGCCACGGCCGTGTGAAGAAAAACATCCGACGCCGGCTGTCACCTTGGCCGTGGCAAGCTAGAAGGGGAAGAATGGAATACGTCCATGGATTGCTGGGTTGCCCCAACCCCGAATGTATCAACCAAGACTGGACGCCATTTGAGATTCCTGGGAGACAACCACTACGGATGAAAGTGCACAATCGGGACGTCCTGAGCACCAAGAATTTCCTCTCGATTGTGCGTTCGGTGGTGTTTGGCAATGGCCGCAGACCAGACGCATTTTCCCGTAACCGGTAGTCTAGATTTCACCCCATCCCATTTTCCGTGGTGGTTATCTGCCATCCACATTATTGTACCTCTGCCGGAGGCATCGCCGATGATGGCAACTTGTACAGTATATGCACCATGATCTCAGACACAGTCACTTCAGCTTTGCATGACACCCATCATTTATGCATTCGATTATATGAAGGGCTGTCCCCGTCAATGGCCTCCCTCCCCATTCTGCTGGACATCCCAACTCATTACGCTAATAGCGTTGGCCAGACATACGACTGTCCGAATATCCCCAACCTGACGACAGATGTCCTAGTGACCCCTAGATACGAGTGGCGACAGAGGTGTATCCACCGGCCACACTCGTATCGAATGCATTATTCATCGTCACCCATCAAATCCGCCAGCTCCTGTTCCTCCTCTGCCGTCATCTTGACCTCCTTTTTCCATTTTGACTTTGCTTTCGGGATGATCTGTTCGTCCGCTTGTATCTTCAATGGCTCTTCAGCCGTGCTCGCACCTTTCTCGAGGTCTTTCGCTAGTACGTTGATAGAAGCATGATTTATCACAAAAGTCAGAGCGAGCTGAATGCACCATATGAACTTACGTGTGATGGCCCAACTCCGTATCGTCCCATCTAAAGAGGCGGTCCATAGTGTAGAGCCTCGGAGCTTGATATCCGAAACTTCTCCAAAATGCCCGGTCAGGACTTTCACACACTTTTCTGTCTGTTTACAAAATCCTGTAAGTCAATGGCATAAGGTTTGGGCTCTGGCCTGGATGTTGAAAACTTACGCCGACGTCCCATATCCGAACATTCTCGTCCCGACAGCCAGTAGCCAAGTGCGCTCCACCAGGGAAAACGCAAAGCGAGCGGACGAAGTCGGGATGCTCGAACGTCGAATCTGCTATGTTTGTCTGATGAAGTCCTGACGTCAAACGGCAGTCTTTTCGAGCAGACAACAGAGGTTTGAGCGATGGTAAGCAGCATACCTCCAGATCCCATCGTTTTGCCGTTTTGTCCGCGGAAACTGCGTTATGAGGTAAAAGGGGTGGTTTCATGAGCTCCGCCCTGTACATCCTTGCGACAGGTAGCACCACCTACCTGACCACAGAGACCCCTCCGCAATTTGCAACGCATAGACCGAGGTTTGATGCCCAGTCAGGTTTTCAACAACCTGTCCAGTTGCAATGTTCCATTTCTTGATCGATGTATCAGACGACCCAGAGAATATATGGAGGCCGTCCTCTGCAATCACTAAATCCTCCACAGCTCTGTTATGATCTTTGAAGACTCGCACACAGGCCCCCGTCGCAATGTCCCATTGCCGTATCGTGCTGTCGCTGGATGCACTGAAGATCCATTTGTGGAAAGTGATCACTCGTTTGACGAAGTCTGAATGGCCCTCTAAGGTCGCTAAGAGAACGCCTGTCTATTTGGGTGGCCAGTAAGTCAGCAGGCACGGTAGAATCGCAACTGACTCCGCTCCGCTCAACGTACCTTCACATCCCACTTCTTGACCGTCTTATCCCACGACCCTGTGAACAATTGTACGTCGTTTCCCGAAGCATCGTGCACCACTGCTACTGTTGTTACCGGCCCGGAATGCCCTCTGAATGTCATGATGGGCTTGCCAGTCTTCATGAACGTATGGAAAAGGAGGTTGTCCCCAGTAAGTCAGTCCAGGGCCCTTCGTCTTTCAAAGTTAACCCGCTCCAGCCAAGAGCTCGTCACCTTGCCTTCAGCTCTATCTTCCTCGCAACATGTCCAGACTCCGCAATGTAGGCGTACTCGGCCGCCCCTGCAGGAATGTTTTCCACAATTGAGAACGCCAACACCTTAGAGGTGAGCTGGTAAGGATTCCCGGGTGCCTTCTTCCCAGACAGTTGCGTTTTCTTCTGTTCGCGTGCTCGTGCAATCTCTAGATCGCGGTCGGATTGGAAGAAGTTCTCCGCGTCGGACGAGTAATGAGGGCCTAGCGCGGACCCGTCAGTCTGATGTTTGAGCATATTGAAGGCTCCGGATAGTCGTTTGGAGAGAGTGTAAGGGCAATGGCGAAACCTGGACAGTTGCGCAAGTTCGGTTCTACATACGAGACGCGAACGAGGTTGCACTGGTTGCAAGTTGAAATTTGGCACGCCATAACCCAGGGCATGGCCATAACCGCTGAACTGAACGAAACCGGAACAGAATACATAGCACAGATAACCCGGTGGTGACAGTCCAAGGAACTAAATAGCTGCTCGTACTTCGGAACCACCTACCGCCATGGCAAGTGAACTTCAGGACCTCTTCGGGAAGCTCCGAGACTCCTCTGAAGCGGCCGAATACACCACAATAATTGAGCTTGCGGACCGAAGTAAGGCGTGTCTTCGTACTATTGACTGCAGTATTCCACTGTGCTCACAAAAACTTTGTCCATAGTCTTGAAGCTTTCCAAAGGGGACGTCGATGCCTTTCATGCCAAGGTGGGTCGTCGTATAGCTCACGGTCCCCACCTTTACCACTCCTAAATGTAGAACCACAGATCGTAGCCCTCATTCGCTTGGAGCAATATGCAAAAGCGTTGGATGTGCTGAAAGTCGTTCCGGCAAACCTGAAGAAAGAATTGATCTTCGAGAAAGCATACTGCGAATACCGAGCGAATCACCTCGACGAAAGCCTCGCTACCATCCAGAAGAACTTGCCTGAGGCGACTCGAGTTTTGGGGCCGGGTGGCGCACGCAGTCTGCGGCACCTCGAAGCTCAAGTGCTCTATCGATTAGAGGAGTACGACGAGTGTCTCGATTTATACACTATTCTAGATAAGGATGCCACGGAGGAAGAGCAGGTTGAGCTTCGGGCGAATATTGCCGCTGTGAGGGCCGCAGCCGCAAGTGCTGGAGTTGCATTGGCCGAAGAGATGGACCTCGATGAGCCTCTGGACTCATACGAGATGATGTACAACACGGCATGCAAACACATCGCAAACGGGCATCTCGATGATGCTGTTCCGCTGTTGGACAGTGCCAAAGCGGCATGCCGGAAGTCCCTTGTGGAAGAAGGATACACAGAACAAGAGATTGCCCACGAGCTCGGAATCATGGACCTTCAGCTGGCGTACATCCGCCAGGTTCAAGGAAAGCACACCGAGGCGGCCCGACTGTACGATGCAGTGTTGAAGGTTCCCGGGAATGATATGGCCGTCACGGCTGTGGCCTCGAACAACCTCGCAGCATTGAAGCAGAGCCAGGACGCCCACGAGGCGGCCACTCTACTGAAGAAAGGCGCATCTTCTTCGGGACTTCAGCACAAGCTTAACAAGTCGCAACGCAACGTTATTGCCCTCAACAATGCTTTGTTGTCTCTTTTCATGAAGAAAAATAGGGATGCGCGCCACAGAGCGAAGGCTGTGCTGGAAAAGTCACCGAACGACGAGAACGCGCATCTGCTCCTTGCCGCGATCACTTTTCAGGAGAGCAAAACACCTGCGAAGGCTTTGGAAGAACTCAAGGGATATGCCAAGACGTTGCCGGACGCGTTGGGGATCCATCTGGCGATTGCACAGTTGTTGATCGGACAGAACGATGTCAGTGGTGCATTGAGCGCCCTTTCGCCAGTTGTCGAACGGTCGTCCTCGGAACATAAATACCGACCTGCTGTCGTGTCCCTGCTTGTCTGGCTATATGGTCAGGCCAACGAGGCCGACAAGGCTGTACAGGTGCTTCAAGCAGCTTCAAAGTTCTGGCAATCGGAGAGCAACACCAAAGTAAGCCTTTGTTGTGAGCATGTGATGTTGTACGTAGTTGCTGACCACATCCGCCCATCAGCATGACCCCGCGAGTCTCAAGCAACGAGCCAATCTCAAACTTCGAGCTCAACAGCCGGTCGAAGCCGCCAAAGATTTCGAAGCGATCGTCAAAGAAGACCCGTCAGATCTGGAAGCCGTCGCCGGACTCATCACAGCTTACTCCGAATTCGAACCAAGCCTGGCTGAGCAGTATCAGACATATCTGCCGGCAAACGCCCGAAGCAAGCCGACTGACCAAGATATCGAAGCGTTGGAAGCTCTGACTCTCAGTAAGGCGAAGAAGCGTAGCCGGGAAGGGGACACGGACGGTCTTCGCAAGATTGTCAAGAGGAAGCGGAAGCCGATTTTGCCCAAGAACTTTGATCCCAACGTCAAGCCAGACCCAGGTTTGTGACATTTGTTGAGTTTCTCGATAATCTTTATCTCTCACACGCTGCATTCTTCCAGAGCGATGGATTCCCAAACGTGACCGGGCTGCATTCGCGAGGAAAGGGAAAGGGAAGAAGGACATTGGTAGAGGGTCTCAGGGCGCTGCTCTCGTCGGAGGAGGAATCGGTAAGCGGTTTTCCTGTCGAGTCGCACTGATGGCGCGGTGATGGTGATATTATGTTTTCGATGTAGGTGGAACCGGAAGTGCCAACATAGGTGGTAGCGCTCGAAGGTAAGAAGCGTTTTGCTTGCAGAACAGACATCATCCCGGACTTCGGCTGACCTCTTCTTCTGGTCTCTTAGCTCCGTAACGGCGAAAGAAACGCCACCACCAGCAAGCCCGGCGGTGCCTCCTCAACCAGCTCCCGCAGGACTCTCTGTCGGGCCTGCAAAGAAGAAGAAAAAAGGAAAGAAGTAGAATAGAGCAGTTTCGTGAGAAAGGTGTATGCTCTGAATGCTATTGATTTACAAACCCCTGCAACTATGGGATGCATATTTGCCCTCTATAGCGAGACTAGACTACGCCGATATCTACTCATCGCCCAAATATCATCTGGGTTCAGCCGAGTTGGTCTACTCCATCTCAACCCTGACGGTGGTCGATCGTGAAGCTCCGCTCTCATGGTGGGGCCGCTCCGCTAGCCTCGTCCCACTCGGATAAAAACTGTGCAACATAAGCCTGCATAAACTCATGGCGAGTCTGCGCCATTTCCTTGCCTGTCTCCGTCCGCATCCTGTCTTTCAATGTGAAAAGTTTCTCTGCGAACGCAAATCAGTCAATCCATCAGGTCGGCGCAGACGTTTGCGGCGATTGTAACGTACCATAAAAGTGGTTGATGGCCGCTCCTTTGTTCTGCTTCAGCGCGTTATCGTACTCGCCCTTCGTCAGTTGTTTCGCTGGCAGCTCTGTGGGATCGTGCAAAACGCGACCCCGGGCTCCGCTGAACGCCATACAACGTGCGATGCCGATAGCTCCCATCGCATCTAGTTCTGAATGTGAAGACTTTTGTTCATGACTGGCCTCTGCCTTTCCGACTCTGAATAAGGCAGCTCTCACTGTCGGCGTCCCGGACGATGTCCAATACAAGGTCAAGGGCCTTTGCTACATCGTCCTTTTCTGCCTCCGGAACCCCATCGCTTGGGGCCTGTAGTTCTTTCCTAAAAGAGACATTTTCGACGACGTAGCACACTTTGCCGGCCACATCGCTCGGGACTTCATTTTGGTTCAGAAATTCCATGAGCACTTCTCTGTGCGTCCGACTGCTGTGATGCCCCGTTAGCGGTGGTACTCTATCTCCCTGACATCCACATAGGCAGGCGTCCTACTCAGTCTGATACTGAATGATGGTCGTGGCAAAAGCGTTGGCATGGGCAGCCCAGATGGAAACCGGGAATTCAGAGGCAGCACCCCCCCACCTTCGCGTCTCCAACGTCGTGCAAAAGAGCAGCCAACTCCACCAACGACAAATCTATCTCCACATCAGCATTCCTCCGTTCGTTGCGAGCAATATGCAAAGCAAGATGGCGAACTCTGTCCACGTGGCACCAGTCCTGTGGAAAAGGCGTTAACAGCACTCATCCACGAGACCACAGCCAAGGGAACGGGCTTGGCATAACCGTCCTGTGGGTGCGGAGTGTGGACCTACGTGAGACGGGTCGTTGTTCGCCATGTGCTGCTTGACGAAGACCTCGGCCTGCGCTATAGCGGCCCTGTCAATGACCGTTTGTGCTGACATGCTTCCGAGCCTGCACTTGGGAGATGCGACCGGCCGCTAGCTCGCGGGGTCGAGGTTGCTTATACAGTACAGTATGTGGGAGGAGGTGCCACGCGAGAGACCGGCAGAACACTGACGCAGGACGCTCAGGACGCGTCAAACCCCTTGGCTGGCCCTTGGCTGTCGTTTCGCTAGATAGTAGATAGCTGAGTAGATAGGGACACTGGGAATCTCGTTAGTCCATTCATCCGCGTCACTAATAAGATGGCCTCCATAGTCCCACCACGATACCCGCTCAACTGGGAGCAGGTCAGCGTTCCCTTTCGTCCCTATCATCTCGGCATTCTTCCCGAGATGGCGGGGCGGAGCGTGCACGTCGGAGTTCCAAACCCAACATCCTTCGTCGCACTAACACTCCTTCCTCGCACGGTAGATACGGCACATCGTCGATACAGGACAGTGGGAAAAGTTCTCTCGGGAACAGAAAGGTCCGTGAACATGTCAGTCCCGGCTTTGACCGAGCACAGTTTCGTTAACGCTCCTCTTTTGCGTTAATGTCGAATACAGTGATCGATGACTACGTGATATGGCGGGATAGCGTGCAACGGACGTACAATGCTGCTGCAGGTGTGAATCATCTCCTCAACGTTGCGAGAGGGAACTGTGGCTTGGGAAGAGCTGAACGCGCCCGTTGTCAGATCAACTCCGCATAGAGATCTTTGGATGGGCATCCGAGCTGGATCCGGCGACGAATCGACTACGGGCGATACCCGTACACAGCACGACAACCGTCCCGACGCCAAACGGGTTTGTCGATGCTCTCTCAACCGCGCCTGTCGTTCCAGTCGTCGACAAAGTCCTCAGGCAAAACTTCTACCCATACTGGACGACGCCGGCAGGGGAGATCACGCATTATGTGCTATGGTCCGTAGAGGAGATGTCCGCAGAGGAAGTGGGAGCGTTTTGCGAGCAAGAGAAGCCTGGATACGAGTTTATCTATTTCGTAAACCCGCCACATAGAAAGACGATACCTGAGATACATCATTATCACGTATTCACTCGACTGAAACAACCTACTAAGTAGCGTGGGTGCGGAGAGACATTTGATATCCAGGGACTAGTTCCCGCATGTAATCTAGATTAGGAAGAGTTCTTTTCTCTATCTGTAAGCAACCTGGTCCAAATGCGGACAAAGCCTTGTCTATCGGCCGTGATGAGAGAACGCGTTCCGAAACATAGAGCAGAAAGGGGGGCGTGATGTAGTCGGAATCCTTCCGCCTTTTAGGTAGGAAAGTGAAGTAAGTCATTGGACTGCTCTGCGCCACCTCCACACATTCTGCGTACCTCTAATGGAGCTAATGTGGGGACGTCAAACCGCGACAAGACCGGATGTGCCCCGTCGGCGTTAGTCAGGGGCTCGGTTTCGCCTACTTGCTTACGGCTCTGCAAGGGATAGTCATCAATACGCGTAGTACCCCTGGTGAATGCTTAACCGTGATGCTCACCGTCTTTGGCGGCCTGTTGAGCTGCGCCAGCGAAAACTCCCATAGGAAGAGCCGCAAGTCCTCTGCCGAGCCCATTAACAATGGGATTCAAGCAGGAGGAGACAAGTGAAATAGGCACATACCTCCGATGGAAGCGAATCTATAGCTATCTCTATTGTCATGTGGTGGCATGGACTCAAACGCCACACCGCTCACCCACGACGAGTGTCCATGACATCGGGCAACGACGCCTTTACCAATCTGCCATATTGTGACGATATCGTCCTGGCCGCCGGTCAATATGTATTTCCCATCTGAAAAGGAGGGCTGTCAACTTGTATGGCTTCTGAAACTGGGAAGACGTTGCAGCCCAACTAACCGGGTGAATAGTCTATACAGGTGATGCCGCCGTAATATGTGCGATATGTCTCCACTAGTTTCTCCTGGACGAAATGAATGATGCGGAGATGGCCATCGAGTGAAGCGATGGCGACATGTTCTGTATCTGGCGAGAAGCAGATGGCTGTGGTGCAAGGAATCGATATCGTTAAGATCATTCCGTCCTCTATGATCGAAATCGCACCTGTCTCAGTCGAATTACCGCTGATGGCCTTCCTCCCCACTTGCCAGTACCCGCACGGATTATGCTTGCCCAGTTTGAATGGCCGTATGAGAGAGAAAAGCCTGTAAAAGAGTCAGTAGAGCGCCATAGCCCGTTAACAGATGTGCTTACTCGTTATCGTCCGCGGCTGGCGGCGCGTATGACGGCGCGGATGACGGCGCGTATGCACTTGTAGGGTCGTCTTTGTCCTTCTCGAAGATCACCACACTACAAGGCCGCAGTGAGCACGATTGTACGAAGACATTCAATTCTGATCGCGCCAACCTTCCATCTTCGAAGCCGGCTACGAAGCAGTTATCTCGCGGCCCAGGCTGGGAGAAAGGGTCGTTCAGCACCACTAGTAGCATCTCAAAGACGGTCGACACCCTCACTTACAGGCATCCACTTGACGGATGTCACACCACTGCGGTTGACAAGACCCTGCGAAGTCGCGTAAGTACGATCCATTCAAGTCGTCGAGTTCTGGAGAATCATACTTGCTTATTCATCCTGGCAAATTTCCCTGGGACTGGAAACCAAGCCAGGATGTCTCCCGTATCAAAACCTGGAGAGGTCGATCCATTTAGCTACTTTTGTTTCAACCCAGTGTTGCAATGCCATAGTCACCAATAATCGTTTGCAGTTCCTGAGAGTTCACCATGTAACAATCGACGGCAGTAACAGACGCATCCCTAAAGTTCAGAACCGCCAGCGGTTCCTATTCCACAAACCGTATCAGGAATCGCTCGGCCGCTTGTACAGGACCAGCCACTCTACCTTGCTCTTACAAGGAAAATCAGTCAAGGCAACTGTTCGGCCCATGTTCACCAGCATAAAGCACAGCTCGTGTCTGAACTCCAATATGGTTGCCAGCTGCTCTCGTGCGATCGCTCTCGTGACGAAACTCGTCGACGTCGCTGTTTTGCTCGTGGTGCCCTTTACTTTCTTGCTTTTGCTTTTGTCTTTCTGGATGAGCGAGAAGCTGCCTTTGTCGTCACCGTTGAAAGGAATGTCCACGAACCGAGGCGGCGCCGCGAGAAGCGTTTCGAGCGCCGGTGGGTTGATGAAGGTCCCCACTTTCTTGGGGTTGGTGAATGTTATGGTGCATGTCTCTGCTGCATTCTCGGAGTACCTGTCCAGCCGCAGCTCGCTCGTGAGAGTAAACTCCCCGTCCAGGCTGTGGAAGCTTGAGGCTACGTCTGGCGCTTGCATGCCGCCAAGATGAGAAAACTGCAGGTTCTGTTGAGAGTACAGGATGGCTGGAGCGAGTTGTATGTCATGACAATTGGTCCACAGAGCCCCAGGGAACGCACGGGCGGGAAGAGGACAAACCCCTACGCGAGCCTTTGGACACTTTCGAGCTTTCGACAACAACTGCAAAGGACACATCGCGGCGAAACCTTGCATACAAACTTCAACCACGGAGCTAACAAGGACTGTTCTTTCCTCGAGTCCGCTGGCCTGCCCTTAGTGAACTAGCCTCAATGTTCGGTATGTGAGCGTACCTTTTGTGGTATTCGTGCTTCCTTTCCGGCATCGCGACTAACCCTAGATCACCACAGGAGGGCAATTCGGTCAACAGCAGCCAGCAGCTGGCGCTGGAGGCTTCGGTGGGTAGACCTCCGTCATTAATAGGGCCGGACTGTCTGTATCTGATAAATTCCGCTTCACTCCAGGTGGCTTTGGAACCTCGCAGCCAGCAACGACTTCAGCGTTCAGCTTTGGCACATCCAAATCAGCAGCACCGACCTTCAGCTTTGGGGCAACGTCTCAGCCAGCTGCACAACCTGGCTCTTTAAACTTCGGGACGTCGCGGCCACAGACCGCTGGCACGACGGGTCTCTTTGGGGCGGCTCAACCCGCAGCTTCGACCGGTTTTGGAGGGTTCAACCTGACGAGCCAGGCCCCAGCGCAGGCTCCCGGGACAGGATTATTTGGGCAACCGGCGACATCAGCACCTTTGTTTGGGCAAGCTACCGCGTCTACAGCGCCGGGCGGTTTTAGTTTCGGTGCGCCGGCTCCAGCGGGCGGATTGTTTGCTCAACCTACGAGCCAGGGAGCTGGCACGGGCTTGTTTGGCGCGTCTGCTGCACCAGCTACTGGTCTTTTCGGTGCGCCTGCGACGGGAACGACTGGGCTGTTTGGTGCGTCTGCTCCGGCCACTGGAGGTTTTGGGGCCAGTCAAGGGGGGTTCGGTGGTTTTGGTCAACAACCCACTGCACAACAGCAACAGCAATTACAGCAAGGTATGAGCCCACTGCGGGTCCTTTCGGAAAGTCTCCGTTTCTCAACAGTCCTATCCTCATTGCAGCGCCGCAACAACCGCAAACTTTGGGAGAGCATCTACAATACATAGCCACAGCATGGAACCCAGATAATCCGCGGTGTCAATTCAAGGTTCGTCGCTGACGATCCGCCTCATTCATCAACACGACTGGCTAATCTTCTTGTGGACAGCACTACTTCTATAACATCGTACATCCCAGTGAAGTTCGGAATTATGGGCCACAGCAAGGGGAGGACTTGGCCCTTTACCAACAAGCGCAACGGGACAACCCTGACCCCAACTGGTATGCGTCGCTTTGGTCGTATATTAAGGGTGAGGATGGATACTCATTGGCAGCTTCAGCATGGTACCGGTTCTCGCGATAGGGTTCCGAGACATTAAGAAGAGGATGGAAATGCAGGATCAGGCGTATGAGGCTCACAAAGCAAAGTTAGAGGTGAGCATTGTTCGTTCGGAGAAAGACTTGGTCACGACATCGTCACCGATCGAGTTCTAATTCGCTCGGTCGCATAGGAAATGGGCGGAAAGCTAGCCGAACTGCAAAGAACGCACTTTCTGGATACGTCTGCGAGACTCGAGGAGTACAAGCGGAGACAAGCCGCCTTGGTCGCCAAAGTCCTACGGGTTCGCATCTCCTTCAACCACCACGTCATCCCTTCTTTACACATCACTAATTCTTCCCCACAACAGCTAATGAAACAAGTGCAGCTAGTCCGCAACCGCGGCTACTCGATACGAGCCGAAGAAGAAAAGTTCAAAACGCGTCTGGAGGCCATGGAGCGCGAATTGCAGAAACCCTCGGTGTTCCGCGGACGGTTGAACGAGATCTGGGCGCATTTGCAGCAGAATAAGAGCTCGAAGCAGTTTTCGCTGACGGGGGGTGTCGATACGAGTTATCAGATTGCGAATGAGCAGCAGCTGGGGTTGATGTATCAGGTGAGGGATGTCCGTGCCCGTGCGTTTTATCATTGCGGAGCCTGTTGTCTGACCACCGATTGCATCGTCACTTTTTTTTTCCGCGCAGACGCTTGCGGGTCATCAAAACGGGCTAGCGGTTTTAACGGAAGTAGCGCAGCAAGATGCAGCGGATATCGCAACTACGTTTGGCGCATACGAGGAAGCTGGGGTCCATAGACGATGACCTCCTGAACCCACTGAAGTTCCGTAATAAGTTATTTTACGCATACCCACCCTCCAGATAACACCAGCACTCTGTTTATTGTATATATGTATATAAATGACCGCGGTCTGTGGACTGGGGGAAATCTAACAATGGGAGACTGATGTCCTATTGATACGTCGCCGGAGTATGGGGGGTTTTACGCCGCTGGGACCTTGTGAGAACTCAACATAAGCAAGGAATAGTACGCCAGAGCAGCTAGTCCGTCGCGACGGCACCCGTCCAACGCAATCGGGCAGCCCGTCCGCGAGCCTACTTACTCCAGTCCCGCCGAATCAGTACCATTCACCGGCAAAGATGGCCGTATGAGCCACACCGTCGTCCTTGATGAAGCCGCGATACATCCCGGTGGTGTTGAATGGAAGCGTCACTGCGTGGCGATAGCTTATGAGCCCGAATGATGCCATAAATGCAGTGCAGTTCAACGGAATAGCTCACCTCGCCCCTGTCCGTCAACGGCAATGACACCACCGGCCCCCCCAGCCCCCTTCAAAGTCTCATGCACAGTCGCATGCGCCGCTTCCTGCACAGAAACATGCTTTCCGCAATACTTCATGCGCGCAACAATGTCATGCGCCACAGCATATCGTATAAAATACTCGCCATCACCCGTGCCCGAAACGGCAGCGTAGCCGTTCTCCGCATAGGTGCCAGAACCAATCATGGGCGTGTCGCCGATCCGGTATGTGTACTTGTTGTTCTTCCCACCGGTGGATGTTGCCGCTGCGAGGTTGCCGAATACGTCCACGGCACAAGCGCCTACTGTGCCTTGCGGGTACAGATCGGGGACTTTGCTCTCGTCAGTTGCGGAATAGGAAGTGATAGCAGGTTCCTTGTGAGAGGAAGCGAGGGCCGGGCCTTCGCTTATATGCTGCTGCCAGCGGTGTTCCGTGTAGAAGTACGTTGGATCCACAATCTCCAAACCGTTTGCGTCGGCAATTTTCTCGGCTTCTACGGAAGCAAGGAAGACGTGCGGAGTTGTGGTTTTGATGATCCGCGCCAGAGAGATTGGGTTTTTGACCGTCGTCAGCTAGAGATGTTGTTGCCGTCAGATGCGGTGTTGGGTTCGCTCAGGCCATATGTCTTGACACCACTTCGGGCCCCTCACCAGTGTAGCCGCCCCGGCCTCAGCATTCCTTCCGTCCATTATAGAAGCCTCGCAGACGTTCTTGCCGTCACGGCTGAAAACCGCTCCCTTTCCTAGATGTGCCAAATGCCTCGTTGATAAGTCCTAGAATTGAGTGTCCTGCATCGTATGTAAAAGCCAATCCTTGCCTGCATTGAACAAAGGACAATCTAGGCAATGGACAGCGTCTCAGCACTGCCCGTCGCAAGGTATGTAAGAGTGCGGGGCACATACCCTCAAGCACGCGCACAGCAGCCTCTACCGCCTCCAAGCTGCTTCCAGACGCTTTCAAGACGGCTGAGCCCGCGTGTAAGGCCTCCTTCAAGCCCAGGACATACTTCTCCCTCACGGCGGGTGGCAAGTCTTCTGGGGACATCACTCCAGCACCTGTGAGGGAGGGGATGGTCGCGTGAGAATGGGGTCATCGCCAGCAGGAATACAGCTGGCGGCGTACTAACCGCCGTGGATCACTAGAGAGAAGTGTGAAGGTTTTGCCTATGTGTGGTGTGAGAAAGGTGAGAAGGTTGGCTTCGAAGATGGCTTCGTTTGCAGCACGAATTGCAACCGGACAGACGCACCATTGCCGCATCTATCACGGGGCCTTCTGAGACCACCGCAGAGGTAGTCGAAAGCGTTGACCTCTTAGGTTTCGTTAGTGCGTTCCCCATCGTAGTTGTTTGCTCTCTTTCGTGCGTGGGAAAACTGGGAAGGTTCAATGCAGTGCGATGGCCAGAACGGATTCTGCTCACCTGTTTGTCACACCTGACAGACCTGACGCGTACGGAAAGACGTTAACATAAAAACTTGTTAAAATCACGTGCTCTGCCTTTGCACTTCCGACCCTGGAAGTTTCGAGCTTCATGTCACTTTTTGGTCTACCCCGAACTTTTACGCAACCATGGCACCAGCAGCAACAGGACGGAGGCACAACCAAAAGCGGCAGGAGCACTCGTTAGTGTTCTGTCCAGACTGCGGGTCATTGCTGGATGCGCCCTCAGGGGCAGAGGACCATGTCACCTGCGGAATTTGTGGGGGTGTTGTCGTTTCTGAAGGTAGGCTTCGGGAAGAAAGCTGCCGGTGGAAGAGGGTCAAACGAAGGGGTGCGGCCTGCTGTGGGCACGCCTTGGGAGTGGGGTTGCTAATGTCGTTCTTCATTGAAACAGCTTTCGAGTCAGTGCAAGTCGTAACAAAAAGCCGACCAGACGCATTCCCCGACCGACCAACGATGAGGAAAAAGCTGGAGGAGGAGGAATCAGGGGACCGGACGAGTCAACATCTGAGGGACGGGGCTACGGTATGTCGCTCGAGATTTGGTGTCTGGACCCTCAGGGGAGGGTACGGGAGAAGGATTTGCTGATGAAGCTCGATTTGATGTGGATCCGCAGATCAAAGAGAAATGTCCAAAATGTGACGCACCAGAGATGGTATTCCACACAGCGCAATTGCGGTCCGCTGATGAAGGGCAGACTGTGTTTTACAGTTGTGTGAAGTGCGGGTACGTAAACTACAATAGAAGCTCTAACATCCAACCCACCATCTGAGAGACTGGTCAATTTTCCATCAACCAGGCACAAAGAACGAATGAACTCATAGACAACGCTCCGAAATCATTATCTATTCCCCGGCGGCGAGATCCGACGAAAATATCTAATCTACGGCCATTCCCGACATATCTGCTACATAGCCACCCATGTATATAGGCACACCACGCGCGAATATTTATCTTGCTAGAGATCCAGATGCTATTGGTTCACTGGTCGGCCCCTCGAGGAACAGGCCCTCCGCGGACGGTCTGCAGCTTGCTGACGTATAATGATAGAAACGAGCACATCCTTGCGCTGGGGCCGCGGTGATCCAAGTCAAGCGGCGAACGGGATCCCCCACCAGAGCCCTACCTAAACTCGAATCCATGTCTCCAATCTACATGCTCTATCCACCTCACTTTACGCCTAAGCTCTCCAGCTGTTTCCGCAGATCATCCAACTCCTGTTTGACGGCGGCTTCTCCCTCCGCTTTCTTAATCTGCGTCAGCTCCATCTTCTCCCCAGCGGCTAATTTCTGCTTGATATCCACGATCTGTTTCAACTTCTTCGCTGCGACTTTTTGTTTCTTTTGCAGAGCCGCGATGGCTTCTTCGGATGCCCCGGCAACGGCGGGGATGAATGCGGGCGCTTCAGGGGCGGCTGGTAGTGCGTCCTCCTGTACAACACCAAAGAGATGTGAGGAATAAGAGCAGAAAAAGCGGGTGGAACACACGAAACGTACCTTCTTCTTCGCATCACGTTTCTTCTTGTTCTTATTTGCCGTTTTCGATGCGTTGTTATTGCTATCCTGCCGCGCAGGCATTCCAGGCACTCCACCACCACCTCCACCATTCGCCTGACGGCCAGGCCCATCCGATGGCGGCGTCGACGTTCTGTCTGTGAAAAGCGAGGGTGTCGGACCCCGGGCCCCCGGTGGCCTGTAGACGCCCATGGGTTTCGCGGGGGCTGGAGGCGTCGCCGTACCGGATTGCGGCGCTGGAGAGAGGTTCCGGATCTCTGGCCAGTTTTGTGGCGGGCTGTGCCTCCATCCGACCTGGTACATCTCCTTCACGTCGATGGCGTGCACCAAAACGCCCTGGTAGTGCCATATTTTGATGCCGTTGTCGACCTTCAGCCGTTTGTAAAGCGTCGCGGTCATGATGTGGCGACCATCGGGAGACCAGTCGCATGTGGATGTGTTGGCGGCGTGTATCGTTGTGAGTTTCTTGAATGTTTTCCGGTCCCAAATATCCAGGTCACCCGCCAAATTGCCAAACCCTCCGATGAACAACAATCGACCGTGGGCATTGAATTTGACGGTGTTTCGGGCAGCCTGGCCGAATTCGTAGATCGGGTTTGCACGGTGGTCGAACAACGTCGCTTTTGCGGGCATCGAGCCGTAAACAACCACAAATTCCTTGGCATTTGGGCTCCATGCGACATCGTGGACAGGTCCGGGCTTGTCTGTGGTGACATACATGGTCAGATAATCAGCCATACACCTCTGATCGCCATTCGGGATGAAACCTTCGTACCTAGCTCTACTCTGCAGCCAAAGCTGCCAATGGTCGAAAGGAAGTACAATTGCGTCTCTCCATAATATGATTGTCCAGTGTTGTCCACATCCGTGTGCGTGAACACAATAACGTTCGTTCCCAGCTTATCCCAATGGAACTGAACGCTGTCCGCTCGGTAAAAGGACTTGTGCGATAGCGGAGTGCTGAAGTTGTCGACGCCATACAGAGTGACCGCCGCAGGACGCCCCTTCTTCTCCGGAACGAACGCAGCGACAACAGGCTTCAACCCCGGTGAAATGGAGAAGTCCGTAACTCCTTCCACCTTCAGGCGTGACTCAACGCCCTTCCCAACGTCTTTGGCGTTGAAAATTTGGACCTCATTGGTCGCCAAACGCGCGAAGAGGGCTTCGTCCTCCGTCCACGTCACGTTCCAGCCCTTCTGGTTCTTCTGTGAGAACCCAGTAACCCTTTCGCCAGTGGCGACATTCCAGATCGCCAGGTTCTGGTGCGCCGGAGCTTGCGGGTCTGCCTCCTTCACGAAGCGCTCCCAAGTCGATAGGTAGCTTCCTTGAGGAGAGAACTCGATCTCAATGACGTTCTGCAAAGGAATCTCTCGAACCAGCTCGTTGCTGGACGCGTCGAAAATCTTCACATGAGCTGCCAAAACCCAGGCGATATAGCGACCTTTCGGGCTGTAGGAGAATACTCGCACGTCGTCGGAGCTGCAAAACAGACAGTGGCCGTTCAGCTCCAACCTTCGGGAGGACAGTAAAGATCATGCACTCTACCAACCTAGAGAATCCTTCAACCGCAGCATTGCGCGGGGGTCCGTCGGCAACGGAGAAGCCGGCGTTGCTTCGGACTGCAGAATAGGATGAGTGAGCACGGGAAGGAGTCTCGTTTAAGAAGCGAACGACAGTGTGAACATACAAGCAAACTGTGCTGGGGGACGAGCGGTGGTCATTGCTGAACTTCCTGAATATGAGTTGCGGCGTTGCTCTGCGTGGACACAGTTTCCGAAAGGACCCGTGTTGAAGTTGGGTTGAGTGGGAGGGCTGCGGCGCTTGACTGTCTTCCTCGAAGTCACCTGCAGGGGAGGGAGCTCTGATCGGAGTCTGCCCTTGTGCTGTGAATCTGGCGAAGTCCCAGAAGCCTGCCCAGTGCCCAGAAGCGTTCTCCAAAAGGGAGCTCCAATCGCGGTCACGTGCCCATCTAATAAAATACGGACAACGCGGACGCCCGTATTGCGAGGGCGATCGCCAGCTAGCTCTCCCTGCCGCGCTGCCTGCCGCGCCAAATGCTGCCAAATGATAGGTTTCGACTCCACCGACGCGCGACGAGCTGACTCAGATAAGAATTCCGCGCTTACGTCGAGCTGCGCTTTCAATGGGGGAAAAGATTCCACTTTCCACCCTCAGGAAGCTTTATGAAGAGTGTCCCAAACGGGAAGCTGCAGTTTCTAATACAGGAGGGGGTGCTAGAAAATACTGAATCTCATTGTATGGGTGGCTTTGTTTGTATGTAGTAGTTTTTGCAACTTGTGTGTCAAAAGACTTTGTTCTATAATGATAAAAAGATAGACCCCGCCGAAGGTCTGACTGACAGACTATTGACAGGCCCCGACTGTTGGAGGAAGAGGGAGGGGGGGGGGGGGGGCGGGCCGGCGTCCAACCTGAGTAACTCACCAAAACTCGGCCACCGTCTCCTCACTTTTCACCGCCTACTGTGGAGCGTCCTTTCCGAACCCACGAAGGCCACGAGTGACATCATAGTCATCAGAGGGAGAGGCGGTTGATATGTTGTGGCGAAATTGATCTCGGATGAGCGCTTTGGCGTGGGGTAAGTTTTGCGTGGGAAACCGGGGGTACGTTTGGCGTGCATTGCAGGCAGGGTGGTGTAAAGGCAAGGAAATCGAAATCGGATGTGACCGTGCCGCGCGTATCACAAAATAGCCATGGCTTTCCACTGAAAAGCCATGGCTTTATGCACAGACTTTGACCGTTGACACCGTTGACCTTCGAGGCTGCTTTGCGACAATGCAATTGCGCGACATACCTGAACTCGAAAGGACATGTGGGCACAAACAGTGCAAGCTAGTAAGGCTGCTTCTCCCACACGCACACATACCCACACACACAAACACACACTCACTCACCTCTTCTCACAGATAAGACTTCCTGCCACCGAGACTGCAATTGCGACGGATGTAATTGCAATGGCCAACAAGGCCACCATGGGCGACAGTGACAGCGACAATGCTGCGGGCATTGGGACCAGTGGGGAAAGCAACAAACCAAACGAAACGAGGGAGATGGTAGCAAAGAGGGTTCTGTTGGGGGGGTGGCTCTGGTGCGAGGGGAAGGGCGATGTATGTTATGGACGACGCGTCCATACCATGCGCTTACCTCATGACAGCATCCCAACAGTCAGTCAATGTCAATTCCCTGTCAAAACCTGACATCTGCCAAACCTCGCAGCCGCACGCAGCCGCGCTACCCCACACCTGCCACTGCCTTCATTTCTCCACGCAGCCGCACGTAGCCACACCTCCCAACACTCGGCGCTTACAAACCCTTCTTCATACTTCCCCACGTACCCGCCCACAGCCTCAGCGTAGCCACCCCATCCCCAGTCTTCTGTTTCTATGCTTCCCCCACCCTTGGCGCTTCTCTTGGCTTCCCTCTCATTCCGTACCCTTCTGCTTCCCCACGCTTCCCCAGCCTTCCCAGAAAAGCATAAATAGCCGCCTCCCCTGAGCTCCCCACTTCCTGATCCCCCAGCAGATCAACACCAGTTCTTCCTAGTCTTGTTCTAGTTCTTGTTTCGGTCTGAATACCATTACCTGTCAACAACCTGCACCACAAGTCGCCTCTATTTCCATCGGCTCCGCCCATTCATAACAGTTTGATCTGCTCAACAACCCCCAGCCGCTGTACCTCCACGCCAAATCACCATGTCCGACGCCCTTCCCCTCACGGCCGAAGCCTGGCAAGCCATGTGCAATGCGATTGACGAACTTCGAGCACAGAATACCACCCTACAAGCCGAACTAGCGCAAACCCAGACCACTGCCCCTGCCACCCACGCCCCCGAACCCAAAATCAGTCTCCCAGACAAATTTGATGGCACCCGAAGCAAGTTCCGTGGGTTCCTCAACCAGATCCGGCTCATGTTCGCCCTCCAACCCAGGCGCTACCCCAACGATCAGACCAAGATACGAACTATTGGCACCTACCTCACTGGCACCGCCCAGGCCTGGCTGGCGCCCCTTGTCGAACAAGACCATCATTCCCTTACGAACCTGGATGATTTCATCCAGCAAATGCAAGCAGTCTTTGGAGACAGCGACAGGATCCGCACGTCCGAAAACAAGCTCCAGAACCTTCGACAAACCCGTGCAGCAACAGAGTATGTAGCTGAATTCCGACAGCTGCAATGCGATGTGTCGTGGAATGACCAGGCATTGATTGCCACCTTCCGTCGCGGCCTCAAAGAAGGACGTCAAGGACTTAATGCTCACGATGCCCCCTACCGCCTCAATCGACACCGTGATGGAACAGGCCATCCAATGTGACAACCGATTGTTTGAGCGCCGTCTAGAGCGAAGCAGGAACCGACAGCCATATGTGCCAGTTACCACTAGCCCCACCCTCATGAGCCCCGACAACCGCCCAGACGACCCTATGGTCATTGACGCTGCTCGTCCGCGAGGACCCCTCACACCGCTAGAGCGCCAACACCGCATCACAAACAAACTTTGCCTCTATTGTGGTAAACCTGGCCACATAGCCAAACTCTGCCCAAACAAGATACGCACGGCGAATGTCGCGGTTAAGGAACCTGCACCCATCCAGGATTTTGCCCAAGTCCAGCTGCAGTAAAGGCCGAGCAGCTGGGCAACACCTGTCCTGGGCCTTCTCACCACGCAAGTACTGCCAAGGGAGAAGCCACAAAACCTTGCTCCGATCCTGGCATCTCCAGCAACACCCTTCTCCTGACCACCAACAATGTCAATCTCCGATCTGAGATACCCTCACCCATGCGGATTTTGGGCCCATCCTCACCATTCGAGTACCCTGTTACCCTGCAGATATCGGCCCAGCGAGCTCCAGTTCAGCTTTCAGCACTACTTGACACCGGTGCGATGTCGTGCTTCATCGACGAAAGTTATGCCCGCAAGCACCGCATCCCACTTGTCAAGAAGGAGGACCCCATTGCGCTTGAACTGGTTGACGGACGTCCCAGCCATGCGGGCTCCATTACCCATCACACCCAACCTTTGGGCATGTGGGTCAACGACCATTTTGAGGAGGTGGTATTCCATGTGACATGTTCCCCGCATGCGCCAATCATCCTGGGGCTTCCCTGGTTTGAGCTCCATGATGTGGAGCTACACTGGAAGACTCGCACTCTTTGCGTCCGCTGCCATTGCGGTTTTGGACAATACGCCTCCTGGGATGCCCTGCCAACAGAACCTAGCCCGAAGCCCTCAAGAACCCCTGAACCTCTGATCCGTATCCATCAAGACGAGATTTCAGTCTCCCTAGCCCAGACACCCAACACACTGGACCCAGCACCCACACCGATCCACGTATCGTTTATCAGCGCCCCAGCTTTCCGTGTGGCGGCAAGGCATGACCAGGCATTCATTGCCTACGCCAATCCGACCAAGTCAGATTCCCAAGCCCTGGCGACCACTCCTCCAAAAGATCCGAAGGCCATCATTCCTGAAGAATACCAAGATTTTGCGGACGTCTTCGCCAAGAAGAACGCGGATACCCTCCCAGAGCACCGACCCTACGACTGTCCCATCGACTTAGAAGAGGGCAAACAGCCACCGTTCGGCCCGATCTATAGTCTCAGCGAGCCTGAAATGCAGGCACTCTGTGACTACCTTGAAGAGAACCTAGCTAAGGGGTTCATCAAGCACTCCAAGTCTCCCGCCGGTGCCCCAGTCCTCTTTGTCAAGAAAAAGGACGGTTCCCTCCGTCTGTGCGTCGACTATCGTGGACTCAACAATATCACCATCAAGAATCGCTATCCCTTGCCCTTGATTAACAGCATCATGGATCGTCTTCGAGGGGCACGCCGGCTCACCAAGATTGACCTCCGGGGAGCCTACAACCTTCTTCGGATCCGGCCAGGGGATGAATGGAAGACAGCGTTCCGATGTCGCTACGGCCTATTCGAGTATAATGTCATGCCGTTTGGGCTCACCAATGCCCCTGGAGTATTCCAACACCTCATGAACGACATATTCCGTGACATTCTCGACGTTTTTGTTGTGGTCTACCTTGACGACATTCTGATCTTCTCAAAAAACCCAGAAGACCACCCCAACCACGTCCGAGAGGTGCTCTCACGACTCCGCCAGCACGGGCTGTATGCGAAACCGGAAAAATGCGAATTCAATCGTGACTCTGTTGAGTTCCTGGGGTTTATCATCTCCCAGCAAGGCATTTCCATGGACCCAAAGAAGACGGCTGCCATTACCGAATGGGAACCCCCGACTGAATGTCAAAGGCATCCAGCGCTTCCTTGGTTTTGCCAACTTCTACCGGCGATTCATCAAAGGGTACTCTGCGATCGTTGCACCCCTGACCACGCTCACTCGCAAAGACTTGCCATTCAAATGGACCCACGCTGCACACCTAGCTTTTGAAACCCTCAAGAAAGCCTTCACCTCCGCACCTATCCTGACTCACCCCGACCCTGACAAGCCCTTCATTGTCGAATCCGATGCCTCCGACTTTGCCCTTGGCGCCGTCCTCCTTCAACCCGACAACACAGATCAACTCCACCCCGTGGCCTTTCACTCCCGCAAATTTACTCTTGAGGAAATCAACTATGAGATCTACGACAAGGAACTCCTGGCTATCCAAGACTCATTTGCTCAATGGCGACACCACCTCATTGGTGCCCGCCACAAGGTCATTGTTTACTGTGACCACAAGAACCTCCAGTACTTCATGACTACCCGTACCCTCAACCGCCGCCAATCCCGCTGGTCAATCTTCTTTGCTGATTTCGACTTTGTCATCACATACCGCCCTGGTACCCAGCAACACCAAGCTGACGCCCTCTCTCGTCGCTCTGAATACGAGCTAAGGGAGGGGGAAGAAGCATTCCGCTCCCAGGAAACCACGATCCTCACCCCTGACCACCTCCGCCTGGCCACCACTTATCTGACCCCACTGGACTCCTCGCTCCTTGACCAAATCAAAGCTGCCCTGGCATCCGATGTGTTTGCGCAAACCATCCGGCGACAGCTTAGGGCCCCCATTGCCCAGCAATCTCAAGAAGACCAAGAACGGATAAAGCGATTCTCCGAGAAAAATGGGGTTCTGCTGTACGACAACCTTGTCTACGTCCCCACCAACAAGCTCCGTGCTGAGATCTGCCGGGGCATGCATGACACGCGTTTGGCAGGACACTACGGCATGTCAAAGACCCTGGAGCTCATCTCACGCAACTACTGGTGGCCTAGCCAGTGGCGTTTTGTCAAGTCCTACATCAGGTCCTGCGACGTATGTGCTCAAGCCAAGACCAGCAGACACAAGCCCTACGGTCTCCTCCAACCCCTGCAGGTCCCTGACCGCCCCTGGGGGTCAATTTCCATGGACTTCATCACGGATCTACCCGCCAGTGATGGGGTTGATTCTGTGCTCGTTGTCATCTGCCGGTTCACCAAGATGGCGCACTTTGTACCGTGCAGGAAAACTGCCACCGCTGAGTCAACTGCAGATCTGATCTGGCACCATGTCATCCGGCTCCATGGACTCCCCGACGATATTGTATCTGACCGTGGCCCACAGTTCAACTCCCACTTCTGGAAACGTCTCTTCGCTCTCCTGGGAACCAAGGTCAACCTCTCATCGGCGTTCCATCCCCAGAGCGATGGACAAACCGAGCGGACCAATCAGATTCTTGAGCAATACCTTCGCTGCTTTTGCAACTATCAACAAGATAACTGGAAGGAACTCTTGTCTTCTGCTGAGTTCTCTTACAATAACACCATCCACTCCGCCACCCAGACAACCCCCTTCTACGCCAACTATGGGTTCCATCCTCGATTCAGTCTGGCTTCCGCCACCACAACCGAATCCCTTAATCCTGCAGCCGAAGCTCGTGCCAACCATCTCAAGGAAATCCATGAACAGCTTGCCACTGAGCTCAAGGAGGCCCAAGGACGCATGAAGCGCTTTGCCGATGCTAAGAGGGCACCTGGCCCAGACATGAAACCCAGGGACAGTGTCTGGCTCTTACAGCGGAATCTCAAGACTCTCCAACCTTCCCAGAAACTTGATCACCGTAAGATTGGCCCCTTCACAATCACGGAGAAGATCAACTCGGTCACATATCGCCTCAAGCTTCCCCCATCCTACAAAATTCACAACGTCTTCCATGTCTCCCTTCTTGAACCACGTTTCACCATTCCGGAGCGAACTGAGCCAGAACCCACCCCACCAGAAGAAGTCAAAGGACAGGAGGAATGGATTGTGGAAGACATTCTTGACTCCCATATTCGACGCACGCACCTTCAGTACCTCATCAAGTGGCAGGGTTGGCCAAGCTCGGAGAACACATGGGAGCCAGTGGAACACCTTGCCCGCTGTCAAGAGCTTGTTGCCCAGTTCCACCAAAAGTACCCCGACAAGCCCCGACCAAAGCCTGCCAACATCAAAACAACATCCGGACGCCGTGGCTAAAGGAGGGGGTGATGTTATGGACGGCGCGTCCATACCATGCGCTTACCTCATGACAGCATCCCAACAGTCAGTCAATGTCAATTCCCTGTCAAAACCTGACATCTGCCAAACCTCGCAGCCGCACGCAGCCGCGCTACCCCACACCTGCCACTGCCTTCATTTCTCCACGCAGCCGCACGTAGCCGCACCTCCCAACACTCGGCGCTTACAAACCCTTCTTCATACTTCCCCACGTACCCGCCCACAGCCTCAGCGTAGCCACCCCATCCCCAGTCTTCTGTTTCTATGCTTCCCCCACCCTTGGCGCTTCTCTTGGCTTCCCTCTCATTCCGTACCCTTCTGCTTCCCCACGCTTCCCCAGCCTTCCGAGAAAAGCATAAATAGCCGCCTCCCCTGAGCTCCCCACTTCCTGATCCCCCAGCAGATCAACACCAGTTCTTCCTAGTCTTGTTCTAGTTCTTGTTTCGGTCTGAATACCATTACCTGTCAACAACCTGCACCACAAGTCGCCTCTATTTCCGTCGGCTCCGCCCATTCTTAACAATGTATGCGAACATGGGGGATGGTTCCACCGACTCTGCTGTATGAGCGCTGTTATCAAGAACCCTTGCTGGTGGTGTGAGGACTGTCGCCCCACCCGATATCACCAAAGAAGGATTTGGAAGGAATTAGAGGGAGGGATTGCAGCAGCGAGGGCAGCGAAGGGGGGCAATGCAGAGAATGCAAAGGGGGCAAACGAGAGAGTGGGGGGACAGTTTTTGTGGGGCACTGAGGGGCTCGCTGTCCTCGGTGGTTGGGGCAGCGAGACCTAGGAGGACCCAGGCTTTGTGCGAGCAAAGAAGAGGAAAACGACACCAGGGGCTCGGGACCTGCAGCAACGAGAAAAGTTCAACAAACTGGTGGACGACGATCGAGCTGGAAGACCACCTTCACTCTCGCAGATTGGAGTTGTCGACAAGCATGGGTACAATCGCCCAGTGGTGCTGGTATCCCCTCGCATCTCACCCAAGCTCGATGCCAAGGCACTTGCTTTTGGGGTGTCGCTCCCACAACAAGTACAGGAGTGGCTTGACAACAAAGAGACAGTAACCATTGTCGCTCAGATTCCAAATCGTGTACAAGGCTGCTTCCATCAAACTCCACCTGATGCAGACTTGAAGCCTCCGACTCTGCTTCTCACTACCGACTCGATCATCTATGGCCTCGACAGCGACAATAAGTTCATCATTCTTGCATTGTATATGCCCAATGCATTTGGCAAGCAAGCAATGAACGAAATGACCAAGTGCTATCAAGCCTGGATTCAAGCCCCTTGGCCAGATTTGCAACCTGTTTCTCGGACAGCAAGTGTTTGCTATACCCATGAGCGAGCTGGGAGTCATCGAGAAAGGTTGTACGAGACATGACGATCGACTCATTCGGGAACCTGGGTTCGTCGTGGACATGGAACTGTCACTCCAGTGGGCGAAGTGACTGGTAGTAAGAATGCTGACAGGTATGATGGTAGATGTCGTTGACTTGATGAAAGCTCCCAACTAATTTTCGAGTCCCTGCAGGGCTCCTGGGGCTGATGCCATTCACCAGGCTTACCTCAAGCATGGTATCGCCAAACTTGCGATGGCTTGGATCGCCTCCCCCGATGAATATTTTTCCAACCGTGACATGATCAAGGGTCTCATCGACTCTAACAAGGGATTTCTCCCAAAAGACGATTGCTGGTCCACCCATACCCACATTTGGAATTCGACAGTCGATTGCCACTTCGATGTCAAGGACAAGGGTTTCACAGCTCAGTACACCTTTGGCGACTTCGGCAATGGGGGAGATCTTGAACTCATCGATGCAGGTGTTGTTCTAAAGCAGGAAGTGGGTACCTTAACCCTGTTCTGAGCCAACCTTCTTCATCATTCAGTGACAGACTACTTGAGCGGCAATCGTTATGTGCATTCGATGTATATGCAAAGCAAAGTACGCAATGCTGTACAGAGGAAAACTGGAGATGTCGAGTCGTAGAGTGTGTTTTTGTATGTACCGTACTATGTATCAAATATATACAAGTCTTTTCGAATCATTTTGGTGAACTGCTATCTACGCCTAATTCTACATGTGCACGTTTACGTGGGGTCATTGTCGGTGTAGAGCTTGGTGTTGCCAAGTGTACAGTGGTTGCGATACTTGCTGTACGCCCAACAACATCGTGATCAACCCGGTGAAGGGAGCGAATGGCATGGTACGGTGTTGCGGTCGTGTTGGCACGGGCCCTTTTTCCCACGAGTGTTGTGACTTTACGGGCTTGAGTACGTGTCTGGCCGGTTGACAACTCGCTCAAGTTGGTGATGTCTTTGCAGTAGCTCTTTTGTTCGTAAGAGTGGCCGCGTGCGACGGGTCGCGAGTATCCAAGCTGGCCAGGTACGCTCATCTCGTGCTGGAAGCGGTGCCAAGGATCAGTCATTTTGCATCTGCCACCAAAAATTGTCACGTGTACCTTGTGGACAATGAGAAGCTTCTTCAGCGCAAGGAAAGCATCGGTTGGGGAGGCTTTGTTGACTTGCCCACGTCCACCTATGCAAACTCCAGAGTGTAAGTGGCGCGATATTATGCCGACGAATAAAGTTGCATACCTTTTCCGAGGATTTGGTTGAATGCTGAAAAGTGATTCTCCACATCATTGGACTGTCGCCAGCAATCGTTGAAGACTGGGGTGCATTTCTCAGGATCGGGAGAGGTTTCGGCATATGTTTTGTTGCAAGGAACGCTTTCCAAGAAGCGAATCATTGCTCTTCGCCCAAAACACAGGATTAGTGTCGCCTCCAACAGTTCAATGGGAAGAGCAGTCTCTTCATCGTGCAGAAGCGCTGGGGGGCAGGTGAGCCTCGAGTGGCGGTATGCATAAGGTGTCTGAGGAAGATGCAACAAGCAGGGTTCCCCGTACATGAAAGGTAACACCTTGTCGGCCAGCCAATCAATCATACGATCAACCCTTCCTTCTCGATCATCCTGCGAAATACCAGACAGATCAAGTGCTTCAAAGAATTCTCGGAGAACATTGCAGAACTCAGCTTCCTTTGCATAACCCGTTGCTTCCAGAATATCTGCGACCTGCTTGCAAAACCCGGTCTTCGCATCAGCATCACACTGATTGTCACGCTTATACCACCAAGTTCCAAACACCCCATCGTGTTCAGGCATTCCCGCGATGCTCAGCCAGGCTTCTTTCCTCAAGTGGGCTCCGAACCCGGATGTCGTAACATGTTTGTTAAATCGCTTCATGATGTGATCCGGGTCTATGGAAATGATCAAAGGAAGGTCCCGGGTAGAAGGGTTCACTTCCGGCACATAAGGGGAAAAAAAAAATCGTCGCCAGATGTCCTCCTCTCAGCCATTCGCCTTTCCACTCAGATACGTGTGAGCCATTCTCGTAATGGCGAAATAGATGTACGATTTGTGTTCGCTGCCACAATAAGCGCCGAGATCGTGGGAGTTCGTCCAAGGTTAACAGGATGTCCCCCCTGGCCTGGCAATAATGTCGACATGCGGAATTGTTGTTCCTGTCGTGTCAGTGCCCAGATCTGGACGTCTCCAGAAGGTTTTGCAACTCAGGGATGCCGACCAAGTCCATGCGTGCAAAAACAGGTAGGTCTCAAGTATCGTCGCAAAGAATGGGGCGCCCTCACTGCGATAGTTTCTCAGCAGTGTTTCCAAACCCGCAGGTAGATGTGGAACAAATTGTGTGCCAATTCCATAGGGCATGCCATCCCACTGTTGAGCACGGGATTGCAGAATATATTCATGGGCCTCTTCCTTCAGACATTCCACGATCTCGGCTTTCTTCCTGCCCTCTTTCACAACCGCATCCAGCTCGGCGCGCCAAATCTAAACATGACACGATGAGTTACTGTTCATTATTGGAGTTGCAGCAAGCAAACCTACCGCAGTAATAAATTCGGGTGGTCAAGCCCCCGTGTTGCAAGAGAATGACTTGCCCCATCGCACGACACTGAGATAACAGGAATTGAGTGCTTCTGGAATTCCTTGAGTAGAACTCGAAGAATTGCGGTATTCTGCTGATGGTTCGGTGCATCCACAAAGCAGGCAAAGACAATCTGTGATTTCAAACGCTGGGAGTCGGGGAAGGTCCAAAGCTGTAATTTCTTTGCCCTCGGCAAAAGATGCAGCCGTGCAGCAAGGAAGTACTCTAGC